GATCAAGCCGAGCTATATTGGCTGGAACATATGTTCCTGTGGGTTCTACCATGCCAGACAGATCGATGAAAGAACGGCGAGACTAAAAGCAGCTACTCAAGGTCTGAGGGCGAAGTCGTACTACTGACTGCAGACGGGTGTGATAGCAGTAAAGTGTTTCCCTCGGTTAATCAGCATCTGCATCGATGCCTCCTTCTGACGAGGAACGGAGGAGCTAGAAATGATCGAGTCTAAAATTGTCTAACCTCACCCCACCCCATGGATTCCCGCCCCCGGTGGTAAGGCCTTTCAAACAAGAGAAGAGTTATTACTTTGAAGTGATATCTGGGAAATGATATCTGCCCTCATTCCCATAACAACACACGAGGCCAAATTGGTACCAATCAAGTCATTCTTATACCCCCTATCTTCTATCTATTTCCACGAGTCACCCTTCTCTCATCCCTTTCTCACCACGTACCGCTAATGCAAACGATTCGGATTCCGGAAATGTTATTCCTGGTCTTGTGAAACCTTGTCCCAAACAAAACGTTAGAGCTTTTAATGTCCGGACACTATCGAATGGGGAAACGAGCTTCCCTAGCGCTATCTCGCGATATTGATATATTCTGCGTCTCCAAGACGCTCATACAGGATAGTAGTTAGACATTAACACCGTTGGATGCCGGCCCAGTGGTCCGATGGTAAGGCGTTCGCCTACAATGCCAAAGGTCCCGGGTTCGAATCCTGCGAGGAGCAGGAGTCGTGGATGCGCACTGCTGAGGAGTCCCATACTAGGACGAAACGGCCGTCCAGTGCTTCCAGGTTTCTAATGGTGGTCTAACAATGATGATTGATTAATGATTTCAAATGAGTAGTAAAATCATTAATTTGATTGCAAATGGAGAAGCAACACGGTTTACGCTTCATGGTTCAGGAAGATATAATGCTGCCTGCTGGGGTCTCGCTGGTGTAGAACTTCGTACGTAAGTACATAAGTTCAGATTTCCATTCCGCATCAACACAGAGACGCAACTGTCAGTTCAAATCCAGTAGTGGTAGAGATAGTAGAAGTATTAGCAGTAATTGAGAAGATTAGGGATCGAAGATGTTATTCAAGAAGTATTATTCAGTGAGATAAATTTAGAAAGAGAAAGGTAGGGATGATGATGAGCTCAGAAGATTAGGATTTCATAGAACACAAAGAGTGGATACACCTGCGCCATTTCAAACGATTTTGAGCCATATCGTTCAAGATCTCTAACCATCGGTAACTGTCGTCTCGCGGACCCCAACCAGGTAGTCTACATCTACCAATATGACTCAGTCCACTTGTCAGTGATTTCATGGATTTGTGCTTTTCTGATGTGACTACCCCTAGCTTTCTTCCAACCCACTCCTACACCACAAAAATTAGCTCGTCGAGACAGTCGGTGGTTGGGCATTCATAACACATGTCCCAACCACATCAACTGGTGAAGTTTCAATACTTCAGATATTGATTTGCTATTTTTACCTAGTACTCGTTTCCTGACGACAGCATTACTTACTCGATCGTCCCACGATACACGAGTGATGCTTTGGACAGACTTATGGCCGAAGACAAGCAACCTACGAATATCTTTTACTCTGACTGTTCATGTTTCGCTTCCGTTTAACAGAACGGAGCGAACTACAGCGCAGTACACTTGTACTTTAGTTAGTAAACGGATATCTGGGCTACGCCATAAGTGACGCAAGTTGGCTAAAGCCAATCGAGCCTTCTGTATCCGTGCTGAGTTTTCGTCAGTCACCAGGCCTGCAGCACTGATGAGACTCCCGAGGTAAATAAAGCGGTCAACACGCCCAACTACTTCATTCCCTGTCACTAGTTCTGATGCCGGCTCAACCCAATCCTGAAGTGATATTTTGCATTTCGAGGCGGATAGTCGCATCCCGAATATGCTTGCATTGTTGCCTTGGGTGGTCAGAAGACTCTGCATTTTGTCAGCGTCTTCACCGAATAGGACTATGTCATCAGCATACTACAAGTCCGCAGGCGTGTCTCTTGGTAGAAGGTACACTCCTGAAAAGTCTGACGAGGATAATATTCATTCTAAAAGCATGTCTACGACAAAGTTAAACAGGAATGGAGAGAGTGGCTAGCCCTGAGAGACGCCACTTGAAGTAAAGAATTCCGATGACGGTTCGCCATAGGCTCTAACTCGACCAGTGGTGTTCGAGTAGAGAGCCTGTATAAGGTTAACGTACCTCTGTGTTACACCGTTTAACCACGGACACTGCCTCAGAACCTAATGATCGACAGAGTCAAACGACGCCTTGAGGTCGAAAAATACTGCTATTGTTGTGCGTCTGAACGAGTGTCTTTGTTCTGTGACCGGACTTAGTGTGAATATCTTGTCTATAAATCCATGTCCACGTCAGAAACCATACTAGTTTTCCCGAGTCTGCTCTTCAAGAGCTCTACTTAGGCGTCGGAGTATTATTGCGGTCAATAATTTAGGTGCTACATTTATTGGACTGCGTCCTCCGTGATTGTTGGAAGAGGACTTCTGTTCTTTCTTATAAGTTTGGACAATCAAGAATTGAGAGCAGTCATATGTGATAACGCTTAGTTCCCAGATTCTACCTAAAACTTAAATTAATCTAATACTGGACCACCATCCTTGAAAGTCTCAAGTGTAAGCCCTTCAGGGCTCGCTGCTCTCCCTCGCTTCAGATTTATTATCGCTTTTCCAACTTCATAAAGAGTTGGAGGACTTACATCGACTTGCCATTCAGGTTGACTGGAGATCGTGGGCAACGGAAGTGTGGCTGAAGGCCAACTGGACTGAACTGCTCATCGATCCAATCTCCTGGATTGAGAATGCATAACAAGACCATCCTTTTTCCGAGATAGTCTCACTTACAGTCGGATTATTAATACTGTTTTCCTTGGTGAGTCTGAAGAGTTGTCCACTGTTGCATATCGCCATCGCCTTCTCAATCTCCCTCGCTTTCGCCACCTACCACTGCTCTCGATCATTGCGTGGGCTTTTTATCAGCCTACACCTGAGTTGACTCCGCTCCTTATTGTACTTAGAGCCCGATAGGATGAGTTTCCGAGATCCTATCAGTTAAGTAGACGCTACTAAGATCCACGGCTTCTCGCTAACCATATGCTTTACCTTAATAGAAGATATCGCTGCTGTTTCCAAAGCCTTTTTGATATCATTCTAAGCTGCCTCAGGGTGGGCATCACTTACTATGTGGCCGCCTAACTGTTTTTTATGATTGTTCCTGAAATATATTCTTCGCTTTACCATCATTAAGTAGAGTCCTAAGAGGTTCCCTTGCGTTATTTTTCCTACGTCTGGTAAGGCTCAAACAAATACGTGCTCGCACTAGGGCATGATCTGAATCTAAACATGTGCTCAAGAACGAGCGACAGTCCTCTATTGGAACCCTCCATTGATGACTGATGACGATGTGATCTAGTTGGGTCCAGTGTTGTGACGACTTTGGGGTCGCCAAGTCAAGAGATGTTTTCCCTATGCCTAAATTTAGTGTTTGCTAGAAATGGGCGGTTATCTGAGCATAGCTGCAGCAGACGGTCGCCATTATCTGTTCGATGTGTCTTTCCTTTTCAACGAGTCTAACTACTTGAGCATTGAAGTCACTAACCATTATTACTATATCAGAGAGCTTAACCTTTCGGAGGAGGTCCGAATGTTTTTGTCGAATAATACTTCTTGCATGACATCTATCGCTCATGTTCTCCTGTACTGCTGACACTTCTGTTATCTGAATCATCATTGGATTTGAACTTCTAATTTGGCATGGTGACTTGAATCGCACGACGTTCTGTGTTGTATATGATTTACTGACTCAAATCATACAGTAGTGCTTTTGTAGCAGCGAAGGATTACTCACGTGGTTTGGGTACGTCGTGCTTGTGGACGTCATTCCTTGTTTATGCGAAGCAGAATTCGATGTTTTCTGGGTAGGATATCCTGTTTTGAAGAGTCATGATTGCAAGATTCTTATTCTTCTGCAGCTTACGCTTATCTTCTGACATATTGAGTATACAATATGTATTAATATTTAAAGAAAAAATAATCTCATCTTACGTACGAATATGCAAATATTTACAGCCTAATGACGAGGAAAAGACAGTTCTGTTGAGCGTATCAGTTCGCAGAGGACTTATCAATGAAGATGTGACAGATAGGTACAGTTGTAGGATGGCTGGAATCTCAAGCAGTGAGTGATCTTAGCTGGGTAGTTGATGTTAGAAATCTGTATCACGGCATACCCAATGGTGATCCGGTGTGGATTTTGATCGAGTGCCTTCAGTAAAAGTATGCCCGGTAAAGTAATAAGGTCTGAATGAATGCCGAAGAATTACGTAACTATTTATTTTTGAGATACTCTGAATATCCTTGATATTTTTTTATCTCTTACTTACCATCTTCATGACATCCATGATCGCTCCTAGGATAGGGGTTTTTCGTATGAAGTTGTATTTACAGATGTAAGGTGAATATGCTGGGTCCTTTTCTGAACAACTAAGAAATGAAATGTAAGCATTCTTCTGATCTGTCAAACGACAATAGAGACCATTAACTTTTTTCTCCACCATGCCTCGGATCAAGAAGTAGCCAAGTACTGACCTACCGTAAATAAAAAGATAACTGTAGCAACACTGTACTCGTCTATAACCAAGCAACTGGCAGAAAATTTTCAGAAAATCTAAAGGGTGATAAGAAATAATTTACTTTCCGAGTTTCTTTCTTGGCACCGCTAAGAATTTCCATATTTCTCTGTCAGAACTAGCAGTATCAATACCGTTCCTCATAAGTTCTTAGTGGACCCGAATCTTACCAGTGCCACAAATCGTAGGAATCAATAAAGGCCACGGGTTCTGTAATTATTATTTTTGACTACTAAAAGAAACCGAGATGTTGATCAAAACTGTCAGTAATTATACTAAAGATTTGATTATAGCGTAAACGTTACAGAATAATTTTGAATTAAGCTGATAATTGACAAATGCTTTTTTAACTCACAAAATGTTAATATACGGAAGTAAGTTGATTTACGTCAACTAATTGACACATTGGGTGCGTGGGATATCCGAAATGGTATCAACCACTGCTCTGTAGCCCTTTTGTGGGCGCCACTGTGTAATGGAAAGCCTAGAAAACAATGTAAGTCGCTTGATAAAATGAGTTGCTAGTCGGGGAGTTCACATAATACGTTTTTTTTGAAGGGGACTTGTACTTTTGTATGTCCGTGAAGTAGGGAATGAGGCGGAACCGAAACAGTCGTTTTATAGATATTTCTGTGAAACAATGATAACTTTCAAGGGCATTGTTATTCGTAGTTTAATTCATAATTGTTGAATATTTTCTGCTTGAATCTAGCACTAGAAGACGATGGGCTTTATCTGATAATCATAGTGCTACTGTTAAAGATATTGCTTAAATATAATGCTCCTCGAGTCATTTAGCTCCATAAATCTTGATCAGAGGTGATTAAGTAGACCGATAAGAGTCAGCCTACGTTCTGGAAGTGGATACTCCGTTGATAGGTAGGTTATTTTGGTCCCATGTAGATCAAAAATCAAGTGATTGCATGATTACTCGTAAAGTTTAGCAATAACATTTAAAAGTCGGTTGTTTCCGAAGTGTGTTATTTTCTTCCCTTGTTACAAAAGTATCTTTTTCTGCCGAAGTGGATTCGATGCTTGTCCTCTTTTATTTGGAGCATTTGAGTATTATTATGTGCCTCCGTAAGGTAAAGATTTCGTCCTTTTGGTCTAGTCTTATCAGAGGGTTTGACTAAGCTTGTCTCTTCGAGACTATTCTTCATAGTTCTGGTATACCGTCAACAGGATACACCCATAAGCATTTTGCACTGAGCCTACATTGGTAAGCAAGCTTTAAGCCTCTAGTGGTTTTTACGTAGAGTTACTAGGATTCCTTTTCTAGTATTTATATACCCACTTGTTTAATTCTTATTTTATTTATTTTCAGTTTGGCTATCTTAGCTTGAGAGAGGCGTCTCAGCCGCTTACTGATCCGTCATGCTTTTATTCAAATGACCAAGTTTACAAGGCTTACGGAAGTCTTCCTGCCAATAGTCATAGGCGAAGTGCTACTCGAGTATCACGCTATGGGAACGGAGACAATGTGGCACAACAGTCTAATGGATATCCTATGTTCAATCAGTGGAACCCCATTCACCGGCTTGACAACATTGGTCTTTTCGGTCCCCCACCCCTTATCTTTGAAGGTGGAACAACAAATCATGGGTAGTCTTAATTAGCTATTAATAAATATCCCCAATAGCGTTGTTCACCATCCAGTCAACAAACAATATAGTGACAAACAACTGTGGTCTAAACCTTTGAAGAAAAGTGAATATGAACTGTTTGATCAACCGAAACGTGGTTTAAACTTCCAGTTGTATGATAGTATACCGGTTACTCAATCCGGACCTAATTGGACTCCTGTGGAACCCATAAAGTCATTCAATGATGTTGAACTTCATCAAGTAATCAAGGAGAATGTGACTAGAGCTCAGTATATACACCCGACACCAGTGCAAAAGTATGCTTTGCCAATTATCGCCGCTAAACGTGATTTGATGGCATGTGCTCAAACAGGTTCTGGAAAGACGGCAGCGTTTTTGCTCCCAATACTCAATATGTTGTTTGAAGATAATCACTGTGAAAATTCAGATACATCGGTAAAGATTAGTGTTCATATTTAGTCATTTTATAGGCACTCAATTGCACTGCATGTCCTTTAGCTTTAATCCTTGCTCCAACGAGGGAGTTATCGTCCCAAATTTATGATGAGGCCCGAAAATTTTCATTCCGTTCCAACATTAAACCATGTGTAGTCTATGGTGGAGCCTCTATTCTTTCTCAAATACGGGAGTTATCCCATGGTTGTAATCTACTTGTTGCCACCCCTGGGCGTCTTGTCGATATGGTGAGCAGAGGTAAAGTGAGCCTGGAACAAATCAAGTATGTTTGATTTTCGTTACCATTATTCCTCCTTAATTTTCTTCAGGTTTTTCGTCTTGGATGAAGCTGATCGAATGCTTGATATGGGCTTTGAACCACAGATTCGTCGAATAGTCGAACAACATGGGATGCCACCGGCTGGAAAAAGACAAACTTTGATGTTTTCTGCAACATTTCCGAAAGAAATCCAGGTATAGTTTTCCGGCAAAATATGATCCTTTGTTGAACTGTGAATAATTTTGTTTTTATAATGCATAATAAATTTTACAAACTGAAGATCTCATAAGACTTGGCTTGCCAGTTAGTGAATTAGTTAATAATTTCTTATTCGTTTTTCAGACACTTGCACGGGACTTTCTACACTCTTACATATTTCTGGCTGTTGGACGTGTGGGTAGTACTAATGAGAATATTATTCAAGAAGTTTTGAATGTAGCTGATAAAGATAAACCTGAAATGTTGGTTCGACTACTTCAAGGAAAAGGTATATTTTGTATCTCTCTGTTTATCCTGGTTATGTGATCTTATTGTTATCAGTAGTTGTGATTAATTATTTATCCCACTGAACTAAAATATTGGGTTTATCTTTTGATATTTTTCTGTCACAGTCATCATTGAACTCCCTTACTAACTGATCCTAATGAAAAACTTACATGGATCATTGAGTTAAAGTCAGTCAGTCAGTCACAACGTAGAACTTCGTACGTACGTACATCAGTTCAAGTTGCCAAACCACATTAGCACAGAAACTCAATTGTCGATTGAAATCCCATAGTACTAGAGGTAGTAGAATTATTAGCAGTAATCGAAGAGATTAGGGTTCGATGATATTATTCAAGAATTATAATTTAGTGAGATAACGTTAGAAAGAGAAAGATAGAGGTGATGAGGAATTGGGAAGATTAAAATTTGAGAGAAAACAAAGAATGAATGTACCTGCGCCATTGCGAACGATTTTGAGCCATGTAGTTTAATATCTATAACCATCGGTAACTATCGTCTCGCGGACCCCAACCAGGTAGTCTGCATCCACCAATATGACTCAGTCCACTTGCCAGTGATTTCATGGATTTGTGCTTTTCTGATCTGACTACCCCTAGCTTTGTTTCAGTCTACCGCTACACCCCGAAACATAGCTCAGTGAGCTAAAGTTCAAAAGCTCAGTCAAAACTAGAAGAGAATCATATTTGTCAGACTTTCAACTCCTATCTTAAAGTATAGATTTTAGTAAACACACCTGTCATTTCGATTTGATCCTATGGTTTCTAATAAATCATCATTTTTTTAGGGAAATTCTTTTCCAGCTAATAAAGTGTAGGTCTAAAAGTAATCAGTTTTGCTCATCAAGATAACATCAGGGTATATGTAGTTTTGTATATGCTATGACTGCTTTTCAACGGTTTACTTCGTATAGTACTTCATCTGTTCTAGTAATATTGATGTGAGCTCCTAATTTTTTACTTAATTAATTTGCAAATTAAATCCTCTCACAATTCAATCCTGCTATACCACTATTTTTCGTAATTATTATCATCATCTCGGACTCAATTGGTTAATGCACGCAGTAAAACTATCAAATAAGGATCCCATCATCACTGCAATATTTTAATAAGAAATAATAGTTTGTTGTAGGACTAACTTATACACACGTTCGTCTTCGTACCTAACACTGTTCGCAACTAATAAATATTGTTATTCGTAACTCACTTGTTTGTTGTATGTTTTTGATGAATCGTCATCAGTCACTGATTACAGAATAATCCACGTGATTACACTAAAAACATAACTGGCGAATTCTAGTACTATCTTGATGTTACTCTTTGACCAGCATAATATTTAAGTAACAACAAAAATTAGTTGTAATGTAGCTAAATTGTTGATGGAATTTCCGTGAAAAATTAAAAGTTGACATACTAATTAGTGTCTCTAACACCAAGATAATTAATGCCAGCTCTTTAATTTATAATGGCCAAAATATTACGGTATCCTACAAAACAGCTCTGTTTTCAGTAACTTCCTAACATCTCCAATTATATCGTCATTTTGTATGGCGCAAGGTCTCATATTTTCCACATAAATAAAATAATACCCCCATTAGTTAAGACTGTTCTTCAATTTTTGTTATACACCATGTGTTGCATGAAGAAATTGGATAACCTATCTCTTAATTGTCAATTTAGATCCGGATGGCTTGGCTTTAGTCTTTGTTGAAACTAAACGTGGAGCTGATGTTTTGGCTAAATTTTTATGCCAGTTGAATTTTCCAGTCGCATCAATTCATGGTGATCGCCCTCAAACTGAACGAGAACATGCTCTTCAATCTTTTAGATCTGGTCGTACTCCTATTCTTATTGCTACAGCAGTTGCAGCTCGCGGTTTAGATATACCGAATGTTAAGGTTAGTTACTATTTCAATATATTTTGCTATCCTGTAGAATATGTAAATATTTCAAGTCTTCACTTTTTTTAGAAACATATGATGATGGAACAAGCCTACTTGCTCACTTGCGCCTGTTATCCCTAATGGAGTATAGGCCGCCAACCAGTATGCTCCAACCAACTCTGTCCTAGGCCTTCCTTTCCAGTTCTAACCAATTGCTACTCATTCCTCCCATGTCTGTCTCCGACTTTTGGTGAAGTAGGTTCCTTGGTCTACTCTTTCTCTTTGACCATGAGGATTCCAGGTTAGGACTGACCCCGTGATGCAATTGGGTGATTTCTCAATATGTATCCTATCCACCTCCAGCGCTTTTTCCTCAGTTGGAATCTGGTTTGTTCTCTCTCACAGTGGATTGTTACTGATGGTGTCTGGTCAACGTATCCAAAGTATCTTGCTGAGGCAAGTATTAATAAACACTTGTATCTTGTGAATGATGGCTTTCGTGGTTCTCCAAGTTTCTGCCCGACACAGTAGAACTGTATTGAAAATTGTGACTTTGGTGTTGGTTGACAGTTGTTTTGAGTTCCAGATTTTTTCCAGTTTTAGAAAGTCTGCCTTTGCTTCGGTAATCCATTTCTTTACATCTGCATGAAGTTCATCTCGCTTATCAATGATGCTGCCCAGGTTTTAAAGGTTTCCACGTCCTCCAAAGCTTGTCCACCAAGTTTGATTTGGTTGGTGCGTGTTATGTTGTATAGGAAGATCTCACTTTTTTCCTTGTGTATACTGCTGCAGAGGCTGCTGCTACACGCCATCTCCATCTGCCTTTGTTGTGTGTGAAATAGAAGAGCTAGTTCATCTGCGAAGTCCATATCGTCCAGCTGCATCCGAGCTATCCACTGTATTCCGTGCTTCTTCCCAGATGTTGACTTCGTCATAATCCAGTCGACCACCAAGAGAAAGAGAGAGGGTAAGAGTAAGCAACCTTACCTGACACCGGGTGTTTACTTCAAATGAGTCTGTCCTCCATGTAAGATTTTGCAGTTTAATCCGCTATAAGCATTCCGTATGATATTGACTGTCTTCCAAGGCACGCCTTAGTGTCGAAGAAGCCTCTATAGTGTTGTTCTGTCCATGCTGTCGAATGCTCTCTCTTAGTCAATGAATTTGATGTGCAGTGATGTGTTCCATCCAATTGATTGTTCCACAGTGATCCATAGTGCCCCGATTTGATCGGTACACAATGCATGTTTACTGAATCCAGCCTGTTGATCTCGAAGTTGAGGCCCTACTGAATCTTTCATTCGGTTCAACAACACGCACTCAGAGAAGGGTGATGCCTCTGTAGTCCTCCCACTTGCTGAGATCTTTCTTTAGTATCTTGATCAGGTCTCCTTTCCAGTCTGTTGGTACTTGTTCTTTTTTACCCGGAGTCTTGCTGAACAGAACGTGAAACATCTTTATGGTTACTTCCATGTCTGCTTTCAATGTCTCAGCTGGTATATTGTTTGGCCCTACTGTTTTACTACTCGTAATTTGTCTGGTGACCATGCTGATTTTTTCGACTGTTGATAAATTAACATCAGTTAGAAAGTCCTTAGGTGTATGGCTGATATTGATTGCTGCCGTCTTGTTCTCCCTTTCTCTAATCTTATGATAGTGCTCATTTTGGCCTAGCACCTTGTAGCACGCTTAAGTTATTGCTTCTTTGATGCATTCCCAGTTTTTCTCCATGATAATTTCCCATTCATTGAGTAGATCGCGAATGGCCTGGAACTTATTGCTGGGGGCTTTCTTGGATTCGTTGGGTTTACCAATATCCGGAAGAAACTCACTTACTTGTGCCTGTTTCTTCTAATGTAACATAGGCCGTCGACCAGCATTCCCCTATCTCTGTCCTGGACCTTCCTTTCCAGTTCTATCCAACTGCTGTTCAGTCTTTTCATGTATCCTACCAATTCTGGGCTTAATATGTTCTTTGGTCTTCCTCTTTGGCTTTGTCCTTGAGGGTTCCGAATGAGGGCTTGTATTGTGAGGCAGTTGGATGCTTTCTTCAATGTGTGTCCTATATCCGGAAGAAAGACCGTATTAAACTTTTGTGATGCTGTTCCATCAGTTGCCCAGTGATTCTCGATTTTCACTTTCATCTTGGCTACCAGCAAGAGATGATCTGAGGCTATATCAGCTCCTCTCTTGGTTCTCACGTCCTCCATAATCCTTCTGAACATTTTACTGATGCAGATGTGATGGTTCTGGCTTTGTGTTGTATGGTTTGGTGAAACTCATGTGGCTTCGTGTATTCGTTTGTATGGGAATATCGTGCCGCCTATGACCAGTTTGTTGAAGACACATAGATTTGCGAATCTCACCGTTTTCGTTCCTTTCTCCTAGTCCATCTCGCCCGATGATGTCCTCTTATCTTGTATTGTCCATTCCAACCTTGGCGTTTATGTCTCCAATCAAAATGGTTAAATCGTTTGTTGAGCATTTCTCGATGATTGACTGCAGCCTCTCACAGGATTGATCTTTATCGTCCTCACTGTTATTGTCGATGGCCACATAGCACTGAATGACATTCATTGTAATACCGTCTTTCTATGTCTTGAAGGGTCCTTTGATGATCCTGGGTTCGTGCGATTCTCATGCTATATGTGTTTTTCGTTTTTCATTGGATAGGATCGATGCAACTCCTTGTGTGTGTGGGGCATTTTCTTCTTTACAGTCGGAGTTATAATCTGTCAGTCAGTTACAACATAGAAAGAGAACGATAGAGGTGACGAGGAATTCAGAAGATTAGGATTTGAGAGAACTCAGTGAATAAATACACCTGCGCCATTGCAAACAATTTTGAGCCATATCGTTCAAGATCTCTAACCATCGATTACTATCAACTCGCGAAGGAGTACAATAGCATCTCTCCTGAAGCTATTTTTTGTTGTTCAGCCTGCGTCCAATGTGTTTCACTGATTCCAAGTACCATCAGGTTGTATCCTCTCATTTCTGTAGCCACTTGAATGGTTCTCGCAGTCTTCCACATTGTGCAAACATTTCATGTGCATATATTAGCTGTTGCTGTGGTTGTGAGAACGGACATGACTTCATGACTTCCGAAGAAACTGAGCTCTCCTCATGATGCGTCACAACTGCACTAAGTGGAGACCTTGCAACTGCCAGGGTAGATTTTAAACGGTTTGAATTAATTATCCTGGTTATATTTTTTATAGCAATTTTGATTTCTACGTGATGGGGTCAGTAACCCGATGACGAACCCTCCTCTTTTATCTGAGTTTGGGAGCGGTAGTAACCACACAGAGGTTTCAGGCGAAGTTAATGGAACCAGTTATTTTCAGACAGTAAACTGTAGTTCTCTATCGACTTGTATTTGTGATATAGGAGGTTGTACAACGTTATACAGTTTACGGTAACTGACAGTTATATGATCATACCCTATCCAAACGAGTACTGCATATTGTCACAGGTGTGGCTCAAGACTACTTTTGTTAAACACCTGTTCTCTCAGTTGTTACTGCAGTGATTATTACTTTTATGTATATCACGTGTTTCATATGAAGTTCGTTATTGCTCATCCCTTGTCTAGAAAGAAACTACTTATAACATAGACAGTCCTATTAATTTTACTTAGTTGTAGATGTTTTTTAAATAAATCCTATTTCTTCATCTTAGTGTTGAATATTTTGGCGATCTTGGAAAGCTTTATAATATTTGACAAATATTACTTCTCTGACTTTTCATAAACAACGGTTTTCAACATTTCGTCGCATATAACATCTATTAAGGACCGAAATAAAAACATCAATGTAAATGAGATGAGATTTGTTACAAATCAAGATAGAATTATAAAATGTTCAGTATTTAGATGAATTTGCATCTACATACCACCAGAATCGTCTATTGTTCATTTCACCTGAGGTCTCAAACTGCACTTTGAAAAAGACAACGTTCAATCTTGTAATTCTTAATGGATTGTCTGTGATATTCTCTGCTTAATTTGACCTGTTTTAAATTCTACTCTTCATTACAACAATACATTCTTACAAAGTTAGGCCTTAATCTTTGAGGCTGAACTTAAAGTAATATCCAATGTTTAAAAGTTTAGTTAATATTATATGTAAATATGATTAGCCGATTTTGAGGGAGACTACTTTTTCGTCGAATTATTAAATCATATGTCTCATTGTTCTTTGCTTCTCTACTTTTTCAACAGCATGTGATTAATTTTGATCTACCATCAGATATTGAGGAGTATGTTCATCGTATTGGTCGTACAGGTAGAATGGGCCAACCAGGCTCTGCAACATCATTTTTTTCTGAGAAAAATCAGAATGTGGTAAGAGATTTGGTTGAATTGCTTCGTGAATCTAAACAAGTTGTACCACCGTGGTTAGAAGCACGTGTTACTTACCCTTCAGGACCAGCGAGTCGTCGCAATAAGAATTTGAATAATAACATAAATAAAAAGTAAGGTTTTCTACACCTTAGTCTTATAAATTATTCGAAACATTGAAATGCTTACTTCACAGTTAACAAATTTTATATAATCTTTTGGATTTTACTGAGCTTATAGGTTTCTCCTCCGCCCTATTTTGTCAAGAAATATTACCATGACTATTCAAAATTGATTTGTTGGAACTTAATGTCAATGAAGAAGTCCATAAATATACTTTACATGCTGTTAAGAAGAAACATGAAATAATGTTTGTGGTTTCTAAATTTAGATGTTCTTAGTTCTTTCGTGTTTGGTGTAGTTTGTTAGACTTTGTCCCACCCATGTTCATCTTGATTTCATTTAAGTAAATTGTCCGTTTCTGTGTGTGGAGCGGTGGCTCAGTAGTTAAGACGTCTGACCTTCACTCACTAAGTCACAAGTCCGAACCCTGCTTTATTTCGGTTCGGACGACTGAATAGTAGTATCATTAGCTTTCACACAAACTGTGGCTGAAAACTAAGTACACAAATCTGTATCTGGTAAATGAATTAAATTATCCAATCGTTTCTGTTCTTCCGATGAGTACACTCACTTGAGGTGATACACTGATGCATAATCTACGTAGTTGTGTGTCCATCGTATGGAAAGAGCGCTAATTTCAGTCACTGAAAGTAATAATTTTATGATCGTTTTCTTAAGATCAGCTCTCAAAGATCGCAAATGGATGCGGCGTGAATTTTTGTAAAACATTGAGTAAAAAGTTACTTTTGTCCCTCTTACCAGTGGGTTAGAAATCAGTTAGTTCTTCATAGATAGTTTTGTATTAACGACATGGTAATTTTTTTCAAAACATTAAGCATGTGCTGATATAGCAAACCATTTCACTTTCTTCATCGATCCATATTTCTCACTTTCCGTTCACTTCATTTTGTTATGTCAAGGTTACTTTTCAACCTTATTACATGTATGAATTAGAATTAGTGTAAACCTCATACCTTTTTCATGTCATTCAACAAGTTTTTCAACAAATATCTTGTCATCCTACTTTTGTGTTGTACTAAATGTCGTCAGGACGATTTTTCTTTACTATGCAATTGCTGAGTCCTTGCTCTTCCTAAAAGATCAATACTCATCATAAGAACCCTTGAACCTTGTTTGCAAAGCATACTCCAATTTTTGATTAGATTAAACTGCTATTTTTGTGGTCAACAATGTATGTTTATGATTATCAAGTTGAAAGACTCTTTTCTTGAGATTATTATCCGACATTACCTCTATCATATATATTCTCGTAATAAATGAAGATAGTAGTTATTTTATATTTTTATGCTTAACTCTGCATAGGCATGTGTGATATATATATATATATATATATATATTAGCTGTTTTTTCATCTTACATTTGCAACGTGGTGAAATAAACCAGTTTGCGTTTATCTAAGAGAAAGAAGTTTTTAGTGTCTCGTGCTAGGTACCATGTGGCGGTGGGTGGGTTATCATTCAATATTGATTGTACTGTAAAACTTTAGATCGGTTTTATTAGTGTAGATTATTATATTAAAGTATATACTTGTGTGATCGCATTTATTTTTCTGGTATTCATTATCATATATTTTAGGAATCGAGCTAATTATTGTTCATTTGATTGTCGACAGTATGGCAATCGAAGTATCAGCTATGTCGGTGGATCTTTACCAATGAATAACAATACCAATAATAACAGTAATGTGCCCAATGGTGGACTTGGACTACTTGGAAACTGTTCATTGTCATTCCCTATTGCTAGTAATCCTAGACATCCACAGAACAATACTTACAACCCATTATTTCAGCCTAGTCAGAATCAACAGTCTAACAAAGTTTTCTGTAAAAATAATTCTGGCTATAGTAACCGAGTGAACACATTTACAGGAACACATGAACAACAGAATAATTCTTTAGCAGCACCTGTTTCTTTATTTCATCATCAGCCTAGACTTCAACATCCGCAACCAGCAACACTGATGCCTGCACCAAATCCAAATGCTGCAGTTCATCAATTTTTGGCGGCAGCTGTCGCAGCTGGGATCCACCCTATGCCATCTAATGGTACAAATATTAACGATGGAAATCTAACGGCTATGAATAATGGAGGCTTTCAAAATCCGCATGTTCATCCAGCAAATGGTGCAGCTTTTGCAACACCTACTTACCAGGCTTTTCATCCGGCCGCTGTTTTTCCTTCATCAAATCAAGTTCCGTCACAATCTGTTTCTTCTAATGGTCGAGAGGGCTCTGGGACTGTAGTATTTCCATCACCTGCTGGTCTTTATCATGCAGGTAACTTAAATGGAACTAATACGCTAAACTCAACAAGTTCGGCCAGTCATCAAACCTTACAACAAACTCATCCAGCTACAGCACTTATCCAAACTGGCTACCCTGTTCAATATTACCCTCAAAATCAACAGCACTTTGGTCCTGTCTCCAACGGAATTCAGCGTCATTCACCTCAGCAACAACAGCACCATCAACAACAACAAGCTGTAGTCGCTGCTGCAATGGCTGTCGCAGCCGCTATGAATAATGGTATGCAATCGAATAGCGAGAATTGCAATGCATATATATCTCAACATTCTCAAATGGAATGCAATATTCCACTTGATTCCATCACAGCATCTAGTCCATCTGGACAAATAACTAAAGGTGGATCTGTTATTCAACCGGTGTTTAGAAATGATGGTGACTGGTGGACATCGGCCACACCAACATAGTTCATATTGTGAAGTTAGGCATCATTTGATTTACATAGTGTCGTAGTGATTTTGTTTACATTATTTATGCATTCGCATGTTTTGAAGTACTTACTTTACTTAGACATTTGACTTTTGTATTAATGTGCGAGTTTCCATGAACGCGCTTACATTATACATGCATGTTTGCCTACAAACAAAATCATTACTCATTGAGTATAATTTGTCTTTATAATTCTATATAAATCTTACTTAGTTGTTTAGCCCTTCATTTCTATGTAACCAATTTTCTCTGTTATTCTGATTACTGTTATCAGTAATGTATGATTCCAATTGTTTACAATTTTATCATTATTTCCTTGTGTCTTGTTACTAGGCATTAGTTGCTTTTTTTTATCATCATGTTATACTGTCTTCTGTATTACTATTTTGAGTTATATGCCTGTGAGTTTGTTCTTTATGGTAACATCTATATTGTCTATTCCACCATTCATTAGCTAATTTAAAGAAAATACTTCACAATTGCTCGTATATATTCATATATAAATATCGACGTCGGTCAACTAACTCCCTGTGTCTGTTTTCTTATTATTCTTTATTCTTTTATTTACTCTCATGTCTGCTTTTTTGTACGACTAGACTCTCTTGCTTTTGAAACACCTATTAAAACCAACTAATTATCCTTAAATTACTATCTTCAATTAATTTTTCTTCTTTGGAAAGCTCTTTATTGTTGAAAATGCGCCTCACTGTTTTCAAGCTACTGTTGCTGTTATCATTGTTATTGTTAATAATACTAATGATGTGCAGCGTTAAGGATTACCACCATTCTCAATGTATGAATTTTTTGTACAGTTGCGATACTGACATAAGTATGGTTTTTTGCCATTATTTGAAGTAGAATTTATATTCATTATACAACTAATACAAATTGTATACACACTGACATACTCATCAAATATATAGGATTTTCACTTGAATATTATGCATAATGTAATATTGAGATTGTACCATATTTGACTTGTTTTTTTTTTGTCCATTTATCTACCTTAGCATTTGTTAGTTACTTTCATCTGTCCTCTTTCTCATTTCATTCAGCTTAATCATAACCATAATCTTGTTTTACTTCTGTCATTATTGTCTTTCTTTTTTTTTTTTCATTTTTTAAAAATTGAATTTATGTTTAATCTAAAACTGCACTACTTTCTTTTGTTTCAGTGATTATATTCCTTTTTATTGCGTGTAAAAATCAACTATACACTGTCCATGTGCTTTCCTCTACTGTGTCTGTGTGTACATGTGTCTCAACAAATCATTATATTACCATCTTGTCTTTACATCGTATCAAGTTGTCTATACATTTATATAGAGTAAGGTCTATGTCAGTGTTGTATTTAACTATCTGTTTACATATATATATATATATATATATATATATATATATATATATATATACTACCACTACTATTAAATTCTAACAAATTCTGTTCGCAACTCAGGGTCATTCTGCTTAAAATGAAAAATTGAACTACTTGGATCTATATTTAAAAGCAGAAAAGGGTGTGAAAGGCTGAGGGTATTTTGTCAGTGAAATTATTCTATTTTAAAAACTAATCTCTAACTAACTATCCTTCATCTTATATTTCTTCTATTGATTCAAATTATTTTTCTGTTTATCCCTTTTTTTCCCTATCTGTTACACAAGTGTTTGAACATTTTCTGTTTGAAAACTCTTTCTCAGTGTTAGAGAAAAATGTCTTATTCTTCATGATTGAATTAGTTGTTGTAGTATTCTTACACTGGTTACCTTCGTTGATACAGCATAGCTTATTGTTGGTTGACGAGCAAATGTAAATTAGCTAACGTTTTTTTTTGAAACTATTGTTTTGTTAATCCCACCTCTTCAGTTCATGTTACTACTACTATATCATCATTACATTGTTTTTTTTCTCTTTTGTTGTTTGCTTTTGTCACATTAAATGGTAATAAGTATAAACAACAACAATTATCAAGGTCAAACAATAATCTATAAAAGATTAATAATGTTGATCTTGTTTATATTAAACAAACAAAAATGTCATGATTGATTTTTGTTGTTATATTTCCTTAATTTTATTTCATATAGTAGTTATTGGGCAGTTTGTAGGTCGATTAATGTTAGTGCATAGATTTTTGATGGTATCAAGCTTCTCGTTAATATTATTCATACTTTTTAATTTGACCGAGTGATTTCTGCATCATACATGAACAAGATGTGTCGTGCTCATTGCAGAATTAGTGTTTCACCAATGAACTTAAATTTTATAAAGTTTGTATGGTTGTTTTCTGGAATTTTCGAGAACTCTAAATTAGATTAGATTAGATGACGTGATAATTCTTCAACATCTTATTAGTATCTTGGAAGGTCGGTCAGTCAGTCAGATGCAACATAGAACTTCGTACGTAAATGCATCAGTTTATGTTGCCATACCATATCAGCACAGAGATATGAATGTCAATTCAAATCCAATAGTAGAAGAGGTAGTACGGGTATTAGAAGTAATCGGAGAGGTTAGGATTAGAAGATATTATTCAAGAAGTGTGATTAAATGAGAACAGTTTAGAAAGTCAAAACTAGGGGTGTTGAAGAATCCAGAAGATCAGGATTTGAGAGAACACAAAGAATAAATGCACCGGTGCCATTGCGAACGATTTTGAGCCATGTCATTCAAGGTCTCTAACCATCGGTAAGTATCATCTCGCGGACCCCAACCAGGTAGTCGACAACTATCGACATGGCTCAGTGCACTTCTCAATGACTTCATGGATTTCTGCCATGTTTTGGTTTGGCCGCCCGTAGCTTTCTTCCAGCCTATTTCTACACTACAAAACAAAGCTCGACGAGGCAGTCGGTGGTTGGGCATACGCAGCACATGTCCCAACCACCTCAACTGATGAAATTTCATTACTTCATCTATTGATCTGCCATTCTTACCTAGCACCCGATTCCTAGTAACAGCGTTGCTCACTCGGGTGTCCCACGATATACGAGCAATGCTTCGAAGACACCTATGATCGAAAACCAATAACCGGCGAGTATCTTCTACTCTCATTGGCCATGTTTCACTGCCATAAAGTAAGATGGAGCGAACCACTGCGCAGTACACTCGTCCTTAAGTCAGCAAACGGATATCTCGCCTACGCCATAAGTGATGCAGGTTGGCAAAAGCCAATCGATCCTTCTGCATCCGTGCTGAGATTTCGTCAATCACCAGGCCATCTGCACTGATGAGACTTCCCAGATGAGTGAACCGTTCAACACGTTCGACTACTTCACTGCCTATCACTAGTTCAGGTGCCGATGAAACCCAATCTTGAAGAAACACTTCGCATTTCGAGGGGGAAAACCGCATCCCGAACATGCTTGCATTGTTGCTTAGGGTGGTCAGAAGACTGCATTTTGCCAGCGTCTTCACCAAGTAGGACTATGTCATCAGTATATTTTAAGTCAATTAGCGAGCCTCCTGGTAAAAGGTCTCTTCCTAAAAATTAAGATGAGCATAAGGCTATATCTGGGATCGTGTCTATGATAAAATTAAACTAGAATGGAGTGAGTGGACATCCCTGACGGACACCACTTGAAGTGAAGAATTCCGTTGACAGTTCGCCATAAGCTCTTACTCGACCAGTGGTGTTCGAGTAGAGAGCTTGTATAAGGTTAATGTGCTTTGGTACACCTTTCAACGACAGACACTGCCACAGAACCTCACGATTCACAGAGTGAAATGCCGCTTTTAGGTCCAGGAAAAGAACTATTGTAGGACGCCTAAATGTGTGTCTGTGTTCTAGGACCTGTCGTAGGGTGAAGATGTGGTCTATACAACCACGTCCAGGTCGAAAACCAGACTAGTTTTCTCGAGTTTGCTCTTCACGAGCTTTCGTTAAGCGTCGAAGTATCATTGAGGCCAATAGTTTAAAAACTATATTAGTTAGACTTCTTCCCCTGTGATTGTCACACGAAGACTTTTGTCCTTTCTTATAAATGGGGACAATCACTGATTGAGGCCAGTTGGATGGATTATTTCCAGTTCCCAGATTCTACCTAAGAGTTCAGTCAATCTAACTGTTAAAACTGGACCAACGTGCTTAAAAGTCTCTGAGGTAAGCCCTTCAGTCTTGCTACTCTCCGTCGCTGCAGACTTCCTATAGATTTTTCAACTTCATTCATAGTCGCAGGACTTATATCGACTTGCCATTCAAGTTGACTAGAGATCGTGGGTAAATGAAGTGTGGCTGAAGACTGGTTGAATTGTTCTTCCCATCAACCCAGTCTTGCGTGCTGTGACGGGTATGAGGGGGGTTATCACTTCCCGGCTGCCCACACCGTGGAAGGTTGTTCCTTGAGGAACCTGCAAAGAAAAGTAGATTAGCATTGGTCTTAATTACCTGGAAGCGTGACTGCAGAGCCCAAGGGACAAGTGCTTGATGCCGGTCACGCACGACCTTTCTATGAGAAGCTTTTAAAGCACTAGCTCCGCTCTTGTTTAAAAAGCCTTACCGCAGGAGACGGAAATCCGTGAAGGGTGACATTTTTAGAGTTGACCTTATATGAACCCTTACTTCCTTGTGAGAAGGCAGCATCGCTGCAGATGCTGGTTGTCCGAGGGAAACACCTTACTGCTGTCACATCCTTCTACAGTCAGCAGTACGACTTCGCCCTCAGACATTGGGTAGCTGCCTTTAGTCTCATCGTTCTCCAATCGACCTGCCTGGCATGGTAGAACCCACAGGGACATATGTTCCAGGCAATATAGCTCGGTTGGATCATAACGATAGGCAAACCCGACCATCACGTGAAAATAGCAGCTACAGTCGCGCAAATCCTATAGTAGTAGAGGTGATAGAAATATTAGCAGTAATCGGAGAGATTAGGGTTCGATGATATTATTCAAGAATTATAATTTAGTGAGATAACGTTAGAAAGAGAAAGATAGAGGTGATGAGGAATTGGGAAGATTAGAATTTGAGAGAAAACAAAGAATGAATGTACCTGCGCTATCGCAATCGATTTCGAGTTATGTCATTCAATATCTCTAACCATCGATTACTATCAAATCGCGAAGGAGTACAATAGCATCTCTCCTGAAGCTATTTTTTGTTGTTCAGCCTGCGTCCAATGTGTTTCACTGATTCCAAGTACCATCAGGTTGTATCCTCTCATTTCTGCAGCCACTTGAATGGTTTTCGCAGTCTTTCACATTATGCAAACATTCCATGTGCATATATTAGCTGTTGCTGTGGTTGTGAGAACGGACATGACTTCATGACTTCCGAAGAAACTGAGCTCTCCTCATGATGCGTCACAACTGCACTAAGTGGAGACCTTGCAACTGCCAGGGTAGAGTTTAAACGGTTTGAATTAATTATCCTGGTTATATTTTTTATAGCAATTTTGATTTCTACGTGATGGGGTCAGTAACCCGATGACGAACCCTCCTCTTTTATCTGAGTTTAGGAGCGGTAGTAAACCTAGAAGCGTTTCATGCTGTATTACCTTTTTCTAAGCCTTTTTCGTCGACAAGAAGCATATCTGTGAACAGGTAGTGTATTCGTCCATGTAATATCAATTTACCGAGAAGTGTAGGAGCAGACATCGCGATTTCAAAACCTCTCCTTAATGGCCACTATAATGCTTGAGAATTGGCACGCTTTTTGACTCAATGATGACAGGAACAAAATAAACTGAAGGCAAGTTTATTGTGTAAGGATAAATTGCATTTTCTCGACACTTTACTGAACAGTATAAAGAGTTTTTATCCACGTGACACCTACCTCGATTTAGTTATCCTTCATCTAATGAAAAAAAATGTCTTGTAATGAAAGCTATTAACATCTCGGATGATATCTTGCCTAAGAGGTTAACGATCAGTCCAAAATATCGATTATAATTATTCACAATATCACATTCGTAATGAACAGATTGCATTTACCTGACACTAAATTAGCTTCAATAATTGTCCATTGAAAGCCAGCATTTCTTAAAATTCAGTTGGGTTGAGTCTTATGAGTGTGATTTAACATGATTCTTAAAAATACTTATATCAATTCACTCTGTTTTATCTTTTGTTGATTGATCTTGACTGTAAATCGAACATAAGCTGCCAAGAACCCCCTAACTAAAACTTTTATTTTCAGTTTACTAGCAACTGATTTAGAGATGATTTCCTGAACTTCATCTGGCAATTCTCAACCTACGAAGTTCAAACATGTCGAGAGTGAAGTCAATGACATTGGAAAATCACAGCTGTATCGTCAACTGGCTGAAGTTGGAATTATGTAAGCAATTATTAGAGGTTAGTATTATTCATGCGGTAACTCTGGACCCAGATTTCGTGTTAATTTGCGCTCACTAAAAGAGTTTACCTGAAGGCTCGTGGGAACTGATGTAGGCTTCGGTCCCTCATTTCCCATCTTCATAGTCTGAAAGTAATGTCTCAGAGAGGCTGGAGCTTGTCTACAACAAAGTCTATTGTCCACTTACCAACATTTATTTCTTTACCAACTATTTCTAGAGTGAAGAAATCACTCAATATTGCTAATGAAAAGCGTTTTTTCATCGAATATAAACGAAACACCATTTGTTATACCCTTGATGTTGTCACCTTATTTCTCGTTATTGATTGGTTCTAATTTGATAGTTACCATTAATCAATTATCCTAGAATGTTTTTATTGTCATTGTTCATAAGAGAAACGTAATTAATTGCTATCGAATCCCTGTCCACGATCTGTTAAGGTTTTAAGATATTATTCTATTACGGGAAAACAGGATAAACCTGATTGCTTTCTTACAGCTGAATTTTTCAGATTATCTGTGAATGTGATCGATAAAATAATGAAAAGAGTTAATAGGATATTTATTACAATTAGCCTTTTGTTAGACAATGAATTTAAAGTAGTAAATTGTAAACAGACCCATAAAGACGTTTAAAATGCATCGGGATCAATGAAATGTTATGATTTAACCGCTTATTCGATAAAATGAGGAAATAATTATCTTGAAGTCAGTATTCCTGTTCACAGTCCAGGTTCTGAAAAAAAACATTTTTTAAATTTTGTGTTCAACTGACGTATCCAAAATAATAAGAAACGTGCATCCTGGATTCTACTTCTAGCCACTATCCACTTCTGCTAATATTCCTTGTAACCTAAAGTCAGTATCGATGTGATCCCCAAGAGATGCACATATATCCCAAAGTGACTGATTAATTATAGTCCTAAACATCAATTGTGAAGATCCAAACAACTAATACAAATGAATTTCAATTTGATTGTTTGATAATTTAGAATAACCTAATGATTTTATTAGTTATTAAGTTCATTTTTTTTAATTTCGCGTAAAAGTTAATAAAATGTTACGAGAATATTCTACTCTGCATAAGCTCTACATGTGAATTCAATATCCAATGATGAATTAGTAGCGAACTGATGATTTTTATCGTTCTAACTGATGAACTGTTATTATCTTTTTATGAAAAGCTTTTCTTCATTTGAGCTAGAAAGTTAACAGTCAAAATGAAACAATGCAGAATGAAATATTTTTTAATCGATCTCAACCGAATTAAGAAGAATCATTCAAATTTTTTTTTATTTATTTTTCTACTGGCATTTTACATTTTATGCAAAAATTGTTGACTGAGAGTAAAAATATTCAACATCAAAAGAGAATACCACTAATGAATTCTTAACTTGTTATATTTGAAGGCAGTTTCTGTGGTATATATCTTAGTTATATTTCTGTGATTTCTACCAAGTCACTCACTGTTTCTATGTTCCATCTTTTGGAAGGCAACCAGATACTGTAAAATTTCGAAAAACCGTCAGATGGTTATATATATTCATGGAGAGCATGCTGGGTTTGAAATTCAAAATAACATTGTCTAACGTCATTCACGAAACTAACACGAGTGTTTCAGTAAACACTATTTCAAAATGAATAGCTTCACAGACATTTAACATTGACACCGAGCTTATTCGTCACAAATGGTAACAACAGCTGGAGTCACTTTGTCAATCGTCACACCTGAATCCCAATAATCAGTCTGATAGTCTTACATTCACCTATCTGTCTATGACTCAATATATTGTTATTTCTAACGGGTTCGAGTTTTCGTTTTTATTAATCTTTCGGGAATTGTGCATCTTTTTTGTGTCGAAGCTGCCTCATACTCTTAAGGAATTATGGAGATTCTATTGTTAAAGGAGAAATGATATTGTTTTTATCAGTTAGTTATTCTGTATTTACATTTGACTAGAAAGTACTAAAGTAAGTTTCATTTTTTATCAAACGATTATCACCAAAAATCCATATGAGATACGTAGAAACTGGTACGCTTGTTTCGGAATTCATGTAATTCACAGACCGATCTAAATTTCTACATCTCACTCACGGAGTATATTAACTGTGAATTCTATTTTTATCTACATTCTTTTTGTGTAGATTAGTCCTGGGATTCCTAAACTGAACACGATATAGTTATGTTTGAACCATTAAGTTAGCTCACAATTGAGAAAGAGTGGACACTGGCCTACATAACCTTTGTTCTCAATACATTTTAATTCAATATCAATAGTTGATAACAACAAATATATTTGTCTTTTGGTTACAACATGTTAATTGACTGATCTTGTTTACACATAATTTGTGTCATACAACTTAATTGAAAAAAAATATTCATCCATATAAAGGTCAATTTTTCTTAAACTAATCAACAAACTACTAGTAATACATAACATCCAACCATATTTTTCAAAATTCTCATCTCGAATAATACACTGCAAACTAGCCGGTATCATGTCAAAGTAATCAGTCATTGATTTGACATCATAATCATTATTATTATTATTATCACGATTACTACTACTACTACTACTAGTAGTAGTAGTAGTAGTACTAGGTGGAGGAGCAGTTTGTATTAATTGAATTAATTGTTTCAATGAATTTTTCATTGTTTTCTTTTTAGCAATTTGTTGTAATGTTTCACATCCTGGTGTAATTTGAAATAATGGTGTAATAATTTGTTGATAAATATTTTTAATCAATTCAATTAGATCATTTAATATTTGTAAAATCATACTGATCAATTGACAACGTAATCCTTTTGGATCAATTGGTTTACCAATCATAGTTTGTAAATATATTTTAAATTCTTTCATATCATTCATACATTTGATACCATGAATTAATAATTTTGAAAAATTATCATCATTTTGAACAGTTGCGTCTGATTGTAATTGTTTTAAATAAACAAGAAAATCTGGTATTAATGAAATCATTTTTTCATTGGATTGTTGAATCAAACAAAGATCATTTTGAAATAATTGATTTTGTGCTAATTTCGCCAAATGAATCATGTTAAAATTTTTTTCTATATTTAAAAAAACAAACAAATACAACACATTTGAATTAAATAAACAGAGATAATCAAGATATGAATAGATTTTTGTTTAAAATCGATCGCAAAGACATGATTAATTAAGACAGATATTTACAAAGTAAATAACATGTTGTTCCGTAATAATAGATGGTTTAATGTTTGGATTTCGTTTCTTGTTTTTAAGAGAAAATTTATCACATATTCAAATCGTGTTTCCAATTTTTTTTTCAAGCCTGTGATTATTGACAATGTATTATGCCTGATACTTTTGAAACATTATTCGCTTAATTTCAAATTCTAACGTATGCAGTATTTATGTTTTCTATTTGATATATCGAACTTAGCTATAAATGAACATGCTTACAATAGACAGTTCTAGTTAACACCAATAGTTTGAAATGAAATAACACTTTAGCATACATTCAAACACTAGAAAATTTACTGACAACATTGTGTACGATATTCTTTTAGTGAGCAATGTAAACGTTGTCAATAACCTTAGCCCTATTTTGGTTTATTATTACAGAGATTCATGTAAATAAGCCTTGTTTTGGTATAAATAAATTCTTAATATCAATAAATAAATATACTTGGTCTAAAGTTACTTGTTGTATAAGTTTAATCATTTCAATGTTTGAATTTTATTCGATTGATAAACGTTTGTCTCTACAATAAATGTTTGAATGGTAGCGTATTAAAAACTTCAATTGATTAGTTGACATTCAGTTCAGTCAAACCTTCTACTGATATAACTTCTTCTGAGAAGCTGAGATCATTTTAAATTATGAAACTAGAATTTGTAGAATATCAAGCATTTCGGGGCAGGAATTATTCACAGCCAATGTGAAACTCCATAGTGTAATGATATTAAAATCTGGGTTAGCTTGTTCCTTGTGATTGTAAATTCACTTCATAAAGTAAGTTAAACAAATCCAGGATTTAAAATTATTATAACATACTATTTATCTTTAGAATTTTAACAGTGACTCTATCACTTATGTTTGTAATCTCAGTGAATTTCTTCAACTCTTATCAATCAAGTACAGACAAATTTGTATTAATTAGTCAGTTATTTGTTTCAATTGTGTTGAATTTAATTTTGGTCATTGACATGCAACAAATAAAAAACATTCTTCGATTTAGAAATTATCGATTCATGAGAAATAAACTATAAATGTTATTAAAAATCGAAAATAAATGACATTGTGTTGTAAGAATAGCTTTATGATAAGAGTATTAATTATTCAAAATGTTTATTGTTTTTTAGAGTACTAGATATTCACTTTATTTTAATCTATGCATTGTTAGGATTGCATTTTTTCATATCCTCTCTTATCTGACAAATGAGTAGGAGTTTATTTTTCTATTGGGCATGTTTCAAACCAAGCATTATGCTGAAATACAACTATCGAAATCAATCTCAGCATTGTTTGGTTGATATTGTAGTCGGATGCAAATTTTCTGTTTGCTGACTATATTTCAAATATGTTAACTTGTTAATTTATAAGGTTTTTGAATACCTTCGAATGACATTAGACAAGAATACATGGCAGCATCCAGTTATCCATCATAATGTGTCCTGATTATAACATGTTATCTTGAAGACCACGACATTTAGTTTATGTGTTTTGGTTTGGCCTGGAAGTTATTAGTGCTGATTCTCAAACAAATAATGTAACTCAATTACGAATGCGTAAACTTGTATGTCATACAATAATACCAAATAAAAGTGTATTGTATCATCAGTGAGAATTGATTGACTACATTATACTTTAATGCTTTACTAATCGATATCCGTTATTTAGTAAAATATTCATATTTTTTTTTCTAAGTTTGAATTTTAGTTTCTTCATTACCTACGGGTCTATTCCATTGTGAAATAATGTATTGGTTAGTAAACACTTTAATGTTATTATTTCACAATTACCATTGTTTTCAAATTCTCATAGTCTAATTCACATTCACATTAATCAATATTTCAATTTATTTTGTACACCACATACAAGTTAGAAATGAACATTGAATTATCTAGATCACATGATTAAATAGCACTTATTTTATTTGCATAATATTAACTAGCTCGAAAAATATGTGATTATTGCTTAGTACAATTGATTTGTACATCATTTAGGTTGAATTATTGTTTTCAAATATTTATTCTTGTGCATAAATAATAAAGAACCAGTGTGGGAAGAAATGATATTCTTTTGTTTTGTTTTGTTGAACATGAATATTGATCAAACTCTTTGCGTAACTGATTGTTTTACAAAGCTGTGCATAAGTTGCCCTTTTTTTGAACACTAGAACAAGGCTTAGAAAGTAACAGTTAATTTTTGTTGACTAATATCAGTTGTAGAATGATTGCAAACTACTAAGTACTTGGCGTTCATTTTTGATCTAACGTTCGGATTCTTGAAAAGGGATCGAACCCTAGGACCTTCAGACTTCGCAACGATCATCATACCTTGAGGTCACTGCTCACCTAGTCATCACAATGGTCATCTTTCTATTTATGTCCAGTTAAGTATCATCTTTAATCACTTTATGTTTTTTAATTCTTCAATTTCAATAATGTTTTTTTCTCCTTCAGAACTACCATTTCCTATGATTAGTCAGTCAGTCAGTCAACCAACATTGAACTTCGTACGTAAGTACATCAGTTCAAGTCGCCATACCACATTAGCACAGAGATGCAATTGTCACTTCAAATCCCATACTAGCAGAGGTAGTAGAAGTATCAGCAGTATTTGGAAATTTTAGGGTTCGAAGATTGTGACCGATTTTGTCTCATGTGCTTTTATGGGTATGAGAGCGGATGTTACTTCCCGGCTGCTCACACCATGGAAAGGCTTCAGTGGTCAGAAGGGGCATCGCCCTTCCGACTTCTGAAGTCGCCAACCCCAGTCCCACCCTTGCTCCTTTATCCGGGCTTGGGACCGACAGTAGCTCTGAAGGGTCTACAGGAGGAGTTATATTTCTTACGATTAGATATTTATTATGTTCTAGATTACTTCTTTATTTAATGCCTACTATGTTGTGTTGACTCTTCATTAAACAAGATATGACAACTTTAAATACGTAATTATTATAAATCATAATAAACACCGGTCTTCACCTCAAACGAATCTGTCAGCTATCCTTTGCGCACGATTTTGCAGTTTATTCCATCATAAGAAGTCAACATCATACGGAATTCTTATGATGGATCAAACTGCAAAATCGTGCATTGAGGACAGCTGACAGACTAGTTCGATGTGAAGACCGGTGTCAGGCAAGGTTGCCTACTCTCACAACAAATGCAAGAAAAGACGACCAGTGTAGCAGCAGCCTATGCAGCAGCTTGTCTCAACATTCATTAAAGAAAAAGCAAAATTCTCCGATGCAACACAACATGCACCAACCAAATCACTCTTAATGGAGATGCCTTGGAGGACGTTAACAGCATCATCGACAATCAAGGTGAATCCGGTTCAGATGTGAGGGCGCGGATCGGCAAAGCAAGGGCTGCATTTCTACAGTTGAACAACATCTGGAACTCCAAACAACTTTCAACCAAAACCGAAATCAGGATTTTCAATACAAATGTCAAGACAGTTCTACTGTATGGAGCGGAAACATGGAGAACTACCAAAGCCATCATCCAGAAGATATAAGTGTTTATTAACAGTTGTCTACACAAAATACGCCGGATTCGTTGGCCAGACACCATCAACAACAACTTACTTTGGGAGAGAACAAATCAGATTCTAGTGGAGGAGGAAATCAGGAAGAAACGGTGGAACTGGATAGGACACATACTGAGTAAGGCACCCAACTGCCTCACAAGACAAGCCCTCACATGGAACCCTCAAGGCAAAAGGAAAAGAGGAAGGCCAAGAAACACATTACACCGTGAAATAGAGAAAGATATGAGAGGAATGAACAAACATTGGACAGAACTGGAGAGGGAAGCCTAGGACAGAGTTGGTTGGAGAAAACTGGTCGGTGGCCTATGCTCGATTGGGGGTAACAGGCGTAAGTAAGTAAGCAAGTAAGTAAGTAACCATAATTTTCTAATAAAATTTTCTTTTTCTTCATTTTACCTGAATTTTCTATATTGTATGCAATTGGAATCATAGCGGATTTCCATTCATTTATAGCATTATTTAAATTGTTATCATTGATAAAAAGTTGAATTTTAAAACAATTTACTCCAATCGCTACACGTGTTTCAACTGTATCAAAATATTTTTGTATACAATTTTCAAGTTGATACTTGGCTGAATTCAATTCTTCTATTTGATCAATACTATCTGGATAAACGATCAGTATTAAATCTGAAAATAAAATAAAATTATACATCATTGTTGAAAAATTATCAAACATAAAAATTGTATAAATTTACGCTAATCTAACACATAGTTATGATTAAATATGGACTTATATTTAAGAATCAATAGCAACCAACAAGTAGTATTGATCAGATATGCTCTACTATTCAACGATCAATATTTAAATCCTAACACTGGGATTTGCCCAAGATCTACTACAGTCGGAATTCATTTAGGGTCTAATCTCAACTACAGTCAATATGAGTTGTAACTTCAACTAAACAACTTAAATAAATTCTAGTTTATTTTTTTAATCTCCTGAGTTTGTATTCATTCTAATATTGAGTAAAGAATTTAATATTGAACAAGGTATATTGAATAGAAAATTTTTACAAAGTGCCATGATAAGGACAAAAATTCACCAACTCATTAAAAACAAAAAACAATTGAGTAAATCATTGTGTAGATGATTGATTTGTTGTAATTGTTTGATTATTAATCAATTAGAGTAGTTTACTATTCATAACCACGTAAAGTTTGATTAAGTTAATTCAACTGTTTTAAACAATAAACTTATTTTAATAAGAATACTGATTTTTGACAATGAAAAGTTGAATGTACTTTTTGAAGACTAACTTATGCATTTTAGAGTTATGCTACTTAACTAATAAATGATAAACTACGATCAAAAAGTATGATAAATAGGAGTGGAGCTACACTTAGTATAACAGGCAAATTATTGATTCAAGTTATATGAAAGATATCGTCAGACTATCACAATCATTTAAAATACTAACCCGCATAGAATTACAAATGAAGTCAAGTCCATAATCAATCAGAAATAATCCAATCATTGAAATACAGATCCAAGAAATGTAAAGTGAAAATTTCACTCAATCTCTTTACATAGAACCTAGTTAATTGTTGAAACTCAACTAAACTAGTATATACTAACATAATGAAATCTGTTAATTTTCACAAAATAGTAGCTGAATGAAACGTTGTATATTTGATAAAAATGATTAGTAAGTCAGATAATTTCGGGGCAAATAAAAAGTCTATCCACCAACATAAATAGAACTCTTCGACTAACTTGAGAGGATCGAGAGTTAAGGTTAAAAGATTTTAATCATTGAGTGGTTTGTTAATGTTTTGCTCATTTACATAAATTTATTCTGTGAATTATTATAACCAATTTTCATAACATAACTGAAGCCAAAAATTGGAAGTTTCACTTAGTTCTAAATTTCCCCGGTTCGATCCCGGGTTCCGGCAGTTGGCGGTCAGTTTTTCTGCCGGAATAGCTCAGTTGGAAGAGCGTTAGACCTTACTTAGTTCCCGAATAACTTGTTTTTCTTCATTTCCGCTTGTTACCCTTCTTCGTGCGTAGGCTGATGACCATCAACCTGCAACCAGATGTGTCCTCCACTCTTCTTTCTAGCTGTTCTCAATTGCAATTCATTTTCTTCATGTCTGTATTCGATTCTCAGTGCATTGAATTCCTGGATATACCTCTTTTCCTTTGGCCTTGAGGAGCCCAAGTTTGAGACTGACACGCGGTACAGTTGGAAGATTTCTGTAATGCGTCCTCTTTACCCCCAGCGCTTTGCCTTAGGTTCCTTGTGAGCGGAAATCCGGTTTGTTCTTTCCCACAAGAGGTTACTGCTGATGGTGTCTGGCCAACGGATCCGAAGTATCTTGCGTAGACAACTGTTTAAATATACCTGCATCTTTTGGACGATGGCTTTCGTGGTTCTCCAAGCTTCGGTGTTGGTTGATAGCTGTTTTGAGTTCCGGATGTTATTCCTGTATATATATACTATCCTTACCTTGCTAATCCGTGTCTTTACATTTGCTCTGCCTGAAGTACTTCTAGGGTTACTACCAGTCCCATGCCTGGATAAAGGAGCAGGAATGTGAATGAGGTAAGCAAATCCAATACTGCAGAAAATAAACTTCCTAAAAATACACTAACCAGGAAAAAATTATTTCAACCATTCAAAAACTCATTGATAACATCATTCACTCCAATAAAATCTGTCAAGTTACCGATTTTTAACGAAACGCTTTCAATTAATTAATCAGATAAAATTTATTGAAATAATTTATTAGTTTTCTTGAAACTAATTCTTATTTAAAAAAAAATTACTGGATAAATATCATGACAACACTAACCAGGCTCAATTCGTTCCAATATGAATCCACTAAATAGTTCATTATTTTCTTCTTCTAAATACCATTTTAATGTTAGCAAATTAGTATGACGAAATATCTGATGATCAAATTTTTCACGTACTTGTGCTAAGAAATAATTCATAGATGAGTAAACACCATCAGTAATCGGTTGACAATCGGTTATGTGTAATTTAATACCGATTTCACCTAAAAAAATTAGTTTATTCAAATAGTATAACATTAGACATTATACATACAGTACAATAAATCTAGATTTCACAGATTTCATATAACACGTAGACAAATAGCTGAATTCATTGTATTTTATCTTTTGTTTCAACTATACTACAACGACGACTCTTTAAATTTTGCTTTAATGAAAATAAAAAAGCGAAAAATGAATAACCAAATAGTTTTGCCTTTAGAAAAAGATACATACCCTAGAAATTTACTAAAAAGAATAGAGATTGTACTTCTCTTTGTGATTTTTTTCTTAGAACAGTGAAAATGGTTACAAGAAATATTGAAACTTGAATTCAGTTCATTAGTACACTTATTTGATTTACAGCCATAAAGTAATATGACTTATATTCTGTTCAGTAATTGCATTTTGACAATGAAGCATTTTTACTCCTCTTAAAACTAAACTTCATTTGACATGTGTCATTTATCGATTCCCATCAGTATGAAAATAACAAGAAAAGAATAGTGTAATGTGTTCAGGTTCTCTGTTAATTGGACTTCACCAGTAGATTATGTTAACACTTTTTAGAAATGTAATCAATTTTGTGGGAGTTTGAATTTATTAGCTCAGCTTCAAAGTCCGAGATAAGATCAAAAGGCTATCTTCAATACAAGTGGTCAACACTAATAAATTAGGCTAGCATCATATTGGTCACTATTCAGTGATTGATCAACTAAAGATAGGTTAATCACTAAAGAATAATCATAGAAAACTGATAATATCCTGTGATTTTATGTTGGGATTCAACAGATCCTGACTGGACGATCCAAATAATCTCGGTGATGGGTAGCTAACAGAATGATAATTCCAAAATGCTTATTATTTCAACTTCATTTAAGTCTTTGAGAATCTACCTGACTGCTGGAAATTTAAGTGAAACCAATCAAATAAAAAAATGTTAGTATGATATTTAAACTTTTAAGATACTGGCTATCTACAGTTCACTTGTATATTAATGGTTCATACACCTTAGGTTTTATTAATCCCTTTCTATACACTTATGAATTGTTTAGTCACGGTTTCTCAATAGGACCACGAACATTTTTCATGCAAGCTGTTTTTGAATGAGAACATTGTAATGAGTATTGTTAAGAGTGTTCACATCCAAAATTGAATGCAATTCAATTAGATGTTCGAGAATAAGGTTAGGATTTAAGATTATGAACTAGGGTTTATTAAGAACCAACATAAGCTATAATCATGTCTTCAAGGTGTTGTACTTGATAGTTACATCTAGTAAGATTGGGTTTAGTAATTGTGATAACAGTTAGTGAATAATTATCAGCAACTAAACATTATTGGCAGTATCTCAAATCACATAAAGTATCCTTCGAGATGTAATCAGCTCATTAAAGACTATATGTAAAACGTCTTCCCCACAAGCACTATTTAAGACAAGTTTCAAATTTCCCGTAGAATCCAATCAGTCTTACAAGATATTGTCGTATTTGTTTAAACATTAAAATTGTTTAGCCAGGGGAAAGTCACTGAAAACAAAAAATTACAATAGTCAAATAAAAGGAAATTGAAAAATGAAACAGAATTTATGTCTTCAAAATAAAAACGATTCATAACAGTCTTATTTTTGAATGAACAACAGTCACTCCAAAAATCTTCAAAAGACTAGAACCTAGGTGTTTTCAGACATTTTTTGAAAGACTTCAAAATTTCATTTTGATATTTCATTTTGTTCATGGGATATTTGACACTTGCGCAACACAGCATTCTTGTTTTTCTTGACTGAAAGCTTTTTCGGATAACTTTCAAAATATTAAAGTTAAGTCCTCAGAATTGTTTCGCCAATGATTCTGTTTTGATTAGTTAATGTAGACTTATGGAGAATTTTAATGGGAAAACTTAGTTTCTTTTTCAGTTCTTTTTCTTACATATTTTAATAAAGACTACTTAATATTTTCAGATTTATGAATTAATCAAATCGTAAAATACAACTACGATTTATGTTTGTATTATGATCAATGATCTCTATTGTAACTGTGACGATATCCTTGATTTATAATTATTGTTATTTTAATTAACATGGCATACCATCTGTTTTCATTAGATAAGAGATGTTGATATTTTTTTTGTTTCGATCATTTATTATCATAAAGAATTCGAAATATGTTCATTTGTAGTCCTTGCTTGAATTTTCTCATTAATATTAAGGCCTATAATTAATAAGTGACTTTGGGATATGTGCATCCTTTGAGAATCGCCTCGATATTGCCTTTAGGTTACAAATATTATTAGCAGAAGTGGATAGTGGCTAGCAGTGGAACCCAGGGCGCGCTTTTCGTTCTGTTAAGGACTTGTCAACTGTTTCTCGGAGTTGATGATCATCCTGGTATTTCGAACTGTGTACCGTTCGTTTCAAATGCGATTGCGCTTTCCTTTTATCTAAACAAACCTGAGATGCAGGTACATGCAGCTGACCAATCCAAAACAAGACACAACTCGTGTCCTTGATTCTAGTCGTAGCTACTATCTACCTCTATTGATAAGTTGAAATATAGTTTTGATTGCTGAATCATCCTCATTTTATGCCTATATTAGTGATAATTGGTACTGATCATTTTCTTTATTTAACTGAGCTTTCCCTACTTCTCTTTTCTTTTTTTTTCAAACTATTCCAACCACTCTGTATATTATTATCTCGCTACCTTATACGTGATAAACGTTCTGGCTAGACTACAACTGCTACAATTATCAGCTTACACGTTAACAGGTAATTAGGATAATGTATTGTATTCAAATGATACAATTTCACTTTTTTATTTTCTTAAACTATGAATTAGAAGTACCATAGTATAATATAGATAATAATGATTATCTTTATAGTGTAATGAATCAGTTTTCATGATCACCAATTATCATCTGAAAATAAGATGAAATGAAAAAACTATGTGAATGAAATCTTAGACTGGTAGACAGCTTTTTAGATTATTGATTAATTCTTGTTAGATTTACTATAACTCATTCTGAACTTGGAATATTATTGACTCTAGGCTATCAGATTATTGCTTAACGGATTATTCATTCACTAACCTTAGAATCGTTACTTCCTACTCATCTTAATCAATCGATCACTGTTTCTTTTTTTACAAGTTAGGCACCTATCTTTGTCAACACTACAATTTTCGTGAAACTTCTTGGTGTACAATATGACTTATTCACAGAGTTTAAGTTGTATTTATAAAATATTTAATCTATCGTGTGAGCTATGAGCTTTAAATCATGTATAATTAATTCAATGTATACCTTGTCTACAATCAAAGAATTTAACATTTTGATGGAAATCAATTGATTTCGTTTTCTTATAAATGTCTAATTTAACTAATTAATATTAAAAAACAAAATAAAACTATTCGAGTTGTGTTAGTTACACTGAAGCATTGTGCATAAATATTCATAACTTTAGATTGGTAAGTAGATGTTGTGTTTATTTTTTCTAGCTTTTTACACTACTGTATTGTATTTTTTAACTTGTATTTAGTTTTAACCTGTAAAATTAAATAACTTTAAAATGTGAATTTGTTAGTATTGAAATGTTTTATCTCAATTGATTTCAGTAGTATGATGAAATACCATTAAACATCAACTTCATGTTTATGTATATATCTAAAACTGTCACACATTACATTTACAATTGAATTTCCATCTTTTCCCTCCACTTGAGCTTCAGTTTACATCCTTGGCTGTCATTGGTTAATGGATTACTTTAGTACGCCATTTGATGTCTCTCCCAAGGGCGTTTCTATCATTGTATAAATAAGCTTGATTTGTATACTTAGCAACCTCGTATTTTTACTGGGTGCTTGTAGACTACATTCTCTACGCCTTATCAAGACTTTTTGCTTTTGTTAGCGGGGCCTGGGACAAGGGATTGGAATAGCCTATCATTTGTCTTCGCTCGGTTTACTGAGTAAGATGAACTCATGGTGGTCTCAAGCATGTCAACCGGCGAGTATATCAAATATAAACGAAGATATTTTCAGTGCACATTGTTAATAAACTATGTACCAATTTTATATGTAGTTTCTCTTTGGAAAGCTTTTAACTAAATTATAGTCATTTCTTTTATTTTTCAAAATTTAAGCATCGTTAATGTAACACAATGATAAGGTAGTTCTCATGATGAGTTTAAATCATTTGAATATCGATTTGAATGGAGATATACTGATGCCACTATGTTTGTATACAGTACAGTGATAATATTTCTTTTGAGATTTCAAGAAAGCTAGTTATAATCCTAATACATAATGGCTGACTAGACTTATTATTTATTTGTTCAATATAATTTATCGAGTTGTGTTTAAATGGGTATAAAAAGTGAAATAAAATTGTTTATAAACTACACCGTTTAGATATAACTATTCTGTAGTGTTTAATTAAGCCGTCTCCAGGGTTTTAAAGATTACAAACATTTGGCATTTTTTTCGTATTGAAGAATACAAATTATTTGTTATATAGTAACCAGTGTTTCGCTATTTAAGTGACCTAGTTAGTACTGCTTTTAGTAGGCTACATGACTTAATGTAAGGTGTCTGATTTTTGAATTAATATTTTTCATTTTGTAGTGATAGTTATAGTGATGGTGATACTTTAAAAGAAAAGATCTTTCTTCTTTGCATTAGATGAACATCATTCATTATCATCAGAGGAGAAGTCAACAGTACATTACTTATTTCAGAATGAAGACAGTTAGAACGCTTTAGGGTATAATAATTCATTCCTTCAAAATGTCTATTGTCACGGAGATTCTAGATGAATGCAATATTAAGTTAACTGGAATGAGAACCTCTCATAAAACATGAGTTACATTTGGCATCAAGCATAAATCTTAATGATGAAAGACGATTGGTTGGGTTTCTTAATGAAATCAAATGAAGTATAAAACCCAAAGCAGTTAACACCTTGAAATGTACTTTCGATTTTTGTTTTACTGAATAAGAATTTATTTCGACACAATTGTGATGATCCTGAAAACAAATGAGCTGTACAATCGTGGGACTTTCAAATCTATTTTGATTACCTTTGTTAGCGGAGTCTAGTGATGTAAGTGTCATAGATCACAAAACTACATAACAAACTGTCTCTAGAGTGATAAACATTATTTAGTAAGTTAAGAAATTCAGGATTTTAAAATTTTTGTTCTAGGTCGAAACAACTGTTCGAAAATTTCAGTAATTGTCGTCAAACTAACATATCGCTTTAAATAACTTAAAATAATAGGTGATATCCCACAGAAATTATATACTGATCTTGGCTAGATAATCAATGGACGGCCATTTTATTTTAAAATAAAAGTCCTCTCAGCAGTGCACATTCAAGACCATGAAAGCCTGTATCACGCACGAACTCTTAACCTCTTAACCTCTGAGTTGCAATTCAAAAATATTATTGTCTAACTTCAGTCAATTTGAAATATATTTTTTCTGTTAGAAATCGAATATTGTCTAACTATTAAATATTATTTAACGAAAGGTTTTGGTAACAGATTGCCATCTATTTGAGAATCATTAAAAAAAATTATGCATTGTTACAAAAAGTAATCCAACAGTATGACTTCCAGACAGTACCTAAATACAAACTTGACCTCAAGATTAAAACTATAATCTTCCGCAAAGCATGTCAACTACACTACCTTATGATAAATAAGTCAAGAATCAATCGACCCCTGTTTACAACATATTGCAATGCACGACAAAAGTATCATTGAGTTGATTTGTCTACTTACCTGGATTTCGTCTGTAGGCAGGAAATAAGATTTCTTGAGTGTTGTTCATGTTTATTGGTGTTAAATGTTATCAATCATAGTTAAGCATTGTTAGCGGTTTAATTTCTTAACCTATAATCATTACTGGTTCAGATAAAAAAAATCAGAGAATTTAAGTTTCAATAATATATATTCAAATTAGCTGATGCAATCAAATCAAAATCATCAGTTTAGGTTGTTATTTGTTTCTAGTAAAAGTGACATAAATATCGACTGACCTGAACATAAACTTATAATGACTTTGATTGATGCTATTACAAATCAAATAGAAACAATTACAAAGTCCACTTTTTCTGATAACAATAATCTATTTTTGTACTTGGAGAAATTCCTCATGTTTATTCACTGTGAATAAAATTAACTGTTATTTAAAAAGACCTGTTTTAAACAATAAATTGACTTTAGAAAATCTAGCAGGTGTGTTCTTAGCTAATCAATAATGAAATATTTGATCGTGACTATAAATCTTGGCTCCTGAATATAATCATAAGAAATGAATACTTTTTTCAAAAGAGTTATACTACTCATAAGTACGTACGAATCTAGGAAAGATTTTTTAAAAATTCGGCTGAATCTTATGTAGCTGAAATCACTAACTGATTCAAGCCAGACCATATTGGAAACCTAGAAGTACTAAACGAATATTTCGTGCTACTATGGGAATCCTCAGCAGTGAACGTCCTTGCTCTTGTATCCTGGGACGATCGAGTAAGCAATTCTGTCGTTAGGAAATGGGTCCTAGGTAAGGGGAGCAGATTAATAGATGAAGTAATGGAACTTCATCAGTTGAGGTGGTTGGGGCATGTGTTACAAATGCCCAACCACCGACTGCCTCGACGAGCTATGTTTTGTGGTGTAGGAGTAGACTGGAAGAAATCTAGGTGCGGCCAAACCAAAACATGGCAGAAATCCATGAAGTCACTGACAAGTGGACTTAGTCATGTTGGTGCATCCACTTTTGTGTTCTTTCAAACTCTAACTTTCTGAATTCCTCATAATCTCTATCTTTATCCTTCTAAAGTTACCTCTCTGAATTATACTTCTCGAATCATGTCCTCGCTCCCTAATCTTCGCCATTACTGCTAATACTTCTACTATCGCTATCACTCTTGGATTTCAACTGACAGTTGCGTCTCTGTTCTGATGTGGTATGGTCACTTGAACTGATGTACTGACGTTTGAAGTTCTATGTTGTTGATGTTGTTGTTTTTGTTTGTTGCAGTGAACGTCCAAGACCACTCAATGCGGGAATCGAACCCGAGACCTTTGGTTTCACGACAGGAGGTTTAACCTCTAGATCACTGTGTCGGCATCCAGTGGTAGTAATGTTTAACTTCCATCAATCCATGATGTGTAAATTTCATCCATTGCTTCGGGCGGATAAAAGTCTTCTACCCAACTCGGATTGAACTTAACTGGTTACGACTTCGCACTAGGTCTTCAAAAGGGTCGCGGATATGCACTGCCAGTGAGTCCCATGTTAGGATGAAACGACCGTCCAGTACTTCGAGGTTTCTGATGGTGGTCCAGTTCGTGATATTACTATGAAAAATATTGCCATCTTTACAAAACTCTTTCATTCAACAGAATCATCCTAAATGTAGATGTCACTTCAACGGTGAATTCAATGTAAATGGTGTGGACAGTGAATATTGAATAAAGTTATTAATAACAAGAGTTACAATCAGAGATATGGTGATAATAAATTTAGTAAACGAAGAAAAATTTTTGAACACTTATTAAAACTTATTTGATTTTGATTATTGACTCTCTGAAGAGGTAACTTACAAAGTAAGTTCACAAAAAATGTTGAAAATGGCATTTTCAACTCACTACGATAATTACAAACACAACATTAATTAATAAACTTAAAAAATCCACTCAGTAGTCGATTTGTTTGAATTTATCAAATTAAACTTTGTCAGTGATATAAGTAAGCTCACATTATATGCATAAGATCAATTTTCAAACCCATAAACAATTAATTATAGAATGATGGAATATTATTATGGACGTTAAAAAAAGATATTTTGCAAAAATTGGTGAAAAACATTGATTCATTTTAGGAGTTTGTTCTGTTTTGCTCAAATATTTGAATTTTTTGGACTTTGTTCACCTTTTTGCCGATGTTCATGTTTTAACTCAACAGAATTTATGTGATTTTTAGGTTCGTTTTATTGAAGTGTATAAAGATTACTTATGTCTTTAGTTCATGCAATAAAGATGAAGAATGATGAGAGAGAGAGAAACAATATTCTTGATCAACTTATAAATAGTTAGTTGACTGATTAGATTAGAATAGTAAGTACTATTGAACACGAACCATGAAATCATTATACATATTGTGTTTACTTGTTTCATTGAGTAAGTAATCAAATCAATTCATAAAGTTTGTTCAATCAATCTTACGTTGTATTATTTTACAATTTTAGTATTATATGTGAATAGTGTAATAGAAGATTCTATGCGACAGCTACAACATCATAAAGTAAGTAAGATAAAAAGGCAAATTTTATAGTTGATTAGTTAAAAGGTTGCGGTGTTTATAATTTATGTTTTCTATGAAATCGGTTGAAGAATTATAACCTTCATTAGATAAATCAAGAAGATCATCCTGAATTAAGAAGATAATTTCTGATTTAATAGTGTATTAAAACAAATAACTCAGTTTATAGTTCAGATTATGAATAAGCTCGTATTCGATGAACAACTTACAGCGTTTTTTACTTAAACTCTAGAAAGAAGAAGTCTATTTGGCTACCAAACTGTGCATATACATACTCATATATATATATATTACATTCCTCCCCTTCAGGAAATGAATACATTTCTTGACCGATTATATACACTCATCCTTTAGAACATTTCTGATTGTCATCAAGTGAACTTTTCGTTAAGCTGCTTCCGATTGGCTCCCTCTATCAATAAGTTTTTACTAGAGATGATAAAATGCTATATTGATTGTGGTTACAGAGTCAATCTAAAACCAATATACCCATCTACATGGAATAGATAAGATGTAATTGACACTGGAATTTAGAACATTTATTTCGTTCTATTCGGAACTCATCAGTTGGATATACTCGAATTCCAAAGTTAATGTTCTCTTCGGGGTTCGAACCTAGTGCCCTTGGCTTTGAACGTCAACAGGCGCCTTATATGGTTGCTTAGTTCGAACAGTTGTCCATTTATGCAGCGGAGTGTGTCTCAGCTCGCGGAATGCCAGTAGAACCAACTGATGAGTCCCAAACAAGATGAAATCAGAAACAAGGATTCCACAGCTAGACAAATTCCATCTAATCTACATTAATGACACTATAAGGGTAATAGGATGCCCATTTGCCTGACAAGAGTAATTAAATTTTGGTCAAAATATCAGCAGTGGAATAATCCAAACCAATAAAAAGAGTGTAGCTATTAAATGATATCGTAGATTAAAATACTGAATATTCTGCGTTCGTATTTTATACAGAAATCAATGAAGTTTTAAAATACTATAAGTGGTTAATCAGTCTAAGCATCACAAGCTATTTATTTTCTAATGATCTTGATGCATCATACTCTGAAACAGTTTACTGAGGGACGCAAAGGACTTCTAACAATCCAGTCTTACTAAAACTAAACAGAATTTCAGATGCAAAACATTTTGATATTCTGAATATATCAGAAGTAAGCGCGAAATGGATTGAAGTTATTTACCGCTAGTTTACCTTTTCAACTTATGCTCTATAATTGTTTTCTTTAAAAACAGGATCATAGACCAGGATCACAGCCAAACCTATATCGTAAGTGTATTTATGTCCAATTGTCTTCAACAAACCACAAAATATATATTCATACAGATTGACTTTTGTGTGTGCTATGCTTGCGCTAATTAAGATATAACTAGATATCAGCAAATGCAAAGTAAATACAATAACCGGACAGTTTATCTATTCTCTGCGGCCCAGCGCAACTAACTAGACAAAGAAATTCAAAGTCAGCAAGAAAACTGTCTAATCCACAAACGACCCCGAACAAATAAATCAACGAGAATTCAATCCAAGCGTAATTTATACAGTACAAAAAGTATCCTTGAAAGAATTTTAAAATATCACACTATAGGGAAAAACCTACCGATTAGGTTGAAGGTCCTTACAAGTGAAAAACAGGAATTGAGGGTGATAAGAGGCACTTTTGGCGCGAAAACGAGAAATTCAAATTTGCGCAAATGAATTACAAAATCAAAAGGATTACCAAGTGATTTCTGGGAATCTAGCACCTTTATCAGTCTTAATCTGTTTCTACGCTGAGGTACGCAATCTAGAACCCGTCCTGTTCCAACATTTTATGAACTGAGTTGGAATCACTTCAATTAAATGTAGCATACTATTGAATAGATTATGAAAATTCATGATGTACATAAACAAAGAAACAATTCCCTTTTTTAGCGATGTGATTTAACGTTTTTCGTTATTTTAGAAAGTAGCATCTAGCGAAGTTTTGACAAAGATTTGGTGATAATGAACGCACCCCATACACTCACTGTAACCAGTCTAATAGCAGAATGTGAAATTATAAAACCTTTCTCACACTCTTTGCTGAGTCAAACAGTTGGCATTGTGTCCTTTTGTAGTTTTACAATGACATTAATGTATTACTGACTGAATAGGTGACTAGATAAAAATGTACTGAAAAGAATATTCTTTGTTCATATACATTCGTTTGTGAATTCCTTTTTGACTTCAGGCAATAGACTTTTGACAACAGAACATTCTAGAAATGAACTTGTTGGTTCACCTCAGTCAGTTATATTGATTGACCTCATGTATATGTATCAGTGATAAAAGTCTTTCATCGATCATTTATTATATTGCAAACAAGAAACATTGTGTCATTAAACCTAACACTTTGCCACTCCTTTTTATATAATTCAACAAATTTAACTTAAAAAGTAAAATAGTTTATATACAGTAATAAAATAAAATTCCTATCATATTATATCTATATTGTGTTTATTTTTTCTGTTTTATTAAGAATGTATCGCATGCAGAACTTCTGTTAGACAAGTTAGAAATATCTTTTTAAGTTCATCAACTAAGAAATCAGTGAAAGGTATAATTGCAAATCTTTGCGCAGGAACAGGCCCATTTAATACTTCAGTAAGTCATTATTACTTTCATTGAATATTATTGATTCAACTATTCACTTAAATATATTCACCGAAATAATGAAATGATCGTTGTTAGATCACCATTAGATATCTGTAAGTACTAGACGGTCTATATGTTAAGCAATTGCACGCGGGACCAAAGGTCCTGAATCCGCTTCCCGCGAGTGGAATTTGTAGACGCGCACTGTTGACGAATCCCATACTAGGATGAAATGGCCAACCGGTGCTTTCAGGTTTGTAATGGTGGTCTAAATAACCGATTCATTAATATACCTTCTTAAAACAAAGCTATAATAGTAAATATTCTTGAATCAGCTCTAACTGGCAAACTCAGAATAACGAAAGAATTCCATGCATAAAACTTTATTTGTTTAAATTGTGTTATGTTTCATAACAGGAAGCAAAAGTTAACAACAGTACTATTAAAAAGCAGATGAAGTTTTAAAAAAATTGTAAGCTGTAAGTTTTCAACTAACTATTATCATACTCATCGTCACCCTGGAAGATTATGATACTGTAGAGGAATAATGCTTAACTGTTTAAGGGTTTCTGATTAGTTTCTTAGTAAACGCACATTGATAACAAATGCAACACTAATTCGACTGCGATCACATTGTTGCCGTAAATCGATTGGATTAATAGACATTACGATAAAATATAGTACCAATGTGTGAGATAATAAAGGACCATAATATTCCAGCTTATTAGTGGTAATGTCATACTATAGACAGAAGAAGTTTCAGTATACTTTCAGTACTGATATATAAAATGTTAATAGAAAGGATGTTACATCATTCATGGTATCTAATACACAAGATGTGACCGCTAAAAAGATAAGGGCTATTATAAAGCTGAAACTATTACAGGTTCACCTTAGTCGATAAACGAGAACGAGACAATGAACCAGAGTCCAGGTAGGCAAACTTGATCCGTGAACTAACGAAAAGTCTTGATATAGCGTAGAAAGTATATTCTACAAACACCCAGCAAGCACAGTCATCCCAAGCGCACAAATCGTGTTTATTTATACATCACAGAAACGTCCTTGGGAGAGTCACAAAAATAGCACACTAAAATACACAGCAGCCAATCACAGCCAAGGATTTTCCTGATGGGAAATGAAATCTCTAGGTCAACTGATCAGCCCATACTCGGAAACATAAAATCCAAAATTAAGGCATTTATCAAGCGAGTTCTGGGGATCTAACGTCCCCAACAATAAATAATTATCTAGTCGCTGTCATTTGATAACATGATTTCTACCTGTATAGCATGAATTCTTCTAATATTATCGGTAACTTGACCAGCAAACTTTTGCCTATTTGCATACTTCATGACTTGATTTATGGTGCATTATATCTGTTAGTCTATCAGTTTAACCAAAACTAAGTATTTCCTATTGGATAAGGAATGTTCAGGAATGTTCCATTTTTGTTCCTATTAATATTTACTACTTAAGCATGTTTGAAAAGCAATTCTGATTAATGATATAATCACCAAGTTTATGCATTTGAGAATAACTAAGTATTAAGCAAGATCTTATAATTTATCCGATTACTAAATATAACACGATGTTATATTCTCAAAGATTAATAGTTGAAATTTTTTAATTCTCATCAACATTTCACGTATCACAACTTATTATCTGTTGTAACACATGGTACAACCATTTCAAGGGAAAATGCTCTGCATCACATAACATGAAAACACATTATTATAACATAGAGAAATTGTTCATTGTTGTAAAAAAATTTTTAGCTTGATAGATTAAGAAAGTCATAGGTAAGCATTCATAAAGCATTCTAGTCTATGATGAAACGTTTGCAAATGTATTGCATGAATTAAATTTCATGGAAATAACCTTTCAACTAATATTTCTTTTCTAATATCTATTTCAATCAGATGAAAAAAGAGTTTAGTATTCTCAGTGAATATTTCTATTTTCAGTGTACCATGTTCGCCAGTGAACTTGCATCAAATATCTTTTATACAATCAGTCGGGTGATACCACAACATATCTGTGCTGTAAGTCGATTTAAGATACCATTCAACTCAGTGTCATTGTCTTTATTATTATTATTATTATTATTGTTATTATTATTGGTTTAAGGTACTAATTAATTAGATTGTATTTGGTAGGTTTATTCATTGTATACAGTTAACAAAATGAACATTGAAATCAAAATTTATGTTGACACAGAATTTTCAATAGTAGATTTCAGATTATCGAATTCAAGATTAACTAAGCTAGTTATACGAATCAGTTATAGCATGAATTAAGTTTGAACTATAGTCTTTCTCTTCATAAAATTTCGAGATTATCACTATCTACAGTTAACTTGAATAATTAGTAATATCTTTTCATTCATCTAATTACTGTATGAATGAATTGAATGAACAAAAATACTTCAAAATCAAGTCATTCGAATTCGCGTAGTTGGGGGATTCAGTTTGTTTTCTATATAACAACTGTCGAATTGATCGTTTCAAATTCACCTTCGATTTAGTGTTTCTTTCAACACGTTTCATTATCTTAATGTGAATAAAGATCGATACAGAAAAGAGCAAGAAGATACATATTTATACGTATATGACGCAATATTTAACAATAAAATGATGAATGAGTCTATTTTTTGAGCTGATAAATTACTCATTGAAAGATAGGATGTCTAATTACTAATAGCATAATATCCAGACAATATATAAGAGGATAGATAGACAAAAGTCATGAGATTTACTGCTGTTTACTAGGGTGAAGAAATTGATAATAACTAATAATCCACTTGAGTGAATTTATTATAATCCGATAAGAGAAATTGAAAATATAATGCATAAATTCAAAATGATTAGAAATGAAATGTCAGTATGCTTCATATTCGGTAAAGTGCATTTAAGACTACTTTCATCCAGTTTCAAATGTTACTAAATAATTGAGAGGTTCTGTCACAAACACGTTACAAAAGAACACTCATTGGGAGTAAGGGAATTTACGAAGATAGATTTCCCCTTCAAATGAGAAATCTAAGGAGAAATGAAAGTAGGCAGCTTTGAAAACTGAATGAATGACGCTTAGTCCTCTCAACTAATAAATCACCGTTCAACTTTGTTCTGGTAAGTAATTTATTCATTTTCAAACCTATTGTGGGTGGATATGATTCAGATACAAGTACATTAGTTACGAATTCTTAGCTATCAACTCAGTCTCTTGACTAGTTTCGTGTGCTCATATTTAAACACTTCCGAAACAAAAAATAACAGCTATTCATAATTTCCATGTCGTAACTTTTGTGTCAGTCCGGTTGTTAATGAATATAAAAAGCCAAATTTCAAAGTGAATGGTGGTTATATCGAATCGTTTTGACCGGTTGTAATTCAATATCCAAGCAGTAAAGCGACTATCATAATAGGGAAAGGTTTCACTGATTCTCCGATATGCCATATATTGGTCGATTCTTACATTGTTATGTTTATATGTTATAGTTTTCATTCTTGTTTGCATCAAGTTACATAACTTGACATGGTTTGCTTTCTTTAGGCAACTACATACTGGAGATAAGGCAGTCCACCTAGTTAACTGTAGTTTGATCCTAAACGAAAATGGAAGTAGTTTAAATCATCTTAAAAATCATTATTGACTTGATTTCCAAAATAAAAAGGGTATTGGTACCATTGATCATATGTCCATTAGCGGACTTTTTTAGTATGGTAATAAAATACCACAGACGTATTTTGGAATCAACAATAATTTGCATTAATTTTACATAGGAACATACTCTTTGTAGGCAGATAACCGATGGATCGCTTTTTAAATGTACTACTGGTTGTTGTCAGTAAACCGGATGTACACTGTAACCGATAACTTGACTGATGCAAGGTGAATATACCCCATATTTGGTTATATCGGAAATAAGTAGTGTCAATTTTCCTGATGTTGCAGTCAGGTACTAATCAAAACAAGAAATAAATGCACTTTATTTACTGACACTCGTTAGTCGAATTTCGGGCTAACATTCGGAACTGAAGTCAATTATTCCTTCATAGTTTTAACTTAAAAATATGCTATTATTATTATTAATACTCGGGTGATAAGGGTTACCGAAACTTATTGAAATCATTAACAGATCTAAATAATGTTATCATGAGCGGAAATTCGGAGAACTACCAAAGCCATCACCTAAAAGATACAAGTGTTTATGTGTCTACGTAGAATACTTCGAATCCGTTGGCCAGAAACCATCAGCAAAATCTACCGTGGGAAAGAACAAACCAGATTCCATCGGAGGAGGAAGGATACACTGCCGAAAGCACACAACTGCATCACAAGACAAGCCCCCACTTATAACCTTAACGGTCAAACGATAAGAGGAAGGCCAAGAAACACATTACTCCGAGATATAGAGAAAGATGCGGGAAGAATGAACAAACAGTGGACAGAAGTGGAGAGGGAAGCCCAGGACAGAGTAGGTTGAAGAATACTAGTGGTGGCCTGTGCTCCATTGGGGGTAACAGGCTTAAGTAAGTAAGCAAGTCCGAGGTCTAATACTGATTGGCAGCTAATGACCTCATTTGGCTGCTTCTGATTAACCCTTTATATCAAGTGAGAAAACTATTGAAAACCTAGAAGCGCAGGATATCTTGTCCCTAGGATTTAGCATGTCGAAAATAAACCCCTATTGTGATGATCATAATCTGCTCACTGTCGACCATCTTTGGAGGGTAATTCCCAGTGTTCTAGTGATAAGTCATTACCAATGGACTTTAGCCGTGTTGATTGTGCACCCATTGAAGACAATGAAAGATGGTCGCACAGTACGGCTGATTAATTGAACGTAAAAACTTTGATAGTAGCTTGATGGCTTGGCAGGAAATCGCTAGTGAGCGAGATTGAATTTCCTGAATGTGATCTCTTGTCTGGTCGTCGATACCTAATGGTGAGGATTTCCATACTAGAAAGAAACCAGCTTTCAGTGGTTATCTAACATATTGATTCACGATCTCGACAAGAGAATATTATGAATTGATCGAGTGTCTGAATGATAAATCAATGCTTATTTTTCAGGTTTTCGATTTCTGTTTTAATCCACCTAAGATATCCGGTGAGTTCATAAAACCATGTGCAATATTCAATTAACTAACTCATCAGCTTTTTTTATCATCAAATTATTAATATTGCATTGTCAGTGGATATTTTACGTGGTAAGAGCACACTTTAGTGACTATTTAATCAGAATTATGAACGCAGCGTTTAGGTTATTGAGCGAAATTCAAATTTCATGCATAATGATCTATAGAAATGCTCAGAACTTTCAAAATGGTATTATAAAACTTTTCTTGCAATCATCCAGTATAAATGATAATGTCAAACTTATCAAACACCTAAATATGCATACTTAGATAACATGGAATTCGACGTTATCCCTAAATACTTACTCTAAACCCATAATTCTGAAAGAGATATAACTCTAGTGGCATAATGTTTTATGGACAAACAATGAAATTCAATTATCCATCGGACTACAGGAAATTTTCTCCCTATGGCTGATTTCATTTCGTGATGAAAATTCTAACTGGAAACAATATGATGACTACTTACCATCCGTTTGTATCTTTTTAAAGTTTTGAGGAGATAGACAATCAGTATCCCTCAGACTGAGTTTAAATGCCGTTATGCTTTTGATTTATAAGCGCAATAACATCACAGTACTCATTAGTGAAAATCTATTTACACTTCGCAATATTATTGTTTCCTTTCCATAAAAATCATTCACCTATAAAAACTGTCTTATGATTATGTTGAAACTACAAACTATCTGGAAATCCATCGCAGTTGTTTTGATTTTGTTCGTATATTTTAAATGATCACCTTACCATATCACCCACCAATACAAGTTTTGTCATGATTTTGAATATTGGATAAGATTGAATAAGGTTAAATAATATTACAATTATACTAGGACGTATTGAAGTCAACTGAAAAGTTTCTAAGCAATGTCGAAGTAACCACTTAAAAAATGTTCATGTAGCAAATCGAATTAAATGTAGTCTTAAATATCGACAATGGAATGATGATATTAAAACGTTTTCTGTTGATTTTTGTGCGTCATTAGTTTGTGAATATTGTCTCAGATCTGGACTATTGGTTAAATCAATATTACTGTCAAATACCATTGTATCAGAATTATACAACAACACCGTAACTATGTGTAATACACAACTTAATCATTCAATCATAGTGAGTCTATTATTAGTGTCAGTTATATTTTGTTTTGCGTATTTAGTAAAGCTTCCATTTAAAGAAAGAGATATTGATTACTAGTTATTGATTGAGCTTATTTAAATATTTATCTTGTTCAAATATACAAGGTTTGTTGTTTTATTTGGTAATTTTTACTACTCATACTACTAAACATTTACTTTATGTCGAAATTTAAAATCATTGGTTTTTTTTTTAATTTAATAGTTGATAGTAAGTAATTGTGTGTATCAAATTTCACAAATGGTTACATACAATTTCACTGTTTGTTTGAATTAATGACTACTCTTTTGGTTATTAGGATATGTGTATTAATTGACTACTAGATATTCATCAGTGACTCAGTTTACATTGCCGAAGTGCCCATGATTCATTCATCTTGGTTGTTCGAATCTTCCAGTTTACGTTTAGTACTAAGATTGATCCATCTCTTTGGTATATATGCATCGTTTGAGGATTGCCTTGATGTTAACTTTAGGTTTGGGACTCGTTAGCAGCACGTACATGTATCTCGGGTTGGTTTGGCTAGGTGGATAGTGTACTGGCATTTTAAACAAAAGGTACTGGGTTCAAATCCGGGCATCAATTCCGAGATACAGTCAATGAGTCCCAAACAGAACGAAATGCACCTTTTGAATCCCATTTCTAACCATGATCCATCTTTGTAATTGGTGCCAACTATTTTTATAACATCAGTTACATTACTGTATAAGATGGACTCAAACAAGAAATGACTGTTACTAGTAAAAGAAGACTTTGTGAACTATTAATGAACTTTTGCAAGCATCAAACACGTAGTGCATCCCATAAGGTTGATTGTCATTAGATAATCATTAAAGGGGTAAAAGCATTAGTCCATTGGTTTGTTTTAGAATAAGACTTCTCTTCATTGTGCATCCACGACACCTCTTGTGAATAAACGGAGAACCTTCAAGTTTCGTAGCCAGCATTTGACGTTTAGCCAATGGATATGGATATCTTAAATCCCAGTACAGTTAACATTCAGACACGCCCACCTAAAATATCTGAGGCATTATATAAAATCGAAATGTTGAAGTTTACTGTCGAATAGTTTTACAAATAATAACTTAATTAACAACGCAAAGATGATTCATTAAGGAAAATTTTCAATTCAATGAGTTTTATAGTTATTTTACACAGACTTTTTCATAAATAACTAGAAGATTATTGAATAACTCACACGTTCACCAAAAATATTAATATATTAAATTTCAATAAGATGAGATAAAACGGGAAATAAAAATAGAAAAGAATTTTGAGAGGTAATTGTTCACTCCACGTAAATCAGACAAGTATTTCAGTTTATTTCGACATAGGTTCATCGTTTATTTGTACTTCTACATGACGCTTCTTTATTTACTTTCCATTTTACCTTGAATTTAGCACATCTCAATTGTTATGTAATATTTTTCAACTAGCAATAACCGCGCCTCAGATAAACTTCATTGGCTACGGTACCGCCACTGCGCAATAGTTATGTAATATTTATCCGACACTCGAAATTATTTCTGCTAATTTCACGCTGAATTGCCATTATGATTCAGAATATTGTGTATAACATAACTTTAAACAAAATTGTTCGGGTTCAATAGACAACATCACTGAAATCCAAATTTTCTTTCAGTACATAGTCTTTATTTAATCTTATAAATAAATCACAACGTTTAAAATTTCGTAGCTGGTCATTAATTGTTGACTTTATTGTTAATATTTTTTATTTCCAGTGTGCTCCATTCCTGCATGACTTATTCTTGGCAGTAACTTTAAGCTTCAACAAAGAGTTTATTATGCAACGCTTTTGTCAGGTAAGATAACTAAAATTTACCTATTACATTTATAATTAAATATGATTGCATTCAATTTTATCTGTTCAACTTAGAAGATAAGCAGAAAACTATTCTGGTTTGTTTTGTTGTTACAATTAGATATCAGTTAACAGAGCATCTTTGAATACATAGGATGAGATTTAATTAGCTTGTATTCGTCATTTGACTTTTAGGATTGCAACTGATCAGTCATATTTGCATCCTATGAGGGTTGCCTTGATATTGCTATTAAGTTACAAGCAGATACATCCAGCTAACTAGTCCCAAATAAGACGAAATGCGCAGATTCCTAGATTTCACTGCTAGCTACTATCCATCTATGCTAAAAAAGATTTAATTGGCTTATATAAGCATGCTGAGCAATAGAATTTTGTTTCTCTCCAATTCTCTATCTTGACTTAAACAGGTAACAACAGGTATGAAAAAAAGTGTTTATCCGTTTGTAAATAAACGAATTAATTGATTGATGATGATTGTGAAACTTGTCCGATATTAAAGTGCTGATAGAATTCTAGATATTAAGCTGTAATATGATTCATCATTGTTGGTACTATGCTAAGATGTTAATTATTCAGATTTTTAGTTTGAAGGAATATAAAACTCTTTTTACTTTTATTCTTTATCAAGTAGAAAAAGCATCAAATGAAAGCTTATTAATAAATTCATTGTTTGATTATGAATGATGAACAAAAAATCAGTTTTACTGGAATCAACATGGTCACAGCTATGGAGTAGTTAGGGTATATACTTCGTATGATTGAAGTGATTGATAAATAAGTGTTTGAACTTTATATGTAGCTACTTGATGCAATCATTTGATAAATAATGTGAAGTATATATTACAAAAGGGAATGTCAAATCCATAAAACTCTATCAGTAGTTATCGATGCATTTACTTGATTTACTGTAAATATTTGAACATTGACAGGTAACAAGAGGTCCATTAAAGCGGTTGTACTAAGTTGTTCTCCATCAAGCAATATCTTATTCAGGTTAATATTTAAATAATGAAGGCATAACTCAATTTACTGTTCATCCTTAAGATAAACCTTTATACAAAAATGCTGTTAACAAGTGGTAAGTCCAATGGTCACTTAAGACCCAAGACAAATTCAATGTTCAACCTGTCATGAATATTTATCCAGAAAAAGCGAAAGTAAAGACTGGTTCTGACATGTATACATTTTATTTCTCTGATTGCTCATCTATTCAGGAGGTCAAACGTCACATTCGTACAGCAAAGAAAGAAATTAAGAAAGGAGGTCTAAGTAAAAGGAAATAACTTCAACTTCGATAAGAATTTTAACGTAAGATGTACAATTTATAGAAAGGGAAGGGAATTTAAAGAAAGATTTAAATAAAAGACTGAGAATAAATGCAACTGCATGCCAAAGGTCTACTTTAATCTATGTCGCATATTTATCCATAGACTACTAATATTACTGTAAACATAAATCAGACTACTCGTCATATTATGGTGAATCTGTTATCAATAAGTATGCCATCAAATAAATGATTTTCATGTGATTATCACTATTTCTGTAATGTTGTTTTGTATGTATGCAATCAAGTATCTCAGAGTAGAATCTATCAAGTGTTCGATATTTTTAATTATCCTTTGCTAATGTGAAATTAATTTAACACAATATAACTAATACAGTATGGTCAAATTGAGAACGATTCATATCAGCTGTTAATCCAGGTGAAATTTAATAATATTAAAAAGGTCTGTTAAATCATTCAACTGTTTTTCTGTTTTGTTTATTTTATTTAGAATGCTGGATTTTGTTTAAAACCATAACATATCAATGTGGATAAATATCATTTCTTATTGTAACAAACTACATTGTGAAATGTCGTCCATTTATAGTCACTAAACAAATAAACTGTTGAAATGTACACAGTCTTTTGGATCTCACCAAATACAGGAGAATAAACTGATTCTTTTTAAAACTGATTTTTTTTTAAAATAACTTTATCAGTAGCTCGTTAATTATTAACGAATAACTATTTTATTGATTGATCAATGAGTGTTTGTCGATGGACTTATATATTAACTTTCAAAGCTTATTCGTCCTTTAATTCTTGATTATGTAGTTATGTCCGAATGTAGAAATTCACAATAACCAGCTTGAATCAAACTAGTAGAACTTATGAATCAAATTTTTCATGTGACTCATTATTTTTATAGCTAATGATATACACCTATTGATGATTCTGAAAACTGAGGAAAATCAAATTTGATTACTTTCCTGTAAAGCGCAGAGAAGTTAGCAAGTGTCTGAAAATTTATTGGATTTAGTACTGAGGTAATCGAGATTTACAACTTATGTACATATGTTTAACGGAATAACTGAAAAATATAAATATTTCTATTCGAAAATGTCGAGAATGCTATTCAAAGTGAAAATGCAGTATCTAGTTTTGAAAATGCAGCAGTACTTAGAATAATCTTAATTTATATACCTTTTATTCAAGGGGACAGATCAAATTCCCTAATAATTACAAATTTTTTGATAAGTTTCAAGAATTTTTAAAGTCACATGTTACCGTACAATTAGACTAAGCCTTCTATAGTTACACAGGCATTTCTATCTTTTCCTGCATCTAATGATTAAATAGCCATAATATCTAGACTTCTATAGATGAATTATAATGATATATACAACAAACATATTGTAGATATTACTTAAACTAACCAGAAATCTAGTTTGTTTATTCGATAAATTATACACATGATATCATTTGTGTCAAATTACATCGATTGAAACTTGATATTTTCATCTCAATTATAACCATCCATAAAGCAGTTCCTATTAACTAACTGGTAGTAACTGTGACCTCTTAAATTTCAGTTCATCAGTGATTGAACAAAAGAATCTTTTTTTATATTTGCAATGTCCATCATTGGAAATCACTGAGACACTATCAGGGAAAGATAAGTTAATGTTTGAGTTAATGTTTCCAGAAAGTTCAATGAAGCCTTCAGAGGCTTTCGAGAAACTGAAGAGGTCCTATCCAACCACAGCCCGATATATATTCTAGGATGTCGACATGGCATATGATAACTGAATAATTGTGTAACATTGCTGTTTGTGGATTGGATTATTGTAATGATGTACATTTAGACAGTTACTCAATGAAACTTTCTTCTCCGTTTTCTTCCAGCTTTCGAGTAGAGACTTAAGGGGGTTAGGATTTACCTTGGTTACTAAATAATTTAACTTCATCGTAGACAGAAGGTAATCATTGGAGAAATTCCTTTATTTACAAATTCTATCGCTACCTTTACCCTAAATATTTGTGAAATACAAGTTTCAGTATTGAAATATCAAATATTTGATTAAAATCCATTAAAATAATGATATATTTAAAACAAATCAATGTATTGTTCACAGTATTTAAATTGTTCAATATCCACATGGTCCATACATTCATTCGAACTAGAAAGCCTATTTCTTATAACATAAATACCAGCCCTGTAATAGAAAATATAAACAATTAATTTAATACTGAATCAATGATCAAAAGATACAGAACACAATAATTTCTTGAAACGATTTTGATGATTTTTCTATCAAAATGAAAAAGGAAACAGAATAGACCCGTTGCTTGAATCGTCTTACTAGATGTGAGTGAAATGGATGGTTCTAACTGATTTCAGGATGATAAGGAATCGAAAGGTATGAAATCCTACTCCAATTGTCATCTATTAAGCACTTATATCCCTTGATATTTGCACCTCGCTTAATGACGTTTATGATGAAAACCGCGTATTTACAATGTTTTTCATAGAAAAAAAAACGTAAGTTCTTAAGAAAACAACAATTTCTAGTGTTCTGGATTGATCATGAGATTGCATGTTATATTTCAATGTTTTCAAAACATATGACAGTTCATGTTTGTATCGTTCATTATTTATTGATTATTGTATTAATTTAGGAACGATCAATGAAATGATGTGATTGTCAGCGTTTTTAGTCGTTTTGATTGTTTCTTTTGAGAAAAGAGAATGAAATTTTCAGATACATATTTCACAAGAAATATAACCATTGGTGAGCATACTTATAAACGCAGCAATAACATCTTAAAATTGATATATAAGTATAAGTATATATATATAAGTATGTAAGTTGAGTCAAAGCCTTAATATTACCTATCGGTATAAGTTTATCATATTCCTGAATGATAGCTTCCAGTGGGATCTTGGATAAAAGTGTTTCATCATGTAATCATCGATAATTAGAAACTGGCACATCGATGTAATAGGTTTTAATGTGTATAACATAGGTGTTCTGAATTCCTTTACTAATCACTGTTAAAAATTAAAAAATTAAAATGACTCAGTAAAAATAGTAAAATGAATAAAATTCCAGTAAATCAGCCATCAGAATAACCAAACATCATCAAGTTTGATGTAAACTGACTGATATATGTCTTTAAATGTCTCTCAGTTAAATAAAAATAATCAACAAACTCTGAGATGCAGATTTATCCAGCTACAGACGTGTCTCAAATAGAATAAAATGTATGTCTTGGATTCCCCTGCTAGCCACTATCCATTTCTGCTAATTAAATCACTGTGGGGTTGTTGTGAAGATTATTGAATCGATCAATGTTAGACCACCATTAGAAACCTGGAAGCACTGGATGGCCGCTTCGTCCTCGTATGGGACTCATCAGCAGTGCGCATCCACGACTCCTGCACCCCTCAGGATTCGAACCCAGGACCTTCGGTATTGTGCGCGAATGCCCTAACCGTTAGACCACTGAGCCGGTATCTAACGGTATAAATGTCTAACTTGATCAAATTCAGGTTTCTAATGGTGGTCTAACATTGATCGATTCATGGTTTCAGTAAAAATAAAACACTGTTAAGTCCCTTCATTAATCAGGATGTAGTTTACGATCTCAACAAATTACTTATCGAATGATATAAATGTCGAAATGTTAAATTTTATTTACAATACTAATGTAATTTTTTTTTTAGATTTAAGCATGAAGAACAAAATCAATAGTTTGCTATGGTGTACACAACTAGTTTTTTATTTGTCATGTAAACAATGTTGCATTAATCTTCTTGCACTTGAGCGTTCTAAAGAATTTGAATGTTGTTTTTTTCATTGCAAACGCACATGTTTGAATTTTTTTGAGGAAAGTGGAAATCCATGAACACACTCTAAAGAAATGTATTAATTATTTGTCTAGCTTAAAATTGCACAAAGTTGAAACTCAGTCAACACCTATTGGGTTTAAATTTTCGAATTGTTATGATTATACGAGTATTGACATATTTTTCAATTAGAGTTATGGAAATTAGTGTTTTTTGCACACTGATCGAAGGTCATGGGTTTAAATCTTGTGAAGTTCAGGAGTCGTGGATGCGCACTGCTGATGAGTCCCATACCAGGACGAAAGGGCCGTCTAGTGCTTCCAGGTTTCTAATGGTGGTCTAACAATGATTGAGTGATGATTTCAGTTCGCACTGACATATTACCAGAATTTTTTTTAAAGTTTATATTAATTTAAAAAAGTCTAAAAAAATAAATAAATAAAGACTAACATACTTCACAAGATGTTAATGGATCAATTTTGGCTATAGATTTGTTAATCGCTTTAAACATTGAAAAAGTGACTAGCGATACACACTAAAGAGAGAAAGAGAGCGAGAGAGAGTGAGAAAACAGTTAAACATTAAAATTATTATCATCACTATAGACACTCTTACTCATGTTGATATCACTAGTAATAATGAAAATAATGTTTGTTGCAGCTTGATTGATTGATGGTTTCGAAGTGTAAAATCACTGATCTTTGAAAAATCGTAAAATGTGCTCACTAGTGACCAGCTTCGTGAAGAAATTCTCCGAGTTCTAGTGAGAAGATGTGACCAGTGGAGTTCAACCCTGTCAGATGTAGACATTAGCTACTACCAAAGACAAATGGGTGAGATCGTACAAAATCTTTAGATTGATCAAAGTTAGACATTAACACCTTTGGATGCCGGTCCAATGGTCCAGAGGTTAGGCGTTCGCGCGCAAGACTGAAGGTCCTAGGTTCGAATCCTGCGAATAGCAGAAGTCGTAGATGAGCACTGTTAATTAGTCCCATGTTAGAATGAAACGGCCATCCAGTGCTTCCAGGCTTTAGGTGGTAGTCTAACAATGGTTGGTTCATGATTTCAAAAATACACAACAATCTCCGTTACTCTATACTAAAAGATGTTAATCATAGCGAAATATCGTGACCCATATTTTCTTATGTTCATGTGCCTATGTACTGAAGCTGATGGCTATGTTGCATTGATTTCATATCGCGTGGTCCACTCTCATTTTCCTTGAGGAAATAATAAATTAGGTGTATCTGTACGTCCACTAATCCCGGTTTGATGTAGATAAAGTACTTCCAAAACAATCATGGATATTATTGAATAACCCAACATTTATATTTCTGACGTTTCCTTAATCTCATCTGTATACACCGTTCTCTGAAAACATTGAAATAATCGGCAACACACCGTACCATTGTTAGTCTGTGTTCATCCATACGTAGATGAACTTGTCACAGATTTTTCTGTCCAGTGCGATTTTCGTCTTCGTTTGCTTAAGTGGTGGCTCAGTAGTTAAAGCTTTTGACCTTAGCTACGTAATCCCACGCTCAGAACTCCTTCGTCTGTTTCGGTCTAAATAACCAGGAACTCTTACCAGATCTTACATGTAGAATGTAGCACAAAGCCTAAGACGTGGATTTATACTTAGTAAGTGAATTAAGAAATAATTTCTTTCACTTTTATGTTTTTCTCCTGGTTTGCATCAAGTGAACTGATACAGTGTTACTGTGTTGCCCCGTCGGCTGCACTCATGCTGGATAATGTCTGAAAGATTTTGTATGCTTTTCCTAGATGCGATCAATTTTTATAAAACTTCAAGAATATCCAATTGTTATTCAGCATGTAATCTAAAGCTTAGCAATGCAACTGCCATATTCAGATAGCGAAACACAATCAGTAACATCTGTATGAACTATAAATCATTTTTTACCATTGTAATATGGGATTAAGTCAATGGTTTAATTGACTTATTATTACTATCTTGTGAAAGATTAGTAATATCAAACGTATATTTTATATACTGCAACAAGGAAATGATTTATTAATTATTATATGTAGAATAAACTAATCTCTACAACTACAATTATGTAGCTTTACAATAAAAATTAACCTCTATGAGTTTGTATTCATTTGGTCGAGCACTAAGACATCCTCATTCAATTAGACTTTTTTTCTCTTATCAAGCCTTCAGTTGCCTAATCATGTATTTTGGTAATCGATGTGATATTTAAGTTACAAACTCAAAACTGATTATTCATAAAATTGGAAATTTTTTAACGTGCTAATCCGAACGAGATAAAACTGAAGAACTTTATAATTTCTCACAAAACACCAGTTGCATTAAAAATGAGTAGTATCATTTGAAATCATTTTTGGACTACGATTAGAAACCTGGAAGCACTGGATGACCACTTCGTCCTAGTATGGGACTCGTCAGCATTACTCATCCATAACCTTCGTACACGGTTATCGTACCCAGGAGCTGAAGTTTCATGCATGAAATCTCAGCCTCTAGACCACTAAGTTAGTGCCTAGTAGTGTTGATTTCTAACTCCGATCAATCCAGGGTATTGCGCAGCCATCGTTGGGTAACCGCTCCACTCCCAGTACGGTTGAACTCGACTGGTCATGGCTTTTCACTAGAACTCCGAAAATTTCCTCACGAAGCTAGTCACTACTGTGCACATAATAATTTTAGTTATATGGGCGTGAATGCGCACCGCTTATGAGCCGTATACAAGAACGAAACAGCCATCCAGTGCTTTCAGACTTCTAATGATGGTCTGAAAATGATTGATTCGTGATTGAAATAAAACTAAACAATCTCCACAATTCCAAAATGAAAATAATATTCATTTAGGAATTTCATTTTATTTTTATTTTTGAATACATCTTATGCTTTTAGACAAAACGTTTTAAATCTCATCAAAATGATTTTTAATTGAAATATTCAAGAAATTTTGTGTTTGAGTAAAGTTTACTGAAATGAAAATTGTCCGAAAAATCTTTTAATTAATTTAATTCAACTAACTTGATCTCGAAACGGTCCTATGAATTCACAGTAGTCAATTAATTTCTCTTGTAAACTTTCAAGTTGAGCATGATCCAGAAACATTGAAATGACAGAATAATAAACTTTTCGACAAGTTCCACAAACTGAAGCAGAGAAACATGAACAATAATTCATAAAATTTAGATCACTGATAAAACATATAAAAAGTACATCACTCTGGAGTCAATTTTCTCAAATACAAACTCAAATGACTGACTAGACCAACTGTTCAACAAAGTTGGATATAGATGAAATCGATATAAGGCTGACTTTTATTTTCCGAAGATTAAAAATGTGCAAAAGCTTACTTCAGAGGTTAACCGTAAAGATAACACCTGTCTTACTGATATGCTCGCCAATTGTTACGAGTTCACTTTACTCGTTAGACGGAACGAAGACCAACAATGCAGAGACGCGATCGACTATCCTAATCCGATTGTCTCAGGTCCCGCTAACTAAAGGAAGAAGTCTTGATAAGACGTAGAGAGAATGTATTCACGGGCACCCAGAAAATACAATGTCCACAAGCACACAACTCAAGCTTATTTATATAGCGATAAGACGCCCTTGGTGAGAGCCACAAAATGGCGTACTAAAATAATCCATCAATCAATCACAGTCAAGGATTTTCTGAGTGGGAAATATAAGCTGTAGGTCAACTGGAGGGAAAACATAAAAATTCAAAATTTCAGAAATAAATTACAAAATCAGGACTTTTTCAGTGTGAGTTCTGGGGATCTAATGTGCTCAATACTTATAATTAGAAATGGGCTCATTGGAAAGTGGTCAGCATCTCGAGTTAACCATGGTTGAACAACTACGGAAAATCAGGAAGACCTTGACAAGTGTTTTTTGTAATTTTAAGAATCATCCAAATCGAGAACAGTCTCTAAACCTCTGAGTCAAGATCAACTGGTTTTCTCTTTCAACCTCGTTCAGTTTATCACTCACCTCCAAAGGTGATAAGCATCTTACACCCATGTTTGCATACTACCGGCCATAGTTTCTTACTAGATTATGTATAGCCTTCCTCAAACTTATCTATTAATAAAAGTTTGTTTATTGTAAATATCAGAGCTTCGTAACAGAAAGTAACCTACATCGTGAATTAGATTTAGTTAAACAATTACTGATGAAGAATAAACATTTTGGACAGTCGTTTCGTCCCATGTATGCGATTTCTTCGCAGTGCACACACCATAAACGTATTTTTATAGGATTAAAATTATTTTAAAAAAATGATTTCGATATTCCCACTCATGTACATAACAAAAACCGATATTCTAACTATATGTTATCCATTTAGGTCAATCGAAATTTGACTCTTTCTATCGTATCATTGAATAAAGCATAACTCAATAATTCCTTAGATATTTTGTAATTAATATTAATCCGTGTTACATCCATGGCAGCCTCCATTTCACTTTTCTACTAGCCTGCTATTCATTTGTTATACACGATTTATGATTCTGTGTACTAGTGAATTATTTACTGAACAATTAGAAGCATTTTCAGTTCTAAGTTAGTTATCTGTATTTCTAACTAATCTTACCCTAACAACATTTTATCAATTGGAGCTGCTTACATCCTAAATCTTATTTATTACTGGTTGTGTTGAATTTTAGTCAGACAAATATTTATGTTTTCATTATAATTTGGTGCATTTATTAGCTATCTAGTCAATGGGTCAGTAGATTTATCGAAAGTATATGATTACAAAATTGTCGCTTGAAAAATTCACACACTTATTTAACATATTGATTCAAACGTAAATAACTAGTGTGACTATAAACGGTGCCAACTGTCCCGAATTCTTCTTATCTCAAGAAATCAAATCGTAGTTTTATGAAAAAAAAATAATTCTGCCTAATTCTAACAGAAAAATAATATTTAAGAGGTTTACGCAAATGTTTGTTTTGTTTATTAATAATGTGATTACATGTAACTGAATAAATGATCAGTGTCGCCTGACTAAAGTTGTAAACCTTTCATAAAAAAATACAAAGAAACGAACAAAATCAATAAGCTATATTTGTTGATACATGCTATGGTCTATTTGCATGCCTAAGTACACGTATCTGGATCGATAGCTTTTAGGTTTAAAGACATGAAACTAAAACTTATGGATTACAGTTTACAAATGAGTAATATTTTTTAAGAGGGTATCTGAAGACTATTAATGCATCAATGTACAGAGTGTTAACGAGTAGCATATTGATTAAAAATACATTGATTGATCAGTATCACAATTGTCTAGTTCTTAAGTTCTGAATGAGTGCTACTTATGGGGTTTCAATGGGATCATCATTCTAAGGTACTACTCGAAAACCCTTTCACAGTCTTTTCGTGTTAAGTGATCAGAGATAGTCAGCAAGAAAGAATGATATTAATTTCTGATAGAAGCAGTTTAGTAAACAATTCTTCAGGTCGATGAAGCGGCACTACAGGTAAACAATGTTTATTATGCCGACATTACAATAAAACAATAATTTCAAAACAGTAGCAATCACTTCTAAACACGATGATTACCTGTAAGAAGACTAATTCGTTGATAAAATATACAAATGTAAAGTGTATTCAATGCTTGTAAAACTTTTAAATTCTTGATGAGTTTGTGAGTAAAGGTATGAGCAATCACTATCATTTTACAATGATATTAGATTTATTTTTTGTCTCGGTTGGTTTAAGAAAATAGATTGAAAGAGCTATATTTAAATGAAAGTACATAAGTGTTACACAAACTAGAATGTATTGAAACTCAATAACGGAATAAATAACATGTTAATTATTTGAAACAAGCAATACATAGTTCAAATTCCAATGTGAATATTGATGCCGGAATTTAGGTACATCCACTCAGTCTGTCCCAAATAAGATAAAACTTGAGTTATGAACTTTACTGCCAGCCATATTCCAACTTTTATATAAAAATTTATGATATAATGGTTATATTAAGACAATCCGTATAGGTACCTCATATACAAAATAAGGTTGATTAAAATTTAGTCAAGAATAGTAAACAGCAAGAATATCTAAACGATGACAAGTAAAATTATGAATCACGGGTCACAAAAATATGTGTTTATTTCTGGAGAGACTTCTAACTTTCAGATACTGGTTTACAGTTTGCAAAAAACATCCCACCTCGGGGACAACAGTCATGATATACTCTGTATATATGTATATATATATGCAAGTTGTCAACCAAGGACATTTTCATGTTGTAGCTTTTACATGGGAGAAACATGCAAACAAGTGCTTTCAATAATGGAGCGTTAAAATTTTCTGAAGCTTCTTTAAGGAATGCAGTTTCTAACAGTAACCAAACAGCTATTCGAAATAATGAAACTGAAATCAGTTGGTTTTAATTACCAAATCGAATCATAATAAACATTGGTACATATCTATTTGCCTTCATTAACTCAGAAAACAACATACAAGCTGAGATCATCACTGGATGTATAATTCAGATTTTTTGAAAGCGTCCTTTGTTTATAATTTCACACCCGATGATTAACCTTATTATACAACATGCTAACTGTCTGGCTATTACTGAGCGCATAATATACCTAGACGTCTCCTATCCACCAGTATCATCGAATAACTGACAGTTGTATTGTATTGTAGATTGGATGACATTGAAAATGCCGAATACTGCATACTTTTTCTATAGTTTATATAACAAACGATCATCAAACAACCTACTGATTTGGTTTATCCATGAAATGACTCTATTTTTTTTTATTTCTACTGGATTTCATTATTAGAAGTTGGAATAATTTGAGCTAATTTTTAATTCATGATGATTGCTTCATAAATTTCTTGAGAAACATTACCAAATATCATTCAAAGTAGCATTCAACTGGTTTAAAAGGTCAGTACTTTTTCTTATGACATAATGATTGTAATTTCAAAGATAATTATTGACTTGAATTAATATCATAAGATAATTCAAAGAAAATTTACTAAATAATCATTACTTACATTTTCCATAAAAAAATTTTGGATCTTTAGTCTGTAAAAAGAGAATTTAGAAAGCTAGTGAAAGAGTGAATGGAATATTTATTCATAAGTTCAAGAGCATTAGTGAATGATGGGTTAAATTATTATCATTATCATTAATAAAAACAAGAATATTTTCTAAGTTCTCTCGATTTAACCGTGTTTTAAGCAAATTTAGTAATTTGAATGAGTGGGGGGATAAACTCCACGTTGTCATATCATCTAAAATTATCGTACTCAGTAATAACGACTGGGTTTTCTTCGTTTTGTCACTAAATTGTGTATATTTTGAGATAATCTTTATTATAGAATCGATTGATGGTGTAGCCTTATGTTGTAACTTTTACTTCATCATGGCTGACTACATTACAGTTCATGCGTCCGTAGCAGGATGTACTGATTATTCTGTCGTAAAAAAACTTTATATAGATCATAGATTTCTGTAAGATTTTAGTGACCACCGTGAATAGTCGGTGCTTTTAGGCCGAAACCAGTCATTCCGCATCATTCAGATTGGTTTCCAGGAACGGTGTTAAAATGGCAAACGACAGTGGAATATATCCTCAGCCTAATCAAATAGATTCAAAAGTGAAAAAATAATCAGTTTCTGATTATGTTTGACCCTTAGTAAATTATTTCAAATGATTATGCCTAAACAGAACTCATCTTTCCGGCTAAAGAAATTACGACTAGTCAATTTACAAATAATTTGAATTTATTACGTTCTTTCTCAAGGTGTAAGTCAGACAGACAGACAGATACAACACAGTACTTCGTACGTACGTACATTAGTTCAGGTTGCCATGCCGCATTAGCATTAGGTGTAAGAATTTAAGGCTTGAAATTGAACTTGTTGTATCATAAGAAATACCGATTTCATTAGCATCAGTTTTCTACGTTTAAATGCATTGTGCCTTATTTTTATACAGACAATTGGAAATTCCCTCTTTTGGTTCTTGATTCATTTGTTTTCAAGCATTACTCATTTTACCCTATTGATCGATTCACGTTTTTACGGTTATTATTATGTGACTTTTAACACTCAAGTAGTCTATGAATGAAAAAGAACTAGCATCGGACAATTGCATTGTCCCAGTATGAGACTCTTAAATGTTGAGAATTCATAACCAAACCGAAATGTCTAATGAAATGACGGTACAAAAGCTTCCTTAATTTCAACAGGCTAGTCTGAGACAAATTTAATTCGCATATTATACTATTTACCAAAAAATCTCACCTAAATAAGCCTTTAACAGGATATGAAGCCTTAATTGGAGGGTAATTTTATTTTTACATACTTCTCTTATATTTAATTTCTATTAGAGACCATAGTGAATTCAAGTTAGTCAAATGAGTTCCACTAATCTAGCAAAAATACTAACGAGACATAATGTAACTCATATTTAATAATATTTAATACATTACATTACAAACTTTACATTTTCGAAATGAAATTCTCGATTCGTAGCTATGACATAAGGTTTTCACGTGTCATAGTTAAAGGTCTAACAATTAAGGATCCAACTTACTACCTTAAAATGAATTAGTTATCAGCGTTTTTCAATCTCAACAGTATTTAAATTTGTATCAGTCGCTATTCGCTAATGAGAGGCTCTTGAAATCTTGATGAGAGTGATTTACACCTCCATCACTCTTTCGAAGCTGAAAATGTTAGTTCTTTCTGGACTGCAAGCAAACTACATTGACCAAGTAGAATAAGAATGAAACTCAAGTCTGAGGCTGCCTCCTAAATACGTACAACTAACCGTCATAAAATTTCTTTTTTGTGTAGTAAAATGTGTGTATATGGTGAAGAGAATTTTTCTAGCCTACATCTGAAATCTTTTTCATTAAAGCTTGTAAAATATTCAATACCATCTACTAGGTTTTTCAACTAGTTCAATAACAACTACAATAATGAATTATGTTCAAGATTTTTCTTCAAATTTAATATACATGCACATTAGTAATTCATTATGAAGTTTTGTCTCATTTTATTAATAATAACTGATTATAACTAGAAATCTATGCTATTAATTTATCATTAATAATTAGTATAATAATAAAAAAGCACATCGGTTACTTTCAAAATTACCATGATGAGTCTAATTGAACATTAGAACAATTAATTCTAATCAAAATTACTTAAGTCTTCAATTTTAAGACGTTTCATCATAAGGCCCTGGAAATTGTTGTTTTTCATTGAAATCATGGGTCTGTCATTGCTAGACTACCATTAGGAGCCTGGAAGCACTGAATGGTCTTTTCGCCCTAGTATGGGACTCATCAGCGGTGCACATGCGCGAGAGTCGAACCTAGGACCTTCGGCTTCATGCGGGAACGCACAACTTCTGAACCGTTCAGTATTTTGAGGACTATGGTAGCGGTCTAATAATGGTCAATTCATGATTCCAACGATTTTAAGATTGTATTTCTTTTTTTATCATCAGAAATTATGTAGATGTAATATGAAATACTGTTTGGAATTGGTTTTTTTTTATTATTTAGTAAGTTTGGCTCGTAGTCTAGTTCGTGAATATGAATTTGTTTTCTAACATTCACTTGTAAGTTGATGCTAACTGATAAAATCATTCATTCATAAAAATAAATTGTTAGTTTAGCCATTATGATAGCTATCATTTCAGTGATAATCTAATCAATAGTCGATGATAAACAAATTATTCGACAATAACTTATTATTTCGAATTATAACTTCTTTTCCACTTAACTGGCTTCAGGAAAAATTTATGAATACACTACACACAAAAAAAATAACTGTAAGATTTCAATAAATTCTCTGTTGTACTATGCAAAAATTCAACAAACAATGAATGTTCAACACACTTATGACAATAGAAAATCTGACCCATTTAAATTTTGATAAACATAATAGGATCTATTCTACAGAAATAAAATATAAAATCAGCTATTCTTCAAACTGAACGGTTTATTATTTGCCTTTCGGACTAATTTACTTTATTTATGTCATCCAATTCAACACTACCCTATAAAGTTACAGTGAATAAAATGACACATATGTGAGAATCTAACAGAAAGTATGAATAGTTTACATGTCGAAACTAATTTATTTTTTTTTGAACGAACAATTAAAACATTTTAGACTTCTTTCTTCTAGCTAGAACTGGTCAATAATTTATTCGATAAAATTGAAAAATAAACAAATCAACTTATTTTCAAGTTAATTACAACTAGGGAATCGATCAACAACCATGAAAGACCACAATGTATGAGTATAAAATCAGTCATTGTGATATAGTATTATGCAGATTCAGTTAGAAATCTAGAGAAAGAAACATTATCTCTATTAAATAATTAAAAATAATTTGTGTTCTCAGTTTATGATAAACTTTAATTATTACTTAAAGAGTGTCGTTCATTTGAAAGTCATCAAAAGGAATTTCTAATATTGAGTTTGCTACTGTGTAAACAGATTCGCTTGTCGATTATAAATTTATTAAAACTGATCCTGTGAATGATACGATTTTGACTCAGTGAGCTGATACTATAGAACCTAATAGGTAACTTAAAGATCTATGGTTCGACATGACACAACACAATTTTACAATTTCATCTATTATCAAAAAATATTTCTAAACAATTACCAGTATTTTGACTTGTTTTATAGTAAGTCAATGAATTTTTTTAATTTAAATTATGTTTTCTAACTAAGTACGCAGAAAAGTTGGTATACAAAATCAATGCATTTCGTTCAGTCAGCATATCTTCACTTCACATTGTAGGACTTCAAATAATTCCTGTTTTTAAACTAAATGAAGTATATATATATATATATATATATATATATATATATATATATATTACACGACCAAATTGAATTTATTCTTTGTACATAATTTACTTACAGAGACAGTGTCAGTTAAATTTATTAATTCTGCAAAATATCATGCTCCTAAATCGTGTTAGTGTTAATTCTTCAACAAATCGGCTGACACTAAATGAGAAAAAATTACTCACCCTGTACACAGAAATAAATCCCAGTTAAAAATGTTATGCATTGAGCATTATTCATACTGACTTGTGTTTTCACATTATCAATAATCGAGAATGAAAATGGTCACCCTTACTTGATTTGTCGGCTCCTGTAACTTATCGCCATTCCATGTTTACACTCTCTTTTCGGTTTCACTGTTAATCTCGTTTGAAACTCATCAGGCCACCAAGTCTTTCATTAATATCGGCAAATGGGCAGATACAAACCTTTATAACTGATACTGAACATCATACTCATTAAAAAATCTCTGTTTTACACAACTGATTAGGTTACTAAATAACTCACTGGCATTTAAACTAGTCAATACTAGTTTTGAATAAATCGAAAATGAGCTAAGAAAAACTACTACCTAAATTTGATTTCTATACTTTTATTTAGAAACTTTAAAAAAACTGTCTTATCATCAAATAATACTAAAAATATACAGTCACTTGCTCATTCTTGTCTAACCAAAACTTACATTTCAATAAAAAGGTAATGTGAATTACAAGCAATAATCATTTGATTATTTCTATATTAACTTACCAAACTAATCATTTGATAACTACCATGAGTAAATTCTGTTTTAACTAAAAATCAAATGAACATTACAAAACATTTCAATGTGTGCATACTTACCAAACGGTAATCCAATACATTGTAGCATAATAATAATGATACAAAAATATGGTAACATATTAGCTAACTGGAAAAATCTATAAATGAGTAAAATTGTTAAACAGAATTTAACTACAACAAAAAAACATTCTATCAGTCTGCTCACACATAGACACACATTATACAATAAACAATAGGCAAACATTATACTTAAAGAAACATTTTAAACATCTTTAATTTTCGATAAGAAAATGAAACTACTAAAGTGGAATGCATTATTCATGCAACACTATAATAATAATAATAATAATAATAATAATAATAATCAATTTTTTCATTTATAAAAGAAACAATTCAATTTAATTATTGACAAACATGATTGTATTTTGTACAAGTTTATTTAGTATGTAAAGATTAGTTAGTTTAATGTAAGTATACTTCAGAAAACGAATGTTGTAGAAAAAAAATTTATTCAATTTCACATGAGGTTCACAATAATAGTTTGTTTATAAGCTATACTGCATTTTAGTGGTTCGAGATCTGAATCCGCATTGTACTAACAGTTAAATATGCAATGAATATGCAATCTTCCATTCTATTTCTGTATACTATTCACAGGTGAACGCCGTTTGTAAGATGGTTGTAATTCAAAGCCAAATATTGTTTAAGTTGGGTGACTTTAGTTCATTCACTAAGGCAAGCGAAAAGACGTCAGGAGGAGAAGCGTGAAAGCGTAGCGGAACCAAGCAAAGTGCAGAAGGCAAGTAGGTCAACTCAGTGTGATGAAACAAGACTAAGTATTCATGGTCGGACATGCTCTAAACTGATATGATTGCAATAATTCAATATTGCTGAACCGAACGTGAATCAGTGACACTACAGCAGGACAGATTATTTATTCTCTGTAGCTCAGATCAAATAACTAGAGCGAGAAGTACAAGGTCAGTAAGAAGATTGTATAATCCATGAGCAACCCTGGGATAATGAATTCACAAGTATTCAATGCAGGCGTAGTTTTTACAATAAAAAGTGTTACAAAACAGCACACCAAAATAGAAAGCTAACCGATGAAGCTTATGCTTCTTACCAGTGGCAAACACGAAGTGAAGGTCATAAGAGTCACTTTTGGTGCGAAAACGAGAAATTCAGATTTCCAAAAATAAATTATAAAATTTATTTAAGAGATCTAGCATCCCTAACATAAACGAAACATTCAACACACACACACACGTTTTCAAATAGAAATAGCTAAGGTTATGAGATTAATTAGCAGAATGAAAATATGATTGAATAATTATTTGAGAAGCATTGGTTAACCATTTTGTCACAAGCCAAGACAAGCCGTATCGACTTGACATAATGGTGCACTCTAAAGTTTTAAAATCTAACAAAATGAGTATAGAATATTCTCTTTAATGAATTTGGTTGGAAGGTAAAATAAACATGCGGTAAAGATCCATGTGACGTTATCGATCAAGTAAACATATATCCTATACGGCTCATCGATTTCATAAAATTTTATTGATACATGTAATATGTAAGAGAAAATTTCATCGTTCTGATAAAGCAAAAGACTGTTGAGTCAGAAATAACCATTTAATTAATTAAAAGAAAGCTGATGGTTATTAGATAAAATCAGTTACAAACACACATATATACATTGTGTTAGTTGATGATGGGTAGTTAAAAACAAATCGTAGATCTACGTTTCTTGCTTTTTGTTATTCACCAGTAATGCCTTCCTGCAACCTTGAAGGAATCGATGCCTTAGATACTTAACACAATCTGAGACGTTACACCCTTACTATTCAAACTATGAGTGACTTTCTGAAAGACAGAGACCCATTCACAATTGACTGATCACTACATATTGATTAGTCTCATGTTTGTCTGATCCTTTAGTGTTGACCGAATACCAATGATCAATTTGCAGTATAAGCACTAGTCTAAGAGTCTGAATATGGCTTGTAGTATGTTTTGATGATTGATACGAGTTCAAGTTTCATAGGGAACATTAATTCTCTCTAGATTATAGATACATTTTTCCGACGAGTGATGATTAGCACAATACCCAAGCTTAGCTATTCCTAGCTACTGCCTTCAACTACCTAATACCTTAACGTGGTATATGAGATAGGGAGTCACTTAGACCAAGGTTTACGTAAGAAACTGATTGTTAAAACGTGATCAGCATTAAATAATTGAACAACAATTACATTGATCAATACTCAATGATCAATAAATTGTTCAAATTGATTAGATGCTATATTATGATGTTCTTATGTGATAGTGTTATGTTTATTATCTTTTTCCAGTCTTTGAGCTCTGTATTCATTCCATATTGGTAATGTTGTTCAGGTTCTTCACTGTTCATTTGATATCTTTAGCTGAAAATCGCTGAGGAATACACAAATGGTTAATTGTTTACATGTATAATAATTCCCTAATTTAAAAACTACCTTTATTACTTGAATGCATTTTATTTCAATTTTTAAGTTATTGACTGGGATTTTTCTTGTGTATGGATGGTATGAAAATGCTTATCTATTTTCGAATCACTAAGTTTGAAGATGGATTATTAAGGTCATTAAGTTCAAAGTAGTATTGAAAACAACAATTGACGTGGGACGGCGAACCATTTTATGGCGATATATTGGATAGTTGTTTGATCCTAGTTTCATATTGATATTTAGATACGTGCATCAATGAATTTTGTGTATGTTCTCTAGCATGTTAACTTAAAAAACCCAGGACCTATTGTTTTACACTTCCTACATCTATCAATGTACAATATTCAGTTATCAATATTCAATATCTTTGGTCATGTTCCCCATTCTTCTGATAAAGTTAAACTTTAAATGTCACGAGTTCTCACTGAAGTGTTGGATATAGTCACTAGTGCATGCACGATTACTAATAGGATGGATTTTCTCATGAATAATTAATTTGAAAATAGTATTAAATTAAAAAGAGTCGGCCTTTATAAGTTATACTGTATCAAGGTAATATATGTATCAATATTCAAATTAGATTCCCTAAGGATAATAATTCAAAAAGTTAGCGTAAATTTCAAGTACATACGATTTTCATTAAAAACCAGATTGACTATGAATAGTTTAGAAAATCCTAAACGATGAATTGTGCTGTTTAGCCATGATTATTATATATCTGGTTTAATTAGGGACAATCAACTTCAATACATCAGCTTCTCAATACTGATCAGTTCACTTGATGATAAGTCCAAGATTCTCCAAGTGTTGAAAAGTAAATTTTCCTTATCCTTTTGTTCTAGTAACAATGCAAGAAAGGAGTCTCAAAGTTTTGGCTTCCTCTCTTCTTTTATTAATAGATATACACTTCTGATTGTTTCTAAACTAAGACTTCATACATGTTTAGCACCACTTGTTTATCATTGTCTCTTCCAACAATATCACTTCTAATCTAGGAATGAAACTAAATTCTTTCTATTATATTTTCCAATATCATTTATTCAGCTGATTATTTAAAAGGTTGGTAAGGTATCCAGATTGATTTATTTGAAATGTTTAAAAATCTTATCAAATAACTGTACATCTACTTGATTAATGTACTAAATATTGTATTTACAACTGGTGGAATGCACCGGTTGTCATACGATTCAAACCAGTTTTATATGGATGAAAATACATGATACTTGTTTTATTTTAGTTCATATATCCAAGACATGAATGTAATTGGCTAGTTACCGATTAAAACTATTCAAATTCTGTCTAGAATTTAATAACTTTCCACTTGATCATCAGTAAGATAAAATACTCAATAACTGAGGTGGCATCAAAGTAGAATCGACAATTAAATTTCACAATTCCACTGGTATATATATCCAGAAACTCAATCCCGCAATCTATAATCTGAACAGTCTATTAACGAACGCCTTCGGCTAAACGTTATCATAATCGATAAACTTATTCCTAAAACCAGTCTATAGAACAAGATAGAACTCAACAGAAACTTCATTTTCAAAGAATCACAACAACTTATATACACATCTTTTTGCTGAATCACCTCTTACTGCAAAATAGTAAATGACAGTGGAACTCATAGTGAGCATTGTCTACCTCATTTTTCAACGACATCGTAATGATTAACAATAATTTTATGTATTTAAATATTCTTTTTCATAATTTCACATATTTAGTCATAATTTTATACTGCTTTTTAAATGTTTCAGTAGTAAATTCTTGATTGAAAGATAATCCAAGTAGCCAAAAAAGTTTATAAAGCAACATCGGATATAATGCATTATGCCCATGATGAAATTTATGTAGAACACAAAAATGCACGCTGAAATCACAAATAAAAGAAGGAGAAAAAAATCGTTCAAAGTGTAACTCGAGTGTTTTGTTAGTATAAAATTAATTAGTGTTGGCTCGCATGTTGAGCATATATTCAAAATTAAACTTTAATCATATTGACTTAAAAATAAACAAATTACTTTGTTCATAAATTCATCAGACAAACAAATGTCTTTCGTTCGTTATCGGTCACAAAATTAAAAATACCTACAGATAAAAACAGCGGCTGCTTAAAACAACATTCTAACAGAATAATGTTTGGAATAAAATGTACAAACTACTACTTGTATACAAGATACTATTTTAATTAAGATATTTCTAAATTTTACATAAACTCTTTTCATTGTTGTAGCTGACGAAGATAGTGATGTTGAATTAGTTTTGTTGTAAATTCTACTGTAACTAAACCATACCTGTTAGATAATGATAATGACCTATTTCGCATACACTCAAATGTTATTTGTTCATTGTCGTTTGATCTATATAAATGATGCTACTTAATTTACAACAACAAAGTTTCTCAGATAAAATCGAATTACCGCTTTTCTTTTTATGAAGTTAGATGTTCTAGCAAATATCTTTCATTTTGTCACTGTTTTATTCAAATTTCTATGGTTTGTATTATTTGGATTTTCTGGAATATTCTGCATACTAAATATAGTTGTATGAACTTGCCGATTTGATTGTTTCTCATGATCGGAAATTTCTGTTTTCGTTATTCAAAGATCAATTATATTTTGTCAGCAGAATTGATTTCTTAAAAGTTTCATAACTATTCCTTGAATCTTTAGTGTTTACAGGTTTTTCCTAATGATCGTCGAATTTATACACATCCTAAATGCTTTCAACTTGAAAGTATTATTCTAGTGATTTTAAGACAAGGAAATTGACAAACCATTTCATATATACAGTTTTAATTTAAGCGAACATTTACAGAAAATTTGGAAAATGGAACACATGAGCTGATCAACTCAATGAAAGCTGTATAGTTTCATAAATGACCATATTAACTGGTCAGTTTAAGAAAGGTAACCTCTCAGGAGTTTTTTCTGAATTTCTTAGTAAGATAGTTTGCTTAAATATCATAAACTTAATTAACAAATAAAATGTTGACTTTTACTCTCACCATAAATGCATTTAAACATTACGGGTTTATAATATGGTTATGAGTTGATCAATTGAAAATTGAGCTTTTTGTTTATTTGGTCTGTTTTGTTCATTAGTGCTTTTTTAAAACGTTTTTTACAATAGGCATTAGTTAAATGAATCTATTTACTGTTCAATAATAATAATATTAAATAATCATATTACATTCTAAATAAAACAACACTTCTAAATGTTAGTAATCTCATGTGTGCAGAATTGAAATATTTATTACACAACAGTCAATAGAACTCAACTATCAATGCAATCAATATACATATTTTCTGGTTATGATAAATTATCGATTATTATTGAAATGAGAAAGTGGAATCTAAAATCACAAATGAATTGATCTCGAATAAATTCTTAACATAGTCTCGTTTTATGATGAAACATAAACATCACCATAGATTTTCTTAGCTTGAAGTGCACTTCAATCACAGCACCTTTTTCGAGTGTTTTAAGGATTTCAAGATTTTTAATGTGCCGATTAAAAATTTACTGAAAACATTATAAAATGATGACAATTTATTAATGATTACTTATTAGTAGTAATGGTAATACTTAAAATTGAATTATTATAAAATGAAGCAAAGTCTTTTTTAAAAAAAAATAACAAGTGAATCATGTTAGAATTTGTAGTTTTAATACAAAGTACAAACATTTTTCCAATAATTTTACATGTCAGGCTTTACAATAACAATTTGATATAAACATTTATTTTAAATATTTGTACAGTAAATACAGTCTGTGGGTGATAAAAGCTACACGTGTTTATATGAGGTATTTAGATTAGAGTAGATTATGGAAGCACAGTAAAATTTTGAAAACGATTTTACACTATGGACAAAGTCGAACTAAAAAAAATTACGTGACACTGAGCATGTATTTTGTCTTACTTTGAGAGTTTCTACTAGTGCAAGGAAGATATTATTACTTGCAGTTCAAGATTGAATCAGTAACTCATGAGGCTCTATCATATTTAGAATGAAACAGTTGTCACTGTAAAAGTGGAAATGAGAATCATTGATGGAAAACTTAGTAGTCCATTCAGAGATAAAGTTGAAAAAAAACCTAAAAATTGTGTACTCCATCCGTAACTCAGTCTTTTGTAAATAAAAAACCATTCTAGAATGAAACCAGAATGCCAGATGCTCCATTATTTCCAATGTTTATTTGGTTTAAATCAGTCCATGATATAGACTATCTTTGAACAGTCATTACATTTTGATTCGTTTTATGTGAACATAGAAAAATCATCAGTCAGTCATTGTTAGACCACCATTAGAAACCTGGAAGCACTGTATGGCCGTTTCGTCCTGGTATGGGACTCATCAGAAGTGCGCACCCATGACTCCTGCACCTCGCAGGATTCAAACCCGGGACCTTCGGACTTGCGGGCGGACTCCTAACCTCTGGACGGTCTAGTGCTTCCAGGTTTCTAATGGTGATCTAACAATAATTGACTGATGATTTCAGTGTGTAACAAACAGCAATCTCCATAACTTTAATTGAAAAATATAGGGAAAAGGAGAATTTTTCGAAACTGATTTCAAAACAGAGGGCTTATCAATCAATAAATCATTTCGGGATGCTGTAACTTAATCGTTTCTGTGCCACGTATCTGTACTGAAGAGGAATCAATAAATATTGGAAGCTTTATCGACTGTGATCATAGGAATGAGATTGTTTATTCCTTTGCATAACCTTATAGTGGATAATCCCAGACTTATCCAATCTTCGCTTGGTTAGTCATTTTATCTAAGTAGTTGCCTTCACAAAAGTAATCGAATTCAAAAGTATGCAGAGAAGTAACCGAGCATTAACACTGATTGCATGATGACATTGACAGCATTTATAATGTATTAAAGTGATATACAGTGTAAGTGTGAAGATTGTTTTGTTGTGAGCATTCAATAAAGAACATAGTAGCTAATAGGCTTATCACTAAATTTATTTCTACGGTAGACTATATTTCGTTGTAACATTCTGATTATAATATTTATATTTGTACAACACGAGTTTTCTAAGGCTAAATAAAATTCCAATATAATCAATTGAAAACAAGATTGAACAGATAATTGAATTACGATATCTAATGAAGTTGAACAAATTGTATTCAATTGGGACTAAATATTTTGTGAGTCTAATGAAATAAATGAAATTCTGAATGAGGAAAATAATAAGTATTAGTACAAAATCGGACATCCATTCACATCAACTGCCAAAAGTAATTACGCAAACAAAGATTTTTTTAAAAGGAGTAGGTAATATGCTAGTGTGTCACAAACTGTTCCAAGTTCAATCAGGATATCTCACCCTGCAAGGATACATAATTAAGTAAGAAAAGGAAGTTTGACAAGGTCTTACTATGCTTTGGTGGACTATTGATCTGATCAAGATTACCATCCACATATCCCTTCCGGAATCTGTCCGGCATTGTATACATACATGATTTATGTGAATATTCATTCAGCTTTTGATTTTAAAACTTCCTACTTACTTTTAATCTTCTTATCCCTTCAGAGGTGATTGGTCAGAGTTTATGAAGGATAGATTGTCGACTGAACTGAACTAAAGAACTTAACAGAATTGAGTTATTTCACTGATTTTTAAAGTCACATTTTTAAAAATATTGAACAGTTTATCAAACAAAAAACACATACAATGGTAGACATTTATACTATTCATAGTGTATAAGAATTTCTATCAGTATTCAACCAACACTGTAGAAATTATAGTGTTACTGGGGCTGATAAAATTGATTAGTTGCATCCGAATCGCAAAATATAAACGTTTTCTATAAATAAATATAATCCTTGTCTTATTCAAAGAAGTTCATGCCACAAACTCATAGGAAGTTAACTATCCAAACTGATTTGTCAAATCGATTTTTTCTTTTCATTTATCTAGATCCGTATGAGAATAATGTTTGTCACGAGTTATTATTATTATTTATCAGTAGTGTATATCAGATATTCAACAAAAGTAATATTTTGCATAACTGCATTTGTTATCAATGGGAATACGTATAAATGAAGAATAAACAATGCAAAATATTAACTAGACATGATGTAACAGGAATACAAATTTTGTTATGATATTATAAATAACCATATTAATACATTGTTGAATAGTCACCAGCATTGCATTTACATAGTTCTTTATGTGTACGAAATAATATCGACCAAATGCCAACAATACTACTAGTTCAAGTGACTTGATGTCACTTGTGAAAAGATTCAAAAATCATCGGTAGGACAATCCAAACATTCTTGCATCAACCGATTGTTCACATATTAATTTATTTTGTTATGGATTAATAAGCAATCAATGTCGTATATGTCTGTTCTTAATTAATGATTGAATTCTACTGATCAAATCTCAAATCATTTGTAGTGTGTGCACTTTTATGTCCAGCCTACCGAGGTTGTCTCAGCCTCTGGACAATTTAACTAGTTCATTCTTCTCGAGTTACACAAGCGTCTTTTGACCTTGTCATTTATTTGCTTTTATCTTGGTCGTCTTTATTCGGGCGTGTGTGTGTGTGTGTGTGTGCAGACCAACTTCGTTATCACATGTCCGGATTATGTGTGTTTAACTATAAATACTTAGGCATGCCTCATTACACTGAGTTGGCTCGGTCGCCTTCTCCACTTCGCTTCGCTTTGTTTTTCTGGTACTCTTTATATGCTCATGCCTATTTGCATGGACGATTGCTTCGCATAAATTCATCCAACCGAATCCGTTTTTGGCTTTTTATTTCCACCGTCTCACAAACGGGGTTCATCTAAATATGATTTACGGAAACTGAAGCGCAAATTTATTTCATAGCATATTTAATTGCTCATAAACGAGGGGGTCAGCCTACGGGCCACAAAATAGTGAGCCAGACATCGAATATACCGTAGCTACATACTGATTCATAAATCCGTTATCATATGTTGATGGTTAACTTTAAAATGTTCACTTTGTACATTGAGTTTCGAAAAGTGTGAAATAATTTATTGCTTAAAATTATTAAAATAAGTTGAAGCATTCACCACTGATTATGCAATACAAATTATGCATGAGTATTTCAAGTTTCTTTACATTTTGTAAAAAAAGAATGTCTGAAAAATTAATTCGATTCAATCTATGTACTCTGACATGACTAACATTCTATAAACTAGAAAACATATCTTTAGTAATGTAGAATTTTTTGTTGCAGTACATAAACATTGGTACAAAGCCGCACCTAAATATCAATGAACGACACAAATTATTGAATTTGTGAGTGGACTTAAATATTGTCTGAGTACTCAAACCAAGTCAGGTGGTTTTCTCAGGTGACCACCACACTCCGAACCTTTTGAACAAAAGTCGAATCCACAAGACAGTGGAGCAACGTAAGCAGATGCAGTTCGATGCTAGCTAGTGATCAACATTAAGTTCAAACACCACTTGTTCTGTCAGAATGCGAGAACTGATATTCATTAATAGTTTGCAATTAGGTTTTTCCAACTTTCCTAGGTGAACCCTCCATAACTGGTTAAAGTACCGGATAGTCGCTTTTTGTCCTGTCATTTCCATATACAACACTCGTGACACGAGTGGCTATATACACATGGCCATATGAACGCACTTCCATAAGTAGAGAGAATTCTCTCCACTTTCGACCGTACTTTGGGTGCTGAATGAATATTGTAGGCAGTTGACGGAATGAATTTCCAACCGTAGGTGAAAATCAAATCATGAGTTTGGATAGTATCTTTATTACTATATTTTGCCGTATTTCAGTTGTCAGTAAGATATTGCAGAAATGTCTTAAAGTAGACAGATATACATATATCAAATGATTCCAAACTTTAGAACTAGGTTTTCTTAATTTTTTGAAAAACAATCCTAGATTACTTAGAGATATTTTCCAGCATAATATTATTCTATCAAATAAATATTAAAGTGATTAAAATTTAAAATATTGCTTACCTTGCAAACTTTATCAGGTTTTATATTTACTACAAATTTATTGATGATTTTAAACATTGTTGAACTGAACAACGATGCACACTGTAAAAATAATAAAATAATGTTTATAGCAATGATTTGATTGAAAAGATTTTCCAGTTTGATTGTCTTGATTTCTAAGTTATATTCAACATAGATAAAGGTATTTTGTTCGAGCACCAAACTTATTACCAGTGCAGAGTAGCAAGTTCAAAGTATTCTTGATGTTCTAGCATAAAATCCTGACCAGTGGAGCCTAGATATGTCTCGAATGAAATGGAATCGGACAAATGTTCAGATTTGTAGCAAACTAATAAAGTTGTGCCACTGGACACCAGCATGGTGATTTTAATGCTGCAGTATTTACCATAAAGCCTGAAGGTATGAGACCTCATCTGTCGGGAGATCGTGAGTGTACACTGCAGGGGAGCTCCGTACTTGAATGAGACAACTATTCAGTGTTTCGATTTTTTGGTTTGTGTAAAGTAATATTTCATTCATTCGAATTTGTGATAATGAATAATTAAGGCAATTTTTAGAGTTTACACAATACAGATTATTCAGTAGTTCATGATACAGTTGGATTATACAGATCAGTAAAACTTTTCACATCATTTTGTTGTACAGTTTGGTCATTATAAAATGTTCACTATGTGAAAGTAAACTTTATTTTACTGATCATTCAAACATCAACAAACACTGGAATTCATATACAAAAGTACAGAATCATCTCTATTTAAAAGGCAATAACGCTATCCTACAAATTCATCTCCATCAGCTAAAAATCAAACATTCTTATTTCTGACTAAACATTGCATAAATCATAAGTTATTGTTAATCAAGTTCTATTTCTTCATTACTTAACTATTTACGCCAATCTTATGAGGAAATGTTAATTTTATCCGTGTTTGGGTCTATCATCTACAGATCGTTTCTTTTTTTTAATCAAATTAACTGCTGATATATTTTTGTTTAGAACAATAATAAATGCTTTACTGTTTTAGATCAATCAACTTAGAAAACTTAACACTATCGAGAACATTCATTTAAGCTACAAAATTTCTTCACTAGTTTAAGAATTATTAATTCGAAGTTATTCCTGTCCTACTTAATAATCCATAACATAGCTGAATCGTCGTCAACAATCCTTATGCAAAATATTAGTGATCGATAACAATAATAATAACAATTATTATTATTGTTATAAATTCAGATGACTGACTTACGTAATCACGAAGTGGTCCAGTATATTTACATCCATTAACAAGTTTTGTTTCTAATTTCAATTGAAAATCCAAATTTGATAAATCATTGACAATATGAGTAATTGTTTGTTTACAATGATTGCATACTTAATAAGTGAAAATATGTAAATCAATAATTATGAGGAAAATATTATTGATTGTACAAAATCTTATACGACTCATTGATTAATTATAAGAATAAATTTCACTTAGTTGAATTGTATTATAGTTAACACAATTAGACTAAAGTAACTGTTGGGAACGTTAGATCCCCAGAACGCGCTTGATAAATGCCTCATTTTGGACTTCATGTTTCCGAGTGTGGGCTGATCAGTTGACCTTGAGATTTCATTTCCCACCGGAAAAATCCTTGGCTGTGATTGGCTGCTGTGTATTTTAGTGTGCTATTTTTGTGAATGTCCCAAAGACGTTTCTATAATGTATAAATAAACGAGAGTTTTGGGCGTGATTGTATTGTGGTTGTTGGGTGTTTGTAGAATATAATTTCTACTCTATTTCAAGATTTCTGTTTACCGTTTTCGGATCAAGGTAGCCTATCTGGACGCTGGTTCATTTTCTCGTTCGCGTTTATCGACTACGGTAAACCCGTAGTAGCTTCAAGCGTACCTAGTGACGAACCTAACAGTAACAAGTAATAAATTAAATAAAAAACATGTTTTTTGACTTGTTAATTGATCTCATTGACATCATAGTGTTGATCTTCAAAGTCACGCTTCAATCTAGCATCTATCATTTTATATTGGTGTGTTCTCTGCTAGTTTACCAATCTGCGATAACCACTAATTCAATATACTGGTGTGGCTTATTTGAAAGTTTTAGAAATTTGTATTTTTTGAATGACAGTATCGATTAATAGATTCCTTATGTCAACAAGGATTGCTCGAATTTAACCTTGAATGTTAGCATACAAACAAAGAAAACCCCATTAAATGACGAAAATAACATTTGCTGAACAAGTTAATGACTAGCGTAGCTTGGTAACACACTGAAGAATTCAGTGGCATTTGAAGCTATTAGTACTGTAATTTAGAAACAGTATTAAAAAAGAATTAGCTTTTTCAGAATTAACGATGCTTGAGATTCAAATATTTTTACTTTACTTAGAGTAGGTTGTTTTACCAAAATAAAAATCACATCTGAAGCTCTGTTAAAATTCCTTATAATCATTTGATTTTGGATTCCACATTCAACTGAAAAAGTTACACATCATCTTAGTTGTTCAACTGAAGATAGATTGAGTTCGCTTCGATTACCGTGTATACATTAAAAGGAATATTGTATTTACTAAACATTGCCTATAAAAGTAACATATCAAAGGAAACATCTCTTTCTACTTGGAACAAGGTTGTTAGTGCAATATATAAACACTGATAAATATAGATTATAACAGCGGTCAGTCTCTGACGTTCATGAAGGCATCAAGCGTATGCGATGGTCTGTGTACCCCAATTAGTGACTCAGGTTCTGAGTGGTTGGAGCTGAATCACAATCGAAAATATCTTCCGTCTATTCAAATTTTTTTAAATATTAATAGATAGCGGTACCGAAAAACTCGATATTCAAGAGCTGCCAATGATATTCCGAACAAATAAAAAGGAAATGGAACAGTTTTGTGCAACACAAATTGAAGGGAGTAAATAATGATACCTTGTATTTTTGTATGATAAAGTCTTTGTACTCTCTATTTCTCTATGCATTCAACAGACTATTTAACAATGTTCCACTAGAAATCATATATTTCTTATTCTAATACAATGATTGTTATTTTACAGTTAACAATAGTAATGTTGTCAACGTTTCTATCTTTAAAAAAAAAATATTTTTACCTTTAAACATATTTTTGGACTTTATTAACATAAAAATCACCAATGTGTTAAGTGGTTTTTCAATTTACTCTATGCGGACTTTCGATTCATTACTTCATCATTTTCCGTTCGTGCAACTTTATCACTTGAGAAATAACACCCCGCATGTCTTACTAGTTACGTAATAAATAACTGAACAGTAAATACCAATGTTTGTTCAAATGAATTGTATGCTGACTAACTATTATCTCGCACTGTTTTCTAATGACCATCATTTTATAATTAGTGTTGTAATTAGTGTTAAATTGTGTAAAGCTGAATAACCTCTGATTGATATGAGGTTTTTCTCTTCATTCCAAACTAATTATCTACAATTTAATGATAAACCTATTTTGTTCAAATTTTAGGGAATATAAATATTGACAGTTTGTTTCCTAATACAGTAATCACATGCCCTGATAACTGATCACTGGTTCTGTTTCTCTTCATTCATTTACATCGTACTTGAGTAGTCCGATAGAAAAATACATAAATTTTAGTTACTTAAGTCAATGCGAAACTTCATCAGATCAATTGATCCATCTACAAAAATACACTAACTTAAGTTAGACAATCAGAATTTCTTCGGCAACTGTGATCCAGAGCTAAAAAACTATTCGTTCAGCTAGATTATTGGTTTGTGGTGCAACTAATTACCTCCCCAATTGATATTCATAATGATTAATATACTTTATTCTCATTAGATGATCACAGATATATTCACTTACAACACTATCAGAATTGTGAATAAAACACTTCTGATAAGAATATTATCATCAAATGTATGGTTAGGTAAAGGTGAGAACAGAAATGCATGAAAATTAACTAGCTGTTTTTCATGAGTTATCACCTTAATGAATAGCCTTGGAATCACTTATATTACTTTCAGTGTTAAAGCTAAAAGTTTGGTAATTTAAGTGATATATCTACTTCATGACACATACAATATCAAAGTGATTTGAATTTCTATTCTTAAGGTGGGCAAGGGCAATAGAAATGTTATACCAAGATATGAAACAGTAAATTTTACAAAAGAATAGTACTCTTTCCTCAAAAACAAACTCACAGTTTAAAAAGTTGTCATTCTAAAAATAAGGTAATACAAAAACGTGGTGAACAAATCGATAGATATTACTTACATGTTAATAAGTGAAAAAATTAATTGTGTTAAGCATTGAACGCATGATAAGCAATTCGTTCTACTTAAACTTTGTCATTTAGTTTCAACAGAATTACGAATGATTTCTCCTTTATTTTGTTAGAAACAAGAGATTTATTCATAATAATCGTTGAATTAAAACATAGTACTATTTTTTCAAACAATTATTTCTAATTGTCAGTGTGGGTTTGTGGATATTGTTGAGTTACAGTAAAATCATTCGAATAATGTTGAACCACCATTGGAAATCTGGAAGTACTGGACGGCTTCTAGTGAGAAGCCGTAAAATGTGGAGTTTAACCGTACTGAGTGTGTGGCGGTTACCCATTGAAGACGATCGATGGTTGTGGAACGATATCATGGATTGATTGAAGCCAAACATTAACACTGTTGTATGCCGGCTTAGTAGTCTGAAGATCAGGCGTTCGCACGTGGGGTAGAAGGTGCTCGAGGTGATGCTCGCTGGCACTTCTGAGTAGTCTTGTACTATGACGAAACAGCCGTTCAATAGATTACTTACTCATGTTACCCCCAATGGAGCATAGGCCGCTGATAAGCATTCTTCAACATACTCTGCCACTTTGGCATAATGTGTTCTTTGGTAATCTAGTTTTCCCTTGGTCTTGAGGATCCCAAGTTAGGGCTTGGCTTGTTATGCGGTTGGGTGATTTGCTCAATATGTGTCCTATTCATCTCCACCGTCTAATCACAATTTCTTCGTCTGCTTGAATTTGTTTTGTCGCTATTAGTTTCTGGTCAACGGACCCAAAGTATCTTGCACAGACAACTGTTAATAAACACTTGTATCTTGTAGATGATATTGTCTTTCTTGGTTCTCTAAGCTTTCACACCACTATTTTGACATTTGTACTGAAAATTCTGACTTTGGTGAATGTCAATAGTTGTTTTGAGTTGCAGATGTTCTTCACTCGTAGTCCGTGTCTTTACATCGGCACCAGATCTATCTTGTTTATTATTGATGCTGCCCGGGTATGTAAGGGTTTCCACATCTTTCAATGCTTTCCAGTCATGTGTGGTTCGGTTAGTGCATGTTGTATACCGTCCATTGCTTGCAGGTCTTCGATAGTGTTCTAACATCGATCAGCTCGTAAATTCAATTATACTCTTAATTTTTTTCATGAACAGATAAAGTCTTAGCGGTTAAAAACATTCTAGGCAGTTATTACTATTATTATTGTTATTGTTATTATTATTACTATTATTAGATGGCCTTAAACAATCTACTGGGAAATCTGGACCTAAATTTCATTCTATTCAGCACTCAAGAGACCATAGTACACATTTGTTAAAAATATTACCAATAAACAACTTAAAAACAGTGTATTCTTGTTTCATTCATTTCTCAATTTATTAAAAACATGATTTAAGTATTGTTCCTATTAATTTAAAAGTTATCTGATTTTTAACTTCTTAAAAAGAGATTGTAATTTTAAACTAGATACAAATTTCTCCAATGTATTTACAAAATTATTTCAATTAATTTAAAGTATTCAAACTAATTGGTTGTACATTAAAAAAATAATCATATATATTTATCAAACTACATTGAACTAATCACATTCAATGTTGAACCACTTTCATCAACAATGTTTTACCTAAGAGATATATTGAAACATTGAACTGTTACTGACTTATAGTAAAATGAACGAACACTTATTACTAACCGAAATTAAAGAATAAAACCAGACTAACGAATTTTCGACTGCAAAATATGTCTTCTATGAATTTAATGGTGTTTGATGAAAATTTTTTATTAATTAAAAATGATCTTTATGATAAATTGAAGAAATGGATATTTATTTGATCGGAATTTATGATTTTTCAATTACTGTATACACTAATAATTAAGCCTGATTTATTATTAGCAACTCTAATCTGTTGAATCAACTAATTTGATAGAGAAATGTTATTTTATTGATGACATCTATTACAATCATTTACAAATACCATAAACTGACACTGAGCCTGGGACAATGAGATATTAGTTGCAGGTTCAATTCTCTAAAAAAATTATCAGTAAATCCTGATTATTATGAAGTTATCAATCAATCATTGTTAGACCACCATTAGAAACCTGGAAGCACTGGACGGCCGTTTTGTCCTTGTATGGGACTCACCAGCAACGCTCATCCACGACTCCTGCACCTCGTAGGATTCGAACCCGGGACCTTCAGTTTTGGGTGTGAACGCCTAACCTCGGACCACTGGGCCGGTATCCGACGGTGTTAATGTCTAACTCTGATTGATTTTGAGATTTTGCGCGACCTCACCCAGTGGATGCGCATTGCTGATGAGTCCTATACGAGGACAAAACGGCCGTCCAGTGCTTCCAGGTTTCTAATGGTGGTCTAACAATGATTGATTAATGATTTCAAATGTGTCAAAACACAAATCTCCAAAACTCTAACTGAAAATATTAAGAAGTTATAAATTAAACTGACAAAATTTGTCATATTCATTTATTTTCTGAATAACTCTTATTCATCTTTCAACGAATGTTAATTCATGATGCAATTGGTTTAGAAATTATTTCATTTGTTAATTTAAATCTATTTACAATAATGTAACTAACTTACTTTAAAATGTTCGCTTGGAATTATAGATCCATGGATATGAGATAAACAAATGACTAATAAGAAAAAATTGAAGGAAGTAAGAATTAATGTTCATTTATTAAAATTCCATATATTTTACATACTTAAAATAATTATCACTTGAAATTTTTGAACAAACATAACTGAAGTTGTATAAAATTGCAATAATGAACATTTAAAAGAATCATCTTATAAACATTGATAATTCAAAGTTTAATATTGATAATTGAACTTTGAAATGTGAAATATGAAAATTTATCATGTTCCTATGCTCATTTCAAATAATGATTTATGTTTGAAATTTTTATCAAAAATAATTGATATCATTCTTTTTTTTATCTATGAAAAGGCTCATTTCAGATATGTATTAATTCAAAAAAAAAATACTTTGCATGTATGACTTTTCTATGAATAAATATTTGAAATACTAGTTCAACAACTTGAATGATTTACTGACTGGTAGTTTTAATTAGTAGTCAAAACGTTTTTTTATCAAGGTTAATCAAGACAAACTAGTCTTTACAACAAGAAATCATAATTATTTAATTCTATTCTTAAAACCTGTATTTGTATGCCGAAGGAGATACAGATTGAGTTTTAAGTAGTACTTTAAATCAAACATGGGTTTGCATTTAATATTTGTTATATAATAAAAATGTTTCTAGTTACACTCCAAAAAAATTTGCCTTGTCAAGAAATCGTGTATTCGTTAAATATCTAATCAAATTTCTGGAGTTCTGGTTAGCGACCTCGATGATTGAAGAAGACCGTGTCCGGTGTGAGATAGTTACTGAATAAAACAATGAAAGATGATCACGCACTGTCTTGGACTGATTGTAGTTAGATACTACCTCAGTTGGATGCCGGCTCAGTGGTCAAGAGGTTAAGTGTTTATGTGTAAACCTGAAAACTTTAGGTTCGATAACCGCGTACGGCGTCTTGGATGCACAATTTTTAGTCACATATTAGGACAAAATAGCAGTTTACTGCTTCCATTTTTTCGATTATGGACCAACTCCGATCTATGCATAATTTCAAGAAAATTCAACAATCTTCACAACCGTATACTGACAGAGTACTTGCGATTGAAGAATCACTATATTCGAGGTATGTATATATTTCCAATCTTGTTTTATTACTCATTAATTCAAGGTAGGCAGTAAACAACCTAAAAACCTAAGCTAATAACAAATACATCTACGTTTTCCTGTTGTTACGAAGGTTATATTTAGATCTAGATGAAATCCTAATGTTAAATATTATTATTTTGATAAGGAAATGGTCTACTTCAATTATAAATTGTAACCTATAAGAACATAATTTTTAATTTATAAACAATCTGCTTTATTAGAAACTTTGATAGTTTTAAACCAACTTCTCAAAATAAGATTCAAAAAGATAATTTATTTTGTCATGCTTTTCGTCAATTACCAGTTCAAACTAAGTTACTTATAGTGGTAAATAACTACCTACAATAAATGGCTTGTAGACATTTGATTTCGGCGTGGACCTTGTTAATATTGATTATGCAATATGGCTTCATACAAGCGATATGTATAACGAAGTCCAGATCAGAGATACGACTACAGTCTTACATTTACAAAAGAAGTAGATTAGTGAGGGTCTTCTGGTCTTCAAACTACACTAATTACGCCCTTCATTTCGATCTTTCTCTATTCTTCTCTCTGGCAGTAACTTCTCGTAACTCTACGCTCTGTGCTACTTATATGCCACTTTGTGAGTAGCATCCACTAAACAAGAACAGCATTCGAAAGTTTCAACTTTTTCACTCTTGCTACCCTAGAGCTTGGATATATATTATAACCAACTACTTCCTCATTTTTATGTTTTTCTTCAGAATATTGTTCTTAAGGTATTTTTAGCCTTGTAGAAATAAAAAAATAGCTAAACAATTGTATTTTTTCTTATCATCATCATGGGGACTTCATAAGTTATATCACAATGGTGACAGTTTGAAACTGTTCTGATATTCAGGCTTGAATTCCATATATTGATGCTTGACTTATGCAGTACATTAGTTTATATCATGAAAATTAGATAATCATGTTAATCTTTGTATCGAATATACTGTAAATACAGGTGTTGTTTTTGCTTTAAGATAACTCACTTCGTTAGTCACTTCACTACCTTTAAATATTTGTTCAAATCTGTTTAAAAATTCAACCTTGTTATCGTTTTTTTTTGCATTCCCGCCTTATAGATGCCATACCGTGATTACCTCACTAGAATCATCAACTAAAGTAATTTTTCAAACTTACTAATTAATTTTCAACAATCAACGCAACAATTTCTATTGCCTTATCTCTTCCTATGAGCCCATAATCATAAATGAGACCATTTTCGAGTACTGAATCACACATCACACATATTAGGTAAATTTATTAAATACCCTGAAAAACAATTTATAAAAATAGGAGATTACTACTATACAAATACTCCGATTAACATCAAATATTTCTGAAGATTTCTCAGATCGAATATAGTTCACATCACAAACTGACTTAAGCCACACAACAATGAGTAGTGATTATGTATTTAGTACCAACAACAAGACTTCTAAGTAGAGTACATCAGTTAACTATTATTAAGATTCAGCGCATTTTAAGTTACTGTTTGATTATTACTGTACATATCATAATGTCTAATGATCTTGTTAAACCTTCGAAAATCACCATAAAATGAATACCGTCAAAAAGATTGTAAAAACATGTAATGTCTATCTGATTCACTAAAGATTATGTTTAATTCACATAATGTTAAACAATGATAATAAAACTCTTTATAGCCTTAAGCGTAAATAATCAAATAAACCGCTTGTAAAATTATTTTTGTTCATTAAAAAAGAACAAAAATATATCAAAGTTCAATTGTTACAAAATTACCAATTATATATTTAAATATACACACGAATCGTTTGACTTATAATTCTTATATTCTATTTACAAAAATATATTTGTTATTATAATGATTTATCAATTATTAATTTTATCATCAATAATTAATTTTTTAAGTAAGTAGAATTTTACATTTTAAAATTTCGACGCAATAAAGCTTCATCAGCCGTCAATCAACATATCAATCATCGAAATGAATGGAATGTAAGTAAATTAAATTAAAATGATATTTTTTCCATTGATATATATGTTTAAATCAAGTGAGAACATTAGATTTTTAGAACAAGAAATGAATTTATTATTGGCATTCAAGATTTCGTATTAATTACAAACAATATAACAACTATGCACATACTATGGTTAATGAAGTTGAGAAATGATTGTTCATAATATAATTAGACAAATCATCAAATATAAGTGAAAAATATCAAATCAAAGTAGAATAGGTGATGTTATGTATATTAATCATCCGAATAAAAATAATGGGGATTTTTAATAGTCATAATAACAAAATGTGATTGTAGTATTTAGCGAAATAATTCAAGACGAAATTACATTAATTCACAAATATTTACAAGATTATTTAAGAAATAAAAAAAGTTTATAATCGCTATGGTAAAGAGATACCTACCACGTTAGCCTTTTGCGCAAATCGGTCAAGTCAGAAACATTTAATAGCAATTGTTACTTGAATACGGAATAATCAGATGTTAATGATTTTAATAGTTTTATGAATGTCTATTTTACATTCATTTTCTATCGGTTGCCTGGTGAGTGAGCTTGTGAAGATTAAAAGATTGTCTTGACATAGTTTTCTAGGTCAATGTTTAAAGAACCAAGATGAAACATTTCTCTCACAGCTTCTTCTATAGTAACCAAATACAGGAATTCAACCAAAGATAATGTTGTTAAACTATTGATCTACTTCTGAGTGGTTCAACGAACCTTTAGTGTTGAACTGTAGAAAATCTTTTCAAAGTGGTTTTGATTCTTTCATCAGTTCTTCCAGAGAACTCATCCTTTTTGAACTAAACGCTATTCGCAATAGCTCGGTTTTTTACGATCCTTGATTATTTCTCAACAAACATTTTTAACATATCCTCTTTGTGTAAGGTCCTTTTAGATGACAACTAGTTTTCCATCTGATCCTTTTTTCAAGTATAAAATATTAGCCTAGACTAGAGAGTTTAATGACTGGTAGGACAATTATACATACATTCAATCAAATCATTTTAAACATTAGGTTTATTTAATTTTAGACTGCTCAATATTATCATTAAGTAGTTAGAAGTTATTGACATGAGCCTTCGAACCTGGATTTCATACTATTTAGAGTTCTTTGGTGAAATGTTTCGCGAAATTGAAGAAACTAGTGCTTCCCTTTTGATACAAACCCTTACAGAGACAATAAGGCCATGTTATTTCAGTCATGATATGTTTATTAACAGTGTGATATTTCTTTTATATTGATTGGTCACCGTGTAAGAATAATAACAGCAATTATAGTAATAACAATAGTAATAATAATAAACCAATAACTGTTGTAATTATAACACTTGTGCTTATGTTCATGTTCATTTATACTCTGTAGATATGATATTAATAGAGGAAGTTGAAAATGTCATGATCATAATGACTTTCTTCATCAATGATTGATTAATCAGTTTGTTTTATCTTACTGTTGTTATCCTGCTTTTAGTAGCCATGATTAAGAGTAGCCATTAACCGTTCATTTAGAATGCTTAGCTTTTCATTCACCTTTTTTTCAATATTAACATTTCATTTGCGATGAGTGGTTGCTTACAATGAAGCTTATAAGTAGTATGCAATGAATAAAAAGCAGTGTGTTGACTTGAATTTACGGACGAAGTGGCACTGGATCAGAGCATTTTGAAGAATAGAAGACAATGAAGAAAAAGCTTGTTTTGCAAATGAATCTTTTTTTAATAAGGTGTACACATTTGGGCTTATAAACTGTCTCTTCTGCCATCAGAAAAGTTTCGTTCTGCCTGACATTTTTCAGTCGTTATCATCCTATAAAATGGTGCCTCTAAATTGTCTAGGCTAGAGAAATATGATGGTTAGTTAGTGGGTTCACACTCAGTTCTAACCGTTTGCCATCTACATATGTGCGTTATAGAGCTTTTCTTTTTCCAGTCAGTATGTTTTATTGGAATAAATGTTAAAATAACCAGTAATTCATGTATATCAACCAATCAGGGTTTGACAACAAGTCAACTAGATTTCCTTAGTTTTCTTATAGTATTCAGTAAATGGATTTATTATTTTCAAACGGAACTAATACTGTAACGGTTTAAAATCCTCAAACCATCCTATATGAGCCATGCTTTTCAGATCACTTGAATCTGAAGCTTCAGTGATCAATGATTGTTGTCTATTGCTATTCTTATTTGGTGTAAGTCAGTTTTTCTCACTTGTTGGATCATTGGCTCATTTTTTCCTTTGTTTTTCTCCTCACTCACGCTACCTTGTATGATCCTCTGGCACACAAGGTACCTTCTGACTAGAGGTGAACCGCTACAACACTATTCTGCATGATCTAAATTCATTACAAACCACATCCAACAAAAATAATAAAACTTATTGTTATTCAAAATAAATGTCCACATTAACGACATTTATTCCGAATGCACAAACACATAAACCCACAGTATAATATATCTAAAGTTCATGTCTTCATTCTGTTGAATGACTAAATTTATTATTTCACAGAAAAATAAAACCATTCAGTACCATTCAGTTATAAATAGGAAACTAGCATTTATTACTCTCATTAAATTACTTCTAATTGTAATATAAAATCGTGTGTATCTTTATTTTTCATTTATTTTAGATAACACACTACAAACAACTTAAATATCGATACAATCATTTTATTTCAAATCAAAATCCAGCTAATCCTTGTGAGTTTTATGTTCCATTTAAAAGTTATTTGCATAGAAAAAAAATTTTTCAACATTTTTCTCTATCCTCATTCTCTTCTTTTTTTTCTTCATTACAGCATGTTTTGGTTGTAAAGCTGCTGTATGGATGGCTAAAACATTTGTTTTCGGTAGTAAACAATTTGTTCATCAACATATTGAAGTGACTTGTACAAATTTAAAAAATATTTATCAACCAGTAAGAAATGAAAAAAATTCTACATTTTTATTTTATTTTTAACTTGAAACACGATCACAGCTATTCTTATCTGTCTGTTATGCGAAATATGCAGCTAAATTTTTTGCAATATAATCTTTAACTGAAATAACACTTTAATAAGCAACATTCATTCACTAATTCAATAGGAAAATGATCATTCAGAGTGACACACAGTAACACTGTGTAGAAATTCAACTCAGAAAAATAATATTGACACTCAATGTTGGTGACGGATCAAAAAGAAAACTAAATATTCAATGATGTCGTTGCAATATTTTACTAAATAATTTAATCGACACACATATCCTAAAAGTAACTCCCATCAAGAATGAAGCGTTTAATAAAAATGATCATAGTCTTCTAGTTTTCTACTGTAACTATTACTACCAATACATCTGAAGTAGATATCTATTGTTCAATGTTCAATATGTTGAAATTAATGGCGTACATAGCAAGAATGCAGTATGACACTGGAGCAAATGTGCTATCGTCAGCATTCAGTAATTTTCCACCAGTGGCGAAAATTTACGTCAAATTTTAAATTTTATTCAGATGCATGAATGGTTGTTATATGTAGCTTTAAAAGAAAACTGATTATTTTTACATTTGATTTCACACTGTTCAGATATATTCGTACTAATTTTGTTCAATGATTCATCTTAAAACTATTAGAATCACATCACTATTCCACTAGACAATTACATCATCATATTTAATATAAATTAATGATTCATCACTTTGATTGTACATTTTTTGTAGTGTAAAAGAATATTAACTGAATATCTTGATTACGGCTATGATTTAATATATAAATACAGTTCGGCTGATCTATGTGCAGTAAGTTATTTTTAAAAAAAAAACCATTGGTAATAATTTATTTTGATAAGTAATTTTCATTATCACTGTTAAAGGGTGATTAATTTAAAGGAAAATAACTCCGAATTCCAGTGAGAAGTAATGATCAGTGGAATTTAATTATGTTGAGTATGAGGCAACAACCAATCAATAAGCTCAGTGATCTAATGGCTAAGTATCCACCCCGAGATCTGAAGATCTTCAGTTCGATTACTGGTGGGTTATGGATACGCACTTCAGAGGTGTCGCATGTTCAAGAGATGCAACTGTCTTCTGGTTTTCAATGATTGTTTAACTAAAGTCAACTCATGATACAAAGTAGAATCAGATGATGGAGTGTTGTGTTTAGTGACTGAATAGAGAAAAAGCTCTTACTGATAAGTATCAGTCAGCCCAAAGATTAAGGCTCTGATTTTTTTCAACTGAATTCAACCATCTGCTATCTGAATATATTATGAGTAGTCTTCAGTTAACTAGATTAATGTTTTTGTGACTTAATACATTTCAATCAACCAGTAGTGAATAATGAAATTATTATTATTATTATTATTATTATTATTTGCTTCTGATCGGTGGATAATACACTACTTCCTCGTAATAGGTTTGTGTCAAGAAAAATCTCATGACAGTTAGGTGAACGTTAGGCCTATCTTTACATTTTGACAGTTTAAGTCGTCTATGTGTATTATTTCACCCATCATTAATGAATTATATAACTGTATAATACATTAGAAAATATGCATATAAGCAACGGATTATGACATCAGTAATTCAGTAAATTTGTCGATTGTTCTCGTCTTAGAATGAGTACGGTTGAAATGCCATTTAAAACCAAGGATTATTGAACAGCTATTTTATTTTTGTATGGAACTCACTAACGGTGCTCAGTTTTATTTGCTCATTGTATATTTGCCACATTGTATACCGAAGCTATCGAAGTTTGGTTTATACAGATGATATAAACCTAGACCTTTAAATGCTTAAACTTCCATCATGAAACTCAAAGGTCCTGGATTCTACTGGGATGGGGGATAATAAGTGCACATCATCAGGGAGTTACATACTAAAACGGAACAGCTGTTTATTGCTACCTGATTCTCAATGATAACTCAATTAAAAGATCTACTAAATGGATCTACATCCCATATCCGTTCAACTAATTCAATGAATACATTAGATATAACCTCGTTTATAATCTAGTCTCATCAGTTTAACTCCCTTAGAATGATTGAACTAAACATTTTTTTATTGCTTAATACCCATTTGTGTCCTGACTTTCTTTACGCATTTTACTTCATAATTAATCTGAGTAATTAAATAACCTTGCAATTTGATAATGTTTTCCCAAAAAAGATAGTTGTCATTAATTAGTACAATTTTATTTTTGCATTCCATAGCTTGCTGGAATATGCACCAATCCACCGAAAATTAACTGTAAGAATGCATTTTTTATTTGCTAGTTAATTTTAGTTTTCGTAATCGTTTATAAAAGAGTTCACGATTCTTTTGAAAATTCCATTAACTGTTTACTTTTACATTGAAATCGTGAATCAGTCATTGTCATACCACCATCAGAAGTCTGGAAGCATCGGACGAATGTTTCTTATTGGTATAGGACTCCTGCCGGTCGCAGGATTCGAACCCAGGACCTTTGATCTTGCGCGCGATAGCTTAACCTCTGGACCACTGAGCTGATATTATCAATGTTAATGTCTAACTCTGATTAATCCAAGGTTTTGCGCAACCTCACCCATTTTGTTTGGTAGTTGCTGACTATGCTCGAACAGTGTTGAACTCCACTGTTCATGGTTTCTCACTAGGACTCCTAAAATTTCCTCACAAAACTTGTTAACTGTGAGCACGTTTAATGGTTTTTAATTAATGAGTAATGGAGATTATTGTTTTACATCGGTATCTTGAATCAGTCATTGTTAGACCATCAAAACAATGATTGATTGGCGATTTCAATATACAAAACAACAATGCTCATAACTCAATGCTGAAAAAACTATTTAGTTGTTATTTATTGACTATTGGAATTTAACCTTATACTACTGATAACTGATTTTAATAGGTAGAATCTTATTAGCCATAGATCTGAGTCTAATTTGCATGAACAATTGAAAATACTAATGAATATAAATCTTCAGTTTAATTTCAATATATTAAGATTAGACTAACCCTGTTTACTTAAATGGTTTTAATTACTTTTTCCGGTAAGCGTTATTTAGCGAGCTGGTTTTCTACAAGTTTGGGTCGCTAACCCCACACCCAATCCTCCTCCTTTATCTGGGCTTGGGCCTGGCAGTAGCCCCAGAGGGTCTACAGGAGGTGCTCGGGTGAAAATGTCAATATCTGTGTGGAAGAATGGTATACAGTTGACACCTATGATGCAGCTGGACAATCTAGACTTCGCAGATGATCTAGCTCTTCCATCGCACACGCGACAACAAATGCAAGAGAAAAAATCCAGTGTAGCAGCAGGTCTTAACATACATAAAGGGAGAAGCAAGACCCTCTGATACAACACTACATGCGTCAACCAAATCACACTTGATGGAGATGCCTTTGAGGATATGGTAGAAACCTTTACATATCTGGACAGCATCATTAACGAGCACATCCAATCTGACGGCAAAGCAAGGGCTGTATTTCTACAATTTAACAATATCTGGAACTCAAAACAGCTGTCAACTAATACCAAAGTCAGAATTTTCAGTATGAATGTAAGATAATTCTACTGTATTGGGCGGAAACTTGGAGAACTACCAAAGCAATCATCCAGAAGGTACAAGTATTTATGAACAGCTGTCTACTCAAAATAATTCCCATCCGTTGACCAGACACCATAAGCATTATTCTACTGTGCGAAAGAACGAACCAGATTCCAGTTGAAGAGGAAATCAGGAAGACGCAGTGGAAGTGAATGGGACACACATTGAGGATAGCACCGAACTGCGTCACAAGAAAAGCTCTCACTTGGAACCCTCAAGGTCAAAGGAAAAGACGAAGACAAAAAGCAAACTATGCTGAGAATTGGCGACAGACATGAGAATAAACAACAATTGGACATAAATTGAAAGGGAAGCGCAGAACAGAGTTGGTTAGAGAATGCTGGTCGGCTACTTTTGCTCTGCTCGAGGTAACAAGCGTAATTTGAAAAAAAACCTGTTTGTGCAACGGCGGTATCAAGAAACTAAATACGGATTGATTTGTATAATGTCATTTCAGGCGATCGTTCAAGCAGACAGACATGTGGATAAAGAGCAAAAAGTTAAAGCGAATCGATATGGAAAAGGTGATTGGGACAACTCGATTCGATTAGGCATGACTAAGTATTCATACTTAGACAAAAATAAGTAAGACATGTCATAGACATAGTAACCGATACAGAAACACACTAAAGTAGAGACAATCTAGGCTACAGACGAAAAATGGATAGAGGTGAGCCCTGACTCGAGAAAAATCGACACATTAGTATAGACTAAAGCATAATTATTTCTCAATAGAAGACTCATTGTATTCAGACATTATTTTACTAAAATAAAAATGAAATTACTTGAAGTAATGAATAAATTTCATCCCTTTTTATTTCAAAAAAATTTTACCACTTAATATTATTGATCCAATTCTTTAGGTTGATCATTTAAATCGTAAAATAATTCATTCTTCTCAGTTAATTTTGAACTCTTATTAATTTTTATCGCTGTTATTAGATTGTAATGCTGTAACTGATTGGTGAAAATGATCTATTTTTTTTAAATTAGCCAATACTAATAGTGCTGAATTTATTAACACTTAGTCTAATCGTTATCATTTATCGCATTGCTAAGTCTTTAAATTGGAAAATAACAGAAGACTAAATAAATAGTCATTGACGCTATGCATTCACTTTTTTTCTCAACTCAAGTTTCTACATACGTTCAATAAAAGATAACAATATATTAAAATAACTACATAAGAAGGGAGGATACTATCGACACAAAGCTGAGTAATACATAATCAGATAATCGCAGCAGTTATTAAATGAAATAAAAGCTTATAGTTAGGGTCATGTAAAATCACTACTTAATTTGTTCCTGTTAGTAAGATGTAAAGTAGGTTAACTTGAATTCTTTTTCAATAATTGTTATTATGTATTTGAATTGAAAGCAGTTGAAAACATTATATGAAATAGCTGAACCGATTATACTACCATGAGTGTTGTTACAGTTTTTCTATTCAAATATACAAACTGATTCTCTTCTTTACTATCAACATGTACTGAACAGGAACATAAGTTTTAAAGTGGACAGCTACTTTTCTATGATGCCCAGAAATGCTGGGAAACCACTCATCCAATCAGTAGTGAATTGAACCTTCACAGAAACATCTACAAAATGCAGAATCACGTGACACGATTTTGATGGGATATTTAGCCATATTGCTTCTATATTTAATATGATTCTCAAACCTTTCACAAGCAGAAGGTCATGAGTAACTCCTTAAATACCTTCACTTTTCTTTACATAAACTAACTTTCGAGCAAAGCATTCATTTCGTATGTCATGCCTTTTCTCTTGTGTTCACGTCGCAGTGTAGATTTGGTTTGGAGATTTTAGAAGCGGGTAGGAATTCAGATCTTGCACTCGTTTGGCAGACTTATCAGAAACACCGACTCAAGATAAAAAATGGAGCTTTTAGTGCGAAAATAAGGAATTCGCATTTCGAAAAATCAATTAGAAATTTAAGAGGTTTACCAAGCATTTTCTGGGGATCTAACATCTCCAATAATTGTATACTCAATTTTTAATCTATATGCATAGCTGAATTAATTGTTACATCCTACGGGTAGTTTTTAATTGACATCAGGAAATAAATCTAGCATGTGATAATAAGGCGTACCTGCAGTAGTAATGGACCAGATTCTTAAACAGTAAAGTTAGGTCTAATCCTGCAAAGAACATCAACCCCATCAAGACTACATGTACATCATGCAATCAAGTGTCAAATAGCATAAAATCTAGATTCAGTAGTTCTTGTCATCTACCTTCTGCCACCTAACACCAAATAGTAATACAATGGATTTCGATCCACTAAGACTGATGGTCATAATGCAATTTGATCGGCAGAATTTAGTCGCCTGGAATCCGACTTTATTCTAGCCGAACAATAAGTTATGCTAATGAAATAAATCTTCCATTTTATTTTCATGCATTATTCTTAAGCGAACTCCATTTATGCGACGGTGATAATTAAAATCCACCACTGTCGTTTTCCATTTTGACACCAAACTTGAAGACTAATCATAATGAAACAGGAATTATAATTTTCGCCTCAAAGCTTCTACTGTTCACAGTGCTCACTGAAGATTTTATTACAAAAAGCCATGAACAATTGAAAGTTTGCTACAACAAAAACATGCTACTATGGACATGTTACGTGTAGTGCAGTCCAGTCATGATGAAATAAAAGTTGCAAGTCACACCTGCTGACAATTCTATAATAAAAAAATTATTCCAAACTATGTACCAAGTTATTGACTAAATGTACAAAAACATGACTATCATTACTGACTATGACATGATTAGATGACGTGACAAAGTGGTGTTTTACCCACTACTCGTTTTAGTTAGATGAATTTATTTTATTCACCTGAATATGTAGACAGACATAATAATGAGAAACGTAAAAGCGAAGCAGAGCAAAAGAAGGCAAGTAGGTCAATTCCATTTGACTCCTTATTTATATTCAGACAAAAATAAGCTAGACATGTGATACGTGAAGCGAACAGTGAACACACAGGCTCAGATAAAATGGTATCAGTGAATAACTAACTAACTAGGTCAAAAGACGTTTGCATAGTGATTCCAGAACAATAGATTAAGTGACTTGTCCAAAAGCTGAAATAGGCCATCTGGGTTTTTCACATTATTACACACTACAATAATTTGAAAAGCACTGAACGACTAGACAAAAATAACGTAGTCAACGTCATAGTGATCAATGAATTATGAGCACTACATTTTTTCAGTCATTTTGATTTTAAGTTACAAATATTGGGTTGTCGCAATTTTCAGCATATAATTGTGCAAGTTTAATGCAATAGTCAAATAAACTTAGAAACTTTTTGTTTTAATTTTAAGTTCATTATACACTTGAACTTATTTACTTACTTACTCCTGTTAACCCCAATGGAGCATAGGCTACTGACCAGCTTTCTCGAACATACACTTGAAATACTACTTATTTATTTATTTATTTATTCAGTCATTTTATTTAAACGATTACAAATAAACATTGAAAATTGAACAAATCTTTGTTTTTCATTTCTTTTGCTGTTTCTTTTTCTTGTCGAATTAGTTTGTCCACTTTGTTTAATGAGTGTAGCAGAAAGTAAAAACATTTTATTATCTGATTCATTGTTATTCGAATTACAATCTGTATTTGTACATGTATGTGATTATGTAAGCTTACAAGTACCAGTAAGTATTGTTTTAGTTAAAATTATCTTTTATATTTTTAATTTCATAAGTTTTTTCTTTACACAATAATCATGTTATAAAATTAAAATTTGAACGGATAATTATATTTAACGGAAGCTTATTTTTTAATATGGCTTGAGTATCTCTGCAGCACTTTTAGTGTTCAATATTTCTACCATCTGGTGGTGAACGGTATGTATTTGAGTACAATTTTCATGAAAGATTTCATTTCAATCGGCTGAAGTTATCAGCAACAATCTTAGATAAATACAAATAGTGTAGAACAGCCTAAAATGGCGAACAATAAGAAAATAAACATGTGGTGAATATTTGAATTGGACATGTTTTCTATTCTATCCTAATATCCATGGTTGGTTCACTAGATGTAAGTCCTGTGCATAGTAAACTCAGTAAATAACAAGTATAACTCAACACGTTTCTGATGTCCTATTAATTATACTGGATAAAAATAATTGATAATGACAGGTTACAATTACAATTAAGCTTCATTAAATTACTATTCAAATGAAATGTGCTTTAGTTATTCAACTTACAATTCCACAAAAGTCATATAAAATTAGAAACTGACTGATTATTTAAATTATGGCTAGTACTAAAATGTAGATCCTGAGAATTTACGTATATCGAATATGTATATATAACATTTGTTTTAGCTATTTTAATCTGCTCATTCACGTTTAGTACTGCAATCGATCAGTTCCGGAGTGAACATCAACTATGGAATCCAGGTATAGCCTGATGATGAGTCCGAAATCGGACGAAACATGAGCTTCTGGATCCTACTGTTAACCATCATCCTTCATCACTACAGTAGTGAATTTCCTTCTCATAAAACAAAATTAAAAAAAATGAATGTTATGAAATGCATTTTCATCCAGTGTGATGGAAATTTGAATTCTTTAAATTATCAAATAGTTGTTAATCAACAACGTTTCATTAGTGTTATTACCAATAAATTTAACTTCTCAATTGTAAAAGTTGGAGCTTGGTGAAAACCAGAATGTATCTTATAAGATACAGTAATTAAAATGAAATATTTTTTGAAATGAATTAGCTTTCTTTGTGAATCTGATTGAAACTACGCCATATAAAATAAAAATCCTAGTGTATCAGATGTTAGATAAAATGTTAAGTTTTATTTATATTCACAAATAAAATGTTGTCAATAAGTAAATTGATAAGGTTTAATTTGTAATCTGTATCATTTAACAGTAATATCTTTAACAAATATACTGGATAAGACGAGTTCGAAACTAAAGACAGTAGAGATCATCAAATACTCTGCCCACTTAAAATTACATATACACTTTGTTAACAACTGACAATATTCAAGAAGACTAGACCTCTAAATTAACCGGGTAGTTGAAGATAATCAACAGAAAATCGTGAACTTCAATTCATGATAGTTAGCATTCTTCATCAAGATTCGTCAGTCCTCTTGAGGAGGCGGATATTCCTTAAACGATTCAAATCCTCATCAGTCAACTTCTTATTCTAAGAAGTCACTACAAAGCTATTCAACCTTAAAAGTAGTACATGTTTCATGAGATGCTGAGCTACTTGGACTAATAGTTACACTGCACCTCAGTCAATAGTATCCGATCAATACTGAAGGACTAGACAAACGAGACAATGATTATTATTCAGTCATTAGCCAATTATGGATTCAAAGTCTTTAATCTATTTTTGTCAACAATGAAATGTACATTCTATTGTGATTTATTTGTGGAAATTCACAAAGAAAAGAAAACAGAAACTACACTACTAACCACAAATATCGTCTAAACGAACTGATATTTACATATAAAACTTAGACTATAACTGGCGATAGAAGCCAACACAAAACAAAACTGTTTATACATGTGAATTAGAAAAAAACCCATGAAATACTAAATATTTATCTCATTATAGTGTGATACCTACTACTCAGCAGTAGGTATTAGTTAAATTTACGACGGATTAAATCCTACTGATGATTCCGTTGATTCGAGCACATGATCAATATCATATTTTAATCTAAGGAAAAGCGTTCACAAACCTGTAAATGTAAACCAAGAAAAAAATAATCAGCATTCTGTCAATAAATTGTAAACTATATTTTAACATAGTCTCATGTAAATAAAATTCAACTCCACTTCATTATACTAGAAAGTTATACATTCAACTATGAAAAACTTGTCACATAATACCGATATATATTGTAATTTATTGATTTATCTTTTTTTCCAGTGTTCCGCATTTCTGAATGAACTTTATGAAAAAACTGTGGATATCATGAAAAGTATTGTAGAACCACCATTCATTTGTCAGGTAAATTGATTATTTACAAACACATTTGATTGGTTGGTAGAAAAAAATTTAACGAGGAAAGTGATATTTTAGTACAATACAAGAAAAACTAGCTGTCGACGTGACCAGTACAAACAATAATTCTTAATGTTAATAGAAAGAGTTTGAAGTATCCTTTTGCTGATATGTATGGACTAAATATTTATTTAAAATATGTACATGCTCAGTGAATTGCCTAAACACAGTTATTTCGTCATAAGCATATCAATGGATAAAGTATTGAGTCTCAATCTGTTCATCAACATCATGATTGGAATGTAGGTCAAATATTCAGTGGACAAAATCAGCGCTCTACATTTTCCTGCTCACCACTGTGTTGAACTTTAAGAGACCTGTAAGAGAAACATTATAACTTGTCATAATAATTATAGGACGATGAATCAAAAAACAGAATGAAATCACAATTGTCAATGGCTTTAATTGCTAATCACTTATCTAGTATCATATAAGATCCTTCATTTTAACACAATAAAATGTGTACATCTTTCTTGATGAATGAATTTCACTGACATTGAATGAATATGATTTAGAAAGTCATACTGAAATTTAATAAGTATATTTATTTACTAGTCAATGAGATAAACTTAATTAGTTTTGTCGAGAATGAAAACATTCTTAGATTCAATTATAAAATATCAAGTTTCTAATTGAAAACATTTACTGTAGATGATATCTTTCGTAAGGGTGATAATTAAATGCATTTTTGTAATCTCTTTCATTCACCATTAGATCATTCTCATCAGTCTGAATAGTCATTTGTTAACAGTTGGAAAATAGAAAATACTTTTTTTCGAATTGCCACTAAATCACTCATTATAGACTAGAGTTTATTTTGAGATCGCATAACTCGTGATCATCCACTAGTGAAGGCATTGTACTTTTCTTGCTGGTACTTTATTTTTAGCCAACCTGTCGACTGTTTGTATGAATGTTTCATTATGTTCAATATTTACAAAAAATGTTTAAATATTGCATGAAAGAGCATAAATTTAGTTCACTTACTGAGAAGCTCAGATATCAACATGTTCTAATCAAATTTATTTTCAAAAATCAACAATGGAAAAGTGTAATTCCTTGAAACTAATAATCATGAAATTTTACACCATTTAGATAAGTTAATGACTATTTTTACCAAGTATCAAAGGTTGGGGGGGGGGAATTTCAGTAGGACATTAATATATGTATATTCAGTTAACGAGCTACAGAGTAGATGAAATGTTCGTCCATAATTCCTCTATTGTCTATAACATCAGCTGTTATTGTACGATCAAAGCTTAAATGATCGTACTCAGCCATCAAAATTAACTTTGGGAAGTCTACAAATAGCTAATAATCAGTAGACAGCAGTCAAAGTAGAATCCTTTACATTTAAACATCAAGTAATAACACTAGTAAGTTGGATATCAGTACCATCATATTAGTACCAATGGTATTTGAAAGATTGGTAGAAAAGAGAGAAAAAAAGGAATAAAGAGTATGCAGTAACTTGTAAACACATGATCTAGTATGATACAAAAAATGAATATATCTACGCCTTGCAACTGATCCTGAAATAATTTGGTGAAATGACACCAACTACTAATCATGAAATGTCAGCGTACATTCCCAACTAATAACATAGTTCAGACCAATAATCAATAATTTTATAAGCTAATCTCATATGAAGCTTTCTTTTCACTTTCTGTTGTACTCACTAATCTATCACTTCAAGTCAAGCAATAGATTATCACACATAATCTCTCCGTTTCCCCTAAATGTATGAAGACCGAAAACATCATCAACCACTCTGGAGTCTTTTTCTGGCACTGTAAAAATTTACAAGTTTTTATTAAAGTTAAAAAAATTCTATTTTTAAAAAATACGCCGTTAGTGTTTGGATTCAAAGCGAAAGTCCTCAAGTTCAAAATTAATTTGACACTTTTCCATTCATCTTTTATTTAGTAGTTTAAAAACACTAATATGTAACAAGTTGAAAAATGAATTCTTGATGTGCATATAACAATTCTTTAAGATGACAAGACCAGCACGCTGGATTTTACAACTACCGACATACCGAATAAAATAAAACTTGCAAAATAATGTTAGCTGGATGTAATCTGCAAAACAGGAACATATGACAACAGAAACTGACCACCATCTATTGTCTTCGGTGGATAACTGCCTCACACCCGACACGATTGACTTTGCTCTTTATTGAAAAAAATTATATTTAATCTAAGAACTTTACTCATTGTGGATAAGTTTAATAAATAATGTTTTTTAATTTCATTTTCAGCTGGCTTCTATATGTAATGCAACTTATGTGGAGAAACTAAATTACCCATGAAATTTCATAAAAAAAAGGAACATGTTTTCTGTTATTAAAAGGAAACAACTGTTATTACTGTTTTGGTATCACCAAAATGAAGTAAATGATAAAAATTATAGATATTTTAAATATTCATTGTTTTGATATAATTGATAAACAGATCATTCGTATACATCTCTATCCTTTATTTGATAGACCACCAAATCTCCGTAACCCAATATACAACGAACCATTCTTGTAATTGGCATATCATCGCTTAGGTAAGAACGTCTGACGAAAGGAATATACAGTTGACAAAAACCTCTGTTCGAATATGATTGACTTTGCAGACATATAGGTACTAAGGAAATCCATTTCAGCACTAATGACCCATTGTTACACAGGGAGATAAGATTGCGAAACTCTCAGAGGGCACTGGTTCAGTCCGAGTTCCAGAAAACCATTCATAATGAGTGCTTACATTCAAGAAACTTAGATCAGTCCATTCTAGTAGAATCTCTTTAAACCACCTTACGTCAAACGAAGTTAAACATCTAAACTAAAATAAGTTAAAAAAGATATCTGAATCTATAATTTTTTTCAAGTTAAATGTCAACTTACTAGTCCATTGACTAAAAGCCCTAGTATAACTATTATTATATTTCATAATTAAATTGAATTCAAAATAAAAATATGTTTAGAATGATGGCAATTTGTGTACAGTCTATAACTTTATTCTAATGTGACTAGAGCTAGTTAACTCATATTTAACCTGTTTTAACATCCCTCCCCTGACAGTCATATATATATATATATATATATATATATATATATATATAAAACTTAACCGACATTTGTTTATCTATTATAAAAAGTATGTTAATCAATAAAAATGTTAAAGACCTACCTTTAAGGTTAGCTTTAATACTTATTCAATGTTTTTATTTTTATTTGTTGTAATTAGTATGTCATGGTAACTTAAACGTGAAGATCTGATGAGTCCAGTCAATAAAATCACCAAGTTGAATAAACAATCCTGGATTTTTAAATAAACTTATGAGTTGACTTATATAATATCATCAGATATGAATTCATATTATATGAAAAAGCTTAAGGTACGGTAAAGAATGAAATCATGAATAATCCTTTTCTAGCAACACACCCTTTTAATCAACACAATGAAAGAACTACTAAGATTAATGAATAATCTGAATTCAAATAGGACGCTATAAATAAACGAGTCGATCGTGAATGAAACTCCAGATATCATAAGTACAATTTTCATTCACATATGTCCAGAACAATTAATTAGTCAAGCATAATAGCAAAACTATTACACATTTGATATGGTAATCAGCAGGCTATAAACCATATCCTCTTCAATAAATAAAGTGCTATTTGGCCCCATAAACTGTTCCACGTCAATAAAGCACCGAGTTTGCAACTTATTGATTGACTGAGAATTGAATACCTACTCAAAGAAAGAAGGGAAGCAATTGCTCTCGGAATAATAATAAACAAGGTCTACCTAATTTGCTAGAGAGTTCAAAATTAATCCTCTAACCTAAAACGATATATATTAATCGGTATCCAAACAGAGATTACTTAAAGCATCACACTAAAACCTCCTTTGAAATTATTCACAATGCTACCAAATTTTCAGCTATTTCAAATTTCATATGAACATTTTTTGAAAAAACAGTCCTTTAATGACAAAGTGAGCTGATATGAAACTGAAATACAAAATAGACGGATGCCAGACATAAGAAAAATTTGTCAAAAAAACTGCTTTAGGCTATTCATATTCCATCAGTAATCACCAGCTTAGAATTCACAGAAATGTTAGAACAAATATGATATCGGTTATCACAATCTCAGGCTGGGAGAATTTTCTGTACATCGTTTGACTACTAATGAGTAGGTAAATGTTTATCACATAAATTAGTAATGATTCCATTCTATTTCAGCTGTACGTTTAATATATACATGAAGATTGCTACCAATGTTGTTAGCGGAACTCCAGGAAATCTTTCAGAAATCGTATGAAAAGTTGTCAGATCATTTATTTTGATATCCTATTGAGGCTAAAAACTCATTTCTAGCTAACTAAGCTTTTCCGCAAGGGCTTTGAATATTGAAGAATGATGACTGATTACCTACTGCGGCATTACAAATACTGAATGTATAAGGTCTCCAATCCTTTTTAGTCATCGATTCAGAGTTCGTGTAACTTCGAATGATGTAGAGTAGGTAAAACCGGAAAAAAGGTTCAGAGTGAGTTTTTATGAGGAATTTAACTCCTGATGTTTTCCCGAGGTTTTTAACACTTTAAATAAAGATAATGTGGTGCTGTGGTGCGAACTACTTAAAGGTAGTATATGACGTGAGCGTCAACGTAATGTCTGGCAGCCGAAGATGGAGGAAGATCAAGAAAGAAAGAGTTAGAAAACATTGGAATTTGTATGAAACGCATGAATAGTGACAATGGATTGATGTTTTGCAACAGGAACAGTTCAGTTCGATATGATGAACTGATATTTTGCAAATGAACGATTTACGATATGGTTTTCCAATTTTACTGAGTAACTCTGTAATTTTCGTTAAATACAATTCGGTTGCCCCACCTGTGTTTCTCGTTCACTACAATAAGATTAATATACTGACAAAACGTTGAATATTTTAGGAGAATCGAGTAGGATTTACCTAGAATTTTATCAAATAAAGTTTATATGACTTGAGCTTGTGAACTTATTTGACAGATAGAATATCTGTCTTATCCGAAATCATACATCCATCTATAAACGTAAGACTAATTAATTTCTATTCCTTAATGAAAAAGCCCTGGCGTTATTGATTTAGTGCACCAATATCTCAATATTATAAATTTGCATATCAAAAATAAAATAGTGTATAATTGTTTCAACCCCATTTAAGATTCATCAGTAGTGTACACAGACAAACTCACATGAAACTAGGCGCCAAAAATGCTACAATAACAAAGCACAAAAATGTAGTAATTTTCGATCAATGAGTTGGCATTGAATGATTCGCATTTGAAAATTCTTTCAAATAATTATTCAGACTGATATTAAATACACGTTATACTTCTCAAATAATTTAAATTATTCTTTGTAAACTTAATTTCTTTTTTATCAGCTCTTTTTTTTCTGTTTATGTTTAAGTTTTGTAAAAATTTACCGAAATAATTAAACTTGATTAGAAAATAAATAGTTGGTATTTAAGAAATATTTCCAGTGTAACATTAATTAACTTTGTTAAAGAGATCCATCCACATAGACAATCATAGACAAATCTTCTAACCTGAAACGTGATTATGCATTCTATATGAATGTAGAGAAAAAGATCTCATCATTTAAAATGTTTTTGATTAAAAAAATGTTTACAACATAGAAGATAGCCAATTAGATATTGTACAGTATTTGTTGACCCTCACTAGTACTATTTAACAGTTGAAATTGCTGAGTTATTGTCGTGGTCATATCTTTATGATTTCCAGAGAAAAAATCAATGAAATCATCTAAAAACATCCTTTCAACTACCCACCACAAATAAATCCGTTTGATAATCTTTTTACAGATATTTACATAATATATTTGATTGAGATAAATAATACATTAAAAAGAAGTAGACGAAGTAGGACTTTTTCTACAATTTTGGCGAGCCTGAAATATCCTTCAGAAAGCTCGGTAGAGGCCTACCAAATGCAAGCAACCTTTACATCTAATCATCAATGAACAGAACTTCCGCAGGAAGATTTAGAAAAGGTACAATCATGTGCCAAGATTCTGATTAGATATTTAGCCATACTGATTTGAGTAATGCAAAGGGCATTGGTTACCTTCGAATTACTTTAAACCTTAAAATTTTTCATTGATTTTAGTAAGTTTTATTAAACTGAAAATATCAGTAACATATTTTATATGTACTGTATTCTGGATAGACTATCGATTTAGATAGGTTTGATTTAAGTATTGACAGGTTAGTTAATCTTTTATGAGGTATGTATGCCATGATAGTGTAGTCTAATAACCTATTTCAAGGTCTATTCATTTACAAACTAATTGTAAATGTTGATCTCCACTGCAATATTTCACTCATGAATTAAAAATGAGCAGAATGTATCATTTCTCACTCAAAACTCATCATTATACAATAAGCTTATAGAAATTATCCTAATATCTACATAAGGTATGGAGAGACTTTGAAGTTAAAAATTATTCTTCAGCAGTCAGTCAGTCACTTACAACGTGGAACTTCATACATGAGCAGATAAGTTCAGGTTGCCATGTGGTGCGCGCTACTTATAAGTAGTATATGACGCGAGTGAATACGTAATGTCTGGCAGCAGAAGATGGGGGAAGATCAAGAAAGGAAGAGTCAGAACACAATGGAATTTGTATGAAACGCATGAATAGTGAAATGTCAGACAATGGATTGATGATGGATTGAAGATTTGCAAAGTAACCGTTTACGATATGATTTTCCTATTTTACTGATTAACTCTGTAATTTGAAATAAATACAATTGCGTTGTCCTCACCTATGTTCTCCCTCATTACAGCCATACCGCATTAGCACAGAGACGCAACTGTCATCCCAAATCACATAGAGGTAGAGATAGCTGAAGTATTAGCAATAATCCGATTAGGGTCCGAAGTTATGGTTCAAGAAGTATAATTCAGTGAGATAACTTTAGAAAGAGAGAGATAGAGATAATGAGGAATTCAGAAGGTTAGGTTTTGAGAGAGCACAAATAGTGGATGCACCTGCGCTATTGCAAACGGTTTTGAGTCATGTCATTCAAGGTCTCTAACAATCGGTGACTTTCATCTCGTGGACCGAACCAGGTAGCCCACATCTACCGACATGACTCAGTCCACTTGTCAGTGACTTCACGGATTTCTGCCATGTCTTGGTTTGGTCGCCCCTAGCTTTCTTCCAACCTACTACTACAACAAAACTATAGATCGTGGGTTACGATGTGTGGCTGAAGGCCTGTTGAATTTATCCCTAATGTGTTCTATCAATTGATCAAATCTCCTGTTTTAAGAATGAATGATACGACCATCCTTTTCTGAGATAGCTTCGCTAACAGATGGATTCCTAGTACCAGTTGCCTTGATAAATCGGAAAACTTGACTATTGTCACCTATTATCGC